CAAACAAACACTCTAATTTGTGATGCGAATTGCCTCCAAGCCCCCAAGAGGCGGCTGCGATTGCCATGAGGAATCAAGTGAGACTGCCAAACTGCTAAAGTCTGATGACATTAAATGCACGTCTTTAATTACCTGTGCCTAGAATTTCGGCATACATATCCACACTCAGTGGACGTCTCTGCGACTCAAGCCTGTCGCAAATTGGAGGAGTGCAGGCACATTGCCAACAACCCAGAATGGCAAGTCTTCCACAATCTAACCCTCTACGTATTCATTTTGTGGTAAGAAATTAGACAATAGGAACATATAATATACGATATTAATCTATATACTATATATAGTAGATTAGAGTGTAAATGGTTCTCAATGTCCAGTCCACAAGCCTTACGTCTTTTTGCGGGCTGCTTTTCAGCCTGTGGCTTCTCCTGCACCACTTAAGATCGTGCTGTACACATGGAGCCCAGGCTGGACGGCTGGTGAATGCTCAATAGATATCCATAGATCATATAGATCTCAATATGATCTACGCATATCTACGATTTCTCCGTTAAATGCTCAGTGTTATCATATACAAAAAATATAAGTGAAGTTGTCGCACTGAGTCTTCGTTCGCCTTTCCGTGACTTGAAATCTGGTTGGATCATGAATGATCGAGGCAAGTAATGTCTGCAGAAACTCAGTCCATGACCTGCTTTGCCATCTTTTCAGCTTTCGTTGGCTTGTGCTTATCGGGTTTTTCCTTCTTCGTCTGCTTGTCTTGTCGGTTTTCATTCTTATTCTCCTTGTTCTCCAGGCTCTCCTGGTTCTCATGATTTTCTTTCTCAGCCTCCTCCTCTTTCTGATTTCCATCCTCTGCATTAGCATCTTGCTTGTCTTGCAGCGATGCCACCTGCACCAAGAGGTCCTGCGCACAGATTCCAATACCAGGACTCCAGTTTCAACACGCATTTCCAGCTGTTTAACATTGTTTAGCAGTGGGAAAGTGGGAAAGAAAACAATCCTGACATCAACATGTGTGATGCATCCCTGAGCCTGATGCATCTGATGCAATCAATTTTTTATCACATTGTCTGGGGCATTCCAGGCATTCCACCTGCAAGATTCTCGGATGTTTGGTGATCTCGGGGCTGCTGCACACCAACATCAGCTCAGCAGGCTTCAGTGCCAACCTGCCATCAAATGAATCAAATGCCAGAACCATCCAGAACCAACATCCTTCAGAATTGCAAAAAATATATAACAACATATAACAATCATATAACAACATATAACAAAAGGATATAAATGTGCAAAGTATTGAAACAGTTGTCTTCTTCCAAGACATCGAAATTCACCGGGCCTTTCATTGATTTTTTCTCGAAGAAGGCCAAGACCAAATTCCTCACACCTAGGCTTTGAAAGTTCAAGAAGACTTCAAAGAATCTTTTGAAATCTATGTCCGATAGTTTCCGAATGTGCTGGCATAGCATGTATATCAAATGCGCGATATTGTGTGGCAAAATCAATTTTGAAGACCTACTAGGTCCTTGAGTCATTGACGTCACGAGTCTTTCCAAGACATTCTCCGTGGTAAGGCCAGTGGCAAGCCATCTGGCCTAAGGCACAGTGTGCACGGGACCAAAGGTGGATGTGATTGGCAAGTGATTAGCAAGCATGCTAGGAAGCCTGTACCTGAGGAATAGACCGCATGTTCGTGCAAGTGGCTAAAGCCAAAGCTACGTGCCAGTCGAAGGACATCCTTGTTCACCTACCAGGCAATGCACTCTCTTTTCATCATAAAAGTAAATTGTTGTGGCTTTGGTAGGATATGTGCAAGGAGCAACTCCAAGAATTCCAAAGCCTGGGCAGTTGTGGCGTTGTACTGCCAATCAGCCTTTGTAGCTCAAATATCACACTTTTCAGCTGCCAAGGCACCTGGTGTTTTGAGAACTGAGACGCCCACCCCACCGAAGCCTTTGTAAACGTAGTCAAGAATGATATGCAAGGCCTTAAGAATGGCAAGTGGCAAGCAAGAACAAAGCCTTCTGGTCAGAGGAAGCCAAAACAAGGATCTTTGCAATATACATGTATATATATAATTATATATTTATGTGTATATATATATATTATTATTATATTATATTTTTATATATTGGACTTATATTGGAATTATATTGGAATTATATTGGAATTGTGAGGGTTCGAAGACTTGTGACTTCTATACACGTGTTTAACATCTAAATACCATGCTTTGATTGAACTTTGATGACAGACTATCTTTCCGACCTCGGCAGAAGACAGGCCATTCACGTGGATGTGCATCTTCTGCTGCATCTCCTTCTCCACCTTGCAAAGGCGGCAAGAAGGCAAAGTCTCTCTGGATGAGGTTTCTGGAGCATTTTCCTCTGCCCAAAAGCACCCAGCAGAATTACGTACTGTAGATATCATGATTCATGATACTCTGCGTATATCTGAGATGTGTCAGCCTCTTTGACTTCTCTCTCCTTGTCAGTCGGGTCAGTCTGCTTTGGCGCCTGCCTCAGTCGTGCAGAACAGCCCACAGCGCAATGGGCTGGCTGTACTACCCACCATTGTAATTGTCCATGATAGATCCAGCTTAAACATCTTAACTGTGAACTGGTGAAGCATGAAAAAAAACAACAAGTTATGCCTCTGTTGCACTCTGCAGTGGACATCAATGGTCAATGGATCATGTACTCTCGTTGACTGTATATTCTACTGTTTAGGCCCGCACTTTGGCTCTTCTGCCGGTTGCGAGACCTGTTGCCGGGGACGCTGGTTGGCCATTTCCGACCAATGCTCTTTCTCTGATGCTACGAGGACAAAAGAAACATGAAAGAAAGGATGACTCTCAGGGTACGAGTCAAATATAGTCAAATGTACAGTATTGGCTGACTTTGGCTCACATCTTGCATGTCTTGCTCCATTCTGTCTTGCTCCATTCTTGGCACTATCGAACTCATTTTGCAGCTCTGCCATGCTCTGCCTCCTGAGCTTCAGCAGGCTTTGGCTCGGCTCCCGTTCCAGTCTCTGCCGGTTCGGTTGCCACGATCGTCACAGCATCGGACTCGGTCTTTCCAGGCTCAGTCGGCATGTCTGCCACATCTGCCTGTGAGTTCTTTGTGCTGTTCGTTTCGGTGACACCCTCTGCCTCGGTTGTGGCCTGACCTGTCATGCCAAGACAATGGCACGCTCATAAACACGCAAGATGAACATTTGAAGCAAACCAAATAGGGTGGACTCATTGATCGCTTAGATATTCTTTAAAGTGTCCTGCCTACTTCAATTGACGTATCTGGCTGATCCTTAGTCTTCTCATGTCTTTTCAAACAATCATTGCGTTTCCAAATCCACTGAAGTTCATATCCACTCCCAATGATCAATGAAGGCCAGGACAGGTTGTCGCTTTTGTTGAACAGAAAATAGATCCTGGGCACATCTGGGCACCAAGTCCCGGAAATAAGCTCCAGCAACCGCTCTGCAGACGGTGAGAAGGAGCAACACGCCTCCATTTCCTTTGGGCTGTCGACTGCTGACATGCTGAGTCCAAGCCTTCAGCACAATGTTGTGAATGTAGAAGGATGTAGAAGGCTGGATTTTTATGAATTCGATGGAATTTGATGGAATTCGTACAATTTCGTACAAGTCATGACAAGTCCCAGCACTGAAGTGCAAACGCTGGATTCTGCCGCAGGAATGTGCAAAAACTCCCACTGCTCGCAGCCAGAACTACCTTTGGACCGACTGGACAAAGATATACAAACTTATGGTATGCCATTGGACTCTGCTCTTTGCCCATGTCACAAAAGCTCTTTGCAAAGAAGGCAGTTCCGAGTATATGGCAGCATGAGCTTCGATTCGTTCTTCACCAGCTATAAAAACTATGTCACAACCTTCAGAGGCTGTAGGAGAGAAGGTTGTGCTATTTGCAACTGATTTTGTGTTGCCTAAAAATGCTGAAAGCGACCAGTAGCAAATGAAGATAGCAGAAAACAAATGATTGAAACTGTGCAGACTGTGCCAGCCAACACTCTTTGCTTTCCAGCAGGGATCGAAGTCCTGAACATGCACATTGGAGAAATCGGATTTCTCATACTATTTGCATTCTGTGCTTTTGCAAAAACTGCGGCTTGAAAATCTCCTGCATGCAGCTCATGAGGAGTAGTAGGCCCCTCCCCCTTGACATCAAGGTCCATGGGCACAGTACCTCCGGCCGACAAAGGGGACAAAGGTCCCTCCGAATCGTCCAATCTCACCGTGACGGACCGTGACACTAGAGAAGTCCCACCTAGCGACGGCACTGCAGCTGCCATCTTCTCGGCCTGTACAAGGTGTACTTGTTGGAATCAGCATGAATCAGCCAAATTTAAAGCGCAAAGCGATGGCAAGTCATGGAACTGGTGACGTCAATTGACACAAACGTCATTACAGGGCCTCTGCTGCCTCTGCTTTGTGCATGTGCTGCGGTGTTCCCCACCTCATTGACTCTGTCTGCCATTTAGGAGCTTTTGGTCCAGTCGCAACGGTTGTTCAAGAGTGATTGAGAACAAGAATAGAAAGCTCAAACAGTTTCAAACACACAGTAGGCAGCAAATTCCAAAAGCATCCAAAAGCCCATCTGTACAATTAAAAAGGAAAGAAGCATGACAACTCGCAATAGAGTCGCGCACCACATTGGTCAGCTCTTTGGACACCCTCAGGAGAACAGGGCCAATGGCAATAGAGGGACACGCAGTGACGGTGTAAGGGCATGCAGCAGCATGCAGTTCAGTCTGTCTGCAAGTAATGCTGGGGGTCTGACTGAAAACGTGTCTGAGCACTGCGGAATAAACACTCACAATCCCTGCTCCCTAAGCTGCAAACAAAAGGCAACCGGCAGTCGCTAGGCTAGGGAGTAGTCCAACTGTCGTTTTCGTGCAAGCAAGTGCTCGTAGTGCGTATGCAATCACTCCTAGCTTTATTAGCATGAAAGGAGCTATGTTCTGAATCTCCCGAGCGTGTCTTTTTCTCCCGAACACGAAGGGGTGCATCGTTCTGTGCATGGCAGGGAAAAGAGCCGCCAAATGCCACCAGTGTGCTGGCACTTAAAGATTTCTTAAAATCTTGGATTGAACTGGATAAAGCACGGAAGTCGATCAACTCACTTCTCGCGAAGCTTGACATCAAGCTTGTCAGCAGCAGCCTGTGCTTGCGACATGTTGTGACTGTCTGAGCCGCCAGGGTCTCAGTTTGTCACCACAGATGAACGCCAACACCTGTCCCTCTGCATGTTAAGACTGTGAAGATCTGTTCAGCAATATCAGCAATGGAGCATTGATGCTGACATATGCTGACTGAACCATCCACTGCAGTACACTCGATTACACAACGGCACTATCCAAAATATCCAAAGCAATACTCCGTCGAGTAAGCCATAGCCATGACGCACGCCTGAGCCAACTCCAGTGCTGTCTGCCGAGCCCAGCTTTGAATGCCGATGACCTGCACCACTGTCGCTAGATCCAATGGATTCCATGTGATTCCAAGTGTCAGACACTCTGATCATCTCTGATCTCTGATTACTTAGGCTTCTTCAAATCACTAAAATCACTAAGTAATGATGCAAAATGATGCAAAATGATGCAAAATGATGCAAAACCCTGGTGATGATTTTCTGACCAACAAGTCATCGCATCGTATCGGACATGACGCCTGATCCAATCCAGCAGCCTCCACAGCATCGGTCACAACATCCTGGAAGTACCGGAAAGTACGACGTGACCCCATGCTGCAACAATTCATCAACATCAGCACTCACACTGATTTTAGATGTTTTGCATTTGTTCAATCATGTTCAATCTATGCAAACTGTAATACAGATCAAGCAGACTCACAACCTTCATCAAACTTCAGTAACTCTGAAAGGTGTCTGGATTCATAAATTTCAAGGAGCTTCACAACAGGCCAACCCATCACCCAACTGTCCATCGAGAGCTCTCGGAGTTCCTGGCGTCTAGGTGAAAGAAATGCTGGATGAAATGACAAGAATAGTTGAAAACCCAAGAACTTAGAAATAATTGAAAACCTAATATTATATATATATATACGTATATATATATATACAAAAAAAGTGAGAGCATTTAGAATGACTGACTGATACTGATGCAGACACGTTGAAGGAATGCCAGAACTTGCGTCTGCGTAAGCACAAATACATGGATCAATCAATGTTCATCAATGTTCATGAAAAATTGTACATGATCAATATACATCATGTCACATGAGCGTAAAGTAAAGACACGACACTGCAGGCTGCAATGGTTCCTTTGCTTCAAGGGTCTCGCCAGCTCTGAGAATCAACCGCCGAGTGATCGAAGTCCTGGGAATGCCGCAGCAACGGCTCCAATGACGAAATGTCGAAAATGAAAATTAATTGGGTACCCATATATGAAACATTATGAAACTATACATGAATCACATGAAACTGAAACTTAACATGATAGTGAAATCCTATGAAACTCTCGACAGTTCTCAACTGCTTCAATGGCAATACATGCAATACATTTCAGGAGCTCTGTCGATATTGGTCTTCTTGTAGATTGATCTTGGAGATATATCATGATATATCCTTCCCGGACAAATAGTACAGGCACCTGTAGTCGCTAGTTCGAGACATCAAAAGTGGATTCTGTCTTGTTATTTTTTGGTTTGTTTGAGACCCTGCATGACCCTGCATGAAATCAGCGCATTGGTCGAGAAATGGCGCATTGGTGGAGAAATGTGCAAGTTCAGTTCAGAAATGCGCAAGGACACAGATCTGAACGGAAAGCCCACAATGCATCACAATGCCTCTAACATCTCCTTACATGTGTTCCATCGCTTGTGCCTGTGAATCGGTCTGAAAGTCGGCACATCCATGTGCTTTCCAGTCTTCATGTCTTGTTTCAGCTTTGTTCGTCCTTATGCCACCGATCATCTCTGCAGCTTCATCAGCATCACTTAGCCTCACACTCGACTTGTGTGGTTTCATGTTTCGGCAAAGATGACAAGGCTGGACATCATAAAAGAAAAAACATAGGGAGTAATATGACAAGCAATTTTCTGCAATAGTTTCGGGTGCAAATGGGTGCTGCAGTATATACAATTCGAGGTTTGTCAGAAATCAAATCAAAGTCGAGAGCCGCTTTCTTACAGGTTAGACACTTGTGATGTTTGAATAAGGCAGCTTCTCTTGCTTCACGCAAATCACACAGGGTACTAAAGAAAGGGTACTGTACAAAAGAATGTACACAAACAAAAACAATCAAACAAGTTGTTTTCTTCAATTGTTTCCTGCTTGCGATGGGAAAACCCTGTTGAAGAAGCCTGCTGGGCAGCTCTTCTGTGGGCTCACTGGTGTCGCCAAACCTTGCGGCTTGTCACGAATCAGTGACAGTTTCCACGTTGAGCATCAAAAGACGGGCCTTTGTGAAGAGTTCTTGACCAGCTCCTGACGCTATCCAAAACCACTAACAAATCAAGCAACGATTCAAAAAACGAACTGATCCACTGATATCCACTGATGCGTCCTGTCCACGCAACAAATTGTCGCCTGATTCTTCTTGCTCTTCAGCCTGCATTGGCATATCGAAAACAAAATAGGGTTCGAGCTTGAATAGACGTCGAAGCACCTCCATTGCCAAAGCCTTGCTTTCCTCAATCAAGCAGTTCAAATTTGCAGGGAAATTAGATATTATATCATGTAGTCTGGGATTGAACACTCTTGACACACAGCCGTTTCTCTTTCCCCTTCAACAATTCTTCTGTCGAATGCAAAAAGTTGGTTGTGCTGCTGTGCTTTGTCGTGCTTGCTATACAGCTACTTAGACTTGAGGCCAAAGGGAAGGGGACAAAAGCTAGTTGGGCAAGGAGAGATGCGTAGTGAGAGAATATGTGGCGCGACCTTTTTAGTTTCATTCTGTGAACTTAAAATTGGGAAAATGGTCACGCCAAATCCGTGCGTGCTTCACTACACAACTTTTGGAATGTGGTAACTTTTGTGCATACATCCATCGAGCAAGAAATGCTTGGGAGTTTTAAAATGCGCACCTCCATTCCTCGCCAAGACTGGGTCATGTTTTTGCGCAGATGTCTTGAGGAAAAGGAGTGCAAGAATCCAAGTGGTTACTCTCTCATTACATTACATTACATTGCATTGCATTACATTGCGCTACGTTACACTACACTACTACATTACATTACATTACGTTACGTTACATTACATTACATTAGGTTACATTAGGTTACATTAGGTTACATTAGGTTGTATGGATTATGCATTACACAACAGTACATTCACAACACTCACGGTGAATATTGTGTATATGTGCGTGTATGTGCGTGTGCGTGGGCATGGGACCGTGCGGTCGCAAATGAAACCCCAGCGGGATGGACGCAGCGGGATTTGAGCCCATGGGAAGGAGAAGGGGGAGGCGGGTGGGGGTCACAGTTCGACATGATAGATCATGGCAGCTGCGTCCGGCCTGCCCTCAATTCATTGCTAAAGCAAATCCAACTCCGGCTAGCAAGCTACAAGTAGCTTTCGTGACTCTATCAGGTTTCGGCTTGAGAAGTCAAACTACACATGCGGCCATCCACTGAGCACGCGGCAAAGCGCATCCATTCACCTTCAGGCAAAGCAGCGTCCATCACCTTTAAACAGAACCGGGTGGTCCAGCAAAAAACTGAATGGAATGGGAGACAAAACCCAAACAAACGAATCAATAGGTATCAATAGGTTGTAAGTGTTACAGGCGTGAAAACATAGGGAGACAGCATTTGCTGCCTTCTTGCCGAAAGCGTTGCACATCTTCTGCACGTAGCGGTAAGCGCAAAAGGGATGCTGCAAAGCAGGCAGCGGCGTAGTGTCCAGGAACACCTGTCATGAAAATCATGTGAAATCTCCTGGAGCTCACCAGCAGTCATAGTGACACTGATCACCGGATCACTGCCGGCTCACCTGAAGTGTCTTGGCATGAACCAGCAAGGAGTCCACCTCTTCTGGTGCCTCCGGCATGCAGTACCAGAAGCTCAGAAAATATCAGAAACATTCAGTCAAACATGTTACAAAAATATACAAAAATATACAAAACAACGTTACATGACATGATACATGATACATAACATGTCCCCTTTTCATCTTGCCTACTGATATGACCGAATTATACTGGTATATTGTGCCTGCATGGGTCTGATGTGTCCACCGCATCATTTTGATGTCATTGAGATTTCGCTTTCAAGGTGTTAGCAATACTGAATGACTTGATGCAAAGAATGCTCAGGGCCTCTGAGATCTTGCAAGTACCGGCTACCAGTGCCTTTTCGACCTATCCAAAGCAAGTGCGGTCAGAGGCCAATACTTAGATGTTTTCTTAAATAATAAGAAGCCGTAAATAAATCATTTTCCAGTCAGCATGGATTCTGCATGCCTCTGTCCCTGCCTCTTCCTGTGTGGAACAAATGCCATCTTCAACTGGCCTCCAATTGCAGCCAAGCCTTTGGTTTGAAGGATAATTTTAGTGTAGTGATTCGCAACTGCAGGCCTCACACATCGTGTGCAACGTACTGCAGTCACACGAGAGTCTGCAGACGCGCGCCGCAATGTCGGCATCACCAGTGATGAGAACCTGTTTAGCCAAGACGCAGCCAAGAGTCCAAGAGACAGAAACGTGAACGGAGACTCAATGAGTAGCACAGGTATCATTGCCAGATGATGCCAGATGTAACTCTCTGAAGACTCTGAAGTACATGGACTTGGCCACACTTGGCCCATGCTTTTCAAGAGAACAAAACCATCAAAACCCAGGCATGCCTTGGATTCCAGATCTGCCCAGGACGGACCACAGACACCCATGCCTCCCACAAAAATCACAAAATACAGGAGTCATCAGGAGTCGGATAGGAGACGGGTGTTTTACAATGTTTTACAGCTATCACCTCGCAAATACAGTAGCGTCAGTAGCGTCTCGACTCGACATTGCTGCTTGGGTGGCGAATGTGGGGAATCTCAAGGAAGATGCAAGGATTTGCCAAACAGCCTGAGATGCTCCGGCCAGTAGCGCCGCTGCGGCCTGTCACTTGCGAAAGCTTCGTGCGATGTCTTTGCTTCTGTATCAAGAATATCAAGCAGGCAGTTCAACGGTCCTTCAGATGCTCAAAGTCGGACTTCTTCACTCTCGACTCCAACCACATCACCTGTGACCAAGTAGAGAATAAGTAGAGATATGATGAGATATGTAGAGTGGCTGCTTCCAAATCCAGAGATCAGCCTCGTCCCATCGGACATCGGACTTAGATGGACTTAGTGGCTGACAGTTTTGGAGCTCTTTCCTCGAGTCTGGGCAAGCTGCGCTTCGACCTCACAGCAAGTCCGCTGCAAACACTGACGAAGTGCAAAAGTATCCCTCCCAGCGACTTGCAATTCCTACACACCAAATGTTCTCAGTCTAGTCCTCCCGCAATAGAATAAGTCGTTTGATCAGTCCGAAGTGGAATCTATGTAGTTTTCACGCAGTTAAACAAAAAAGGTGGCTCAGTGTCTCTATCATTTCCCATTTGTCGCTGTTGCAGGTGCCGCATTCGATATCCTGCTGCCCATCTCATCCAAATGTCGCGCACCTCTCTGGCAAGATCTGCAGTATCTGCATGCCAGCTGATGTACACACCAGCGACATGCTCCTGATTTGCACGGTTAGCATCCAACGCAGTATTAGCATGTCATAGTCGTAGTTTTCTCACTTAACAATACTTAGCAATCGTTGAAGGGTTTCCAAGGGTTGCTGGACAGGTTTACTCCAACGCAATGCCGCTCCCAGGAGCTCCTGTGTCAAGACCGTTGCCAAAGTTCTCGTCAAATTCGTCAAGGACTTTGAGCTGGAAATCTCTGCAAGAACCTCGGCAGACGTTCCAAATAAATCGCCACTGGGAAATCCGTGATGAAAGCGTGTGCAAATAAAATCAAATAAATACGGTACGTGCAAAAGCTGTTGCATTATATTTTAATTGCATCCCTATGCAACGTTTATCATGTCTTAACATATTTTAACTTTGTTGTCCACAGTTCAAGTGAGACCCACAGAATACGATCAACTGCATCAATGTGCAATCACCACATGGTCGGTACTAGACTTAGACTAGTATTTATCATTATTTATCTTGTTCTACAGGAATTCTGGGAACAGCTGCATCAGAAAGTCACGGACTTTTGGGATCATCTTTGCATCCGCTGCAGTCTCATCTTCGGGCCGGCAATTTGTCTGCCAATTTGGCCAATGGTTTTTCTTTGCAAAAATTACAGTACATTCCGCCAGGATAAGGGAAAGGGAAACAGTTTTAGTGTATCTGCTGAGTAAGTTTCGAGGACTCAAAGCATCGATGTTGCTTATCTTCGCTACAATTACAGGTGGTGCAAGTGCAAGTATGTACGAGTGTATTATACCAATGTAAAAACAGGATGAAGCAGAAACAAAATCATTCGAATAGACACCCGACGCACATCGGCACCTTCACTTGAAGGGAAACCTTGAATTCCGTGAAACTGGTCGAGGCATGCGTCATGCTGCACAGCACTCGGTCTAAGTGATAACATAGTGAGAACATTGCCCTTGTCAACTCACATAAGTGGGATGAAGAGCAGCGAGACCTCAATTGGATCATAGGTATCAGAAGTATCAAGACTCCTCATCTGTCACGGCCCGCTTTTGCTCGGTGCATTTTTTTTGTTCAAAAAAACTTCCTGGCAATTTCCACGCGCCGTCGAAAATCCTAGCAATGTGCTTCTCGATGGAGAGTCAAAAGATGTCAAAAGTTGTCAAAAGTTGAAAGCATTGAACTTGGCGTTTGTGCGTTTGCATGTCAAGTTCAGGGTCCAAGTCCGCGGCTAGCCATGCGAACGATGGGGCAGCTTTTCGCCATGCATGGCTGCACTTTACATCACACCTTGGCGCGACAATAGCAGCTAGGCCCGGCTAGGCCCTAATGACTAGCCAGCACGCTATATCACACCCCCACCACAAACAACACACTGTCACCTTCTGTCACCGTCCTGCGTTTTTGCTAGCTACTGAGTCTCAGACTTTTCATTTGAATGTCTGACTGTGAGGCATCGGGATTCCACTGCCGGATCCAAGCCTTGGCAATTGCAACTCTGTGACCATGCGATACACAGCAGGGACTTGTCACCTCTCACAGTGTCTCACAGTGTCTCACGGTGCCTCACGGTGCCTCACAGGATCAGAAAACGCAGCAACTTCTCAGCCACCAGCAGCCCAGCTTGTTGGCACAGGCGACTACACATTTCATGCCGTCACAGTTGGACTTGGAACCTTCTTCTTGCATGGCATCCTGAGCAATTTCGAGCAATATAATCAGGTCACAAAGGGCCCTTGCAGTAGAACACCAAACAATAGCTTCTGGCAAGCGCACCCTGACTGCTTGATCAACTAGTGCAAGGTGATTGTCCGTCTTCCGACATTGAGTTCCACTGCCTGTCAAAGTTTCTAGATAAACTCATGCAAGCAATGCACACATCGAATTGTTTCATGCTGCAAAACTCATCCTCAGCTTGACAAACAGTGATTTTATCAAGGCCTCCAAACACGTCGCAACCTGGAAGAATGGTGGTCATTGGTGGTCCAGCTATGTCCAGCTTCACATGCTTCAATCAATTTATCTCAATATTCTCAATGCATTGGTGCATCTGTGATGTCTGTGTCGGTCGGGCGGGACTGACTCAGCCTGTCTCAGTGCACCCGAGGCTGTCGCCGAGCAAGCACTTACAAACAGCTTCAGGACCTCCAGCGCACCTGGTGTCGCTAACTCAGTACATCTCAGTACAGAATGTACATGAATGTCATCATATGTAATCATATGCCATCATGAATGTACTACCCGCAGCTTCAGCTTCATCCCTCCCAGTACCAGCCCTACTAATCAGATTGGAATCAGATTGGTATACAGTATTTGGTCTGCTTCCAGTCGAGTGCAAATGATTGAGCTGACAGGACATTGCATTGGCATGGATGATCTGCAAATTCTTCCAGTCTTGAGGAGAGCACTCCATATCAGCATTCGCTAAAACAAGCCCTGAAATGAAGAGCAGAACAGCCTCGGGACATTCAGTTCTTGGCATACTACTGGCCAAGAGCTGATTGAACGTTGCTTTTCAACACTCTTGTGATCTTACGAGACATGGGCAGGCGAGTGAAACGGATGCCCTCTCATCATGCAAACCTCAGTGACGAGACATGCCAGATTGCAAGTCTTTAACTTGCAAAAATGCACACATCAAACATCATCAAACAAACCAAATTCTAACCTCAGTCTGGACTCCCATAATTCTCCGAAACCAAATCAAAGCATTCTTGGCCACACAAACTGTATGAGGATCTGGCCGCAGCTTGCCTCTCTCCTCAAAGCTTGTTTTGCTTCGAGCCATCCAGAAGTCGTCGAGCAGAATCAGAATCAAGAAGTACAAGCGGGTTGTGGAATGCACATTTGTTATGTCATGCTCTACGTCAAGAATCACAAGGCTACTTAAATACTGCCGTTTTCACGGAAGTGTGCTGCAGTGCATGTGTCTCTCTTCGGGACAGCAGCAAAAATGATAAGGGTTGCACAAGGGTCACCAGTGATGCGTCCGCCTCTTTCACAACCTGCTTCTCTTCAACACATCCAAGCTTTATCAAGCTTTTGCATTTGCAATCGTCAAAGCATGTCAAAATATGTTAAAGCCCTTCAATTCAAAGAATGATACTGCGGATATCTGCGGATACTGTAGAGATCTGTAGAGGAGAATCAATTGCAGAAAGTTAGGTTGTCCTGCCTTGGGCTCTACGGTGCCTAAGCACAGCAGCATCCATGCACACTTGTGAATGTCACAAATGCTGCAAACGTTACACTGCTACACAAACATTCCATTTTCTCGTGGTCCTTGTGACGATCCCTGAGAATTCCAGAGATAGGTTCTGTGAGCCAGACCACTGCAAGAGGCCTTGTGAGTCTTCCAGTGCTCTGCCTTATGGCTCGTGGATGGTCATTCGTTTCTGGTACCACAGGACCTGCCTGGAAGACACTACACGATGCTATAAGGAAAGAGGCATGATCATGCTTCATCACAAAAACCAGCAATAAAAAGCATAGAACTATTTGGAACCATTTGAAATCTGTTTGCAAAGGCTGCAAAGGTTTGCCGATGTTTGCCGCAAAAGATCAGTGACATCTTTTCTTGCAGCGTTTACCTGCCTGATGCGACCTTGAGCAGTACCAGACTTTTTGGCAGCGGCCTTGGGCAAGCGACATACTCCAGATACTCCAGGTATCTTCTGGTTGACGAGCTGATATCAGTTTGATTCAGTCTGCATATCTCGGATATTTTGTATGCAGGTGATTTCAGGTGACATGTCTCGACATGTCTTGACTCTGATTGAATTTATGTTGACTCCGCGTTGAGCGCAACACAACCCCTGGACAGCCCTGGATAGACCTGGGCTAGGCTTCACGCCACACTTCGAGGCAGCTTTCTGCGCACAAACGGCACAGAGGTGCTCCAACGCCTGGCGACAGAGTTGATTCACCATCTGTCATGCGATTCGCTATGAAATCTATGAATCCAAATTCAATATAATTCCATACGATTCAGATATGATTCAGATATGATTCAATGATATTCAATGTGTTGGCTTGAAATCATTCGATATCTGATCTGGTCTCATTTCATGCTTAAAACAGACCCAACACCAGTTGAATGCTTCTGAGGTCTTGACTGGACCAACTGATGGCAAAGTGCTGTCAAGCTGAACCTTCGACATGGAAACATCGACATCGAAACATCGAAACATATGAAACGCATGGAGGAATGATGGTCGACATGGTCGACCATAATCATCATTAATGTTCATTAAATCATCTGCAAACATCCCGTTGATACATGTTGATACAGGAAAGCAAAAGTCGGTTGCGTGTATCTAGCCTTCAACGCAAACCTCCGCAAGGCGTGCCAATATTCTGCGTGATGTCCAATGTTGTTGTGACTCGCATCCTGAGAAAAGAACTTCTTGGTGAGGAAATACAGCAATACACGCATTATCATTCTACATAATACATATATGAAATTATATGAATATGTATATATATATATATCAGAATCATAATATAATATGCTGTGCACACACTTGGAGGAAAGATGGGAATGGATGGCAATCATGTGAATCTCATGGCATCTGCTGGTGCTTTGTCAGAGATTGTCCTTCACCAGCACCAGTTCCTTCTGTTTCGATGGTGTCGCTGCATGGAGGCTTTCACTGCCTTCGTAGGGTACCTACAACCCAAAGTGTAAGCATTCTGCTGACAAACATCGACAATCAAAGAAAAATTGCAAAGTCTGAGGCACATTGAGGCACTAGATCATCTGCAAGACCATGAAGCAGCAGCAACTGACCATTGAAAGCGCCTTGGAAAAGAAGCTTCAACGGACAAATCAATCTAGTACAATCTAGCAGGTAAATCCAGTGTGGTGCCTGCATGTGCCTGCAACTGCAAGTTGTCGTCTTTTGGCTTATGGCTGTGTTGTGTCCAAGTGTACGTGCAATGGACAAGATGTCGGCATGTGTTGTGCTTTTTAGCTTATGGAGTTGCATGTAAATGCCCATCTTCTAATGATTTGCAATGTAATCACAGCTTTAGCATAGGTCAAAACTGTCAAAAACTGTCAAAAACTGTCAAGTGCATCTAGTGCTTGAGCTACCGGCGCATCTTGTCCAAAGTCCCCAGTCTCCACAGGTCCGCATCTAGTGGTTGTAGAACCTGCCAAATCTGCCAATCGACTTGTCCTAACGCTTCCCTTTTAGGCACAACAAAAACAGATTTGATCCCCGAAGCACCCAAGTGAGCTCACAAAACTCCCAGTTGGGCAGATTGGCCTCCAGGTTGGCGTTTTCAAGCTCCTGCACTGAAAGTGTTGACTTGCACACCTGCTCCCTGATTGCTAAACGGATGCGAAAGAAGCGGTCCTTGTGCCATTGGTTTAACACTGCCAGTCTCGCTTCTCCTAAGCCTGTCAATCTCAGTCAGAAGCTATCAAGAACTTCCAGATTTCTTTGCACAACTATTGAGAGGTGAACGGTCTCCCGTTGCGGAGGTAGCAACAGCGGAATCCTTCAGTGTCAGCTTGTCAATGTTTGAAGGCAGAAAAAACGCTGCGACTCGATTCGGTTTCAGAACTAAGTCAGCAACTAGAACGAGCGCCCTGCCAACAAGCATGGTAGTAGAAACTGCAAACGTTTTGGATCTTTGCAGCATGGTCCTGAACAAATAATTTTGACCATCGCTGTAGTTTGCCTGAACAACGTCGGGAACAGCACTGCCAAGTGCACAGCCACCTGTCAGAGCACTGCAAGTTGTAGCCATGCCCGGGGCTCTGCTGTTTTTGCTGGGCATTCCTATTCCATAGCTCCAAAAATAAAACCCATCTGGGACAACGTATTTACGATACGCAGGGATGCTTGCGATAAGATGCCTATGAACTGCATTTGACTATGCAGTCAGCATTCCCTTTCCGGCCATATTCAGTGTTGCCTTCTCACTTCTGGCGAAAGCGAAACATATTGGACACTTATCGACAGCAAAAGCTTTTGTTTCGAGCGCCAGCCTGTGCACCAATGGATCTGCCAGATAGTATCAGACCACCTTTGGTTGAGAAGTGGAAAGTTGCAACAACGTCAAAGCAAACGCTGCGAGCAAAGCGACGAGGAAGGCAACGGACGAGATCGGACAAGGACATCTTGCATCATGTTGCATCATGTTGTATCATGTTGCATCATGTTGCATCATGTTGCATCATGTTGCATCATGTTGCATCATGTTGCATCATGAATCTCATCTAGAATCTAGATGAATCTAGATGAATCTAGAATCAGAATGTGTGATCGCCAGGACCCTGACCGGGATATGGCCAAGAGAGGCCGTGCTGTACAAACAGCTCTGGCCTCGTCGGGCGAGAACAAGGTGACCCAAGGCCCTTAAATGATGCGGAGGCTGTTTCTTGATACGTCCTGATACACCTAAGAACTCAAAAATACTCAAAACACATTGAGAAGAATAGTACAGCAATGTACAGCATAGCTCAATTTTGACTTCTTAGCAACCTGCTAAGATCTGCTAATTCTTCTGAGCTGAGGACAGTTTTTCTGCCAGAGGCTCTGCCTGAGAGTTGGCTTCCCAGGTCGTGATGTTACTTGGTCCAATGAAGCCATGAAAACTTGTTGACTGCTTACATCTGCTTAGCATAAAAACAAGCCCTTTTCCAAAATGGCAAATATATCAAAATGTTATGAATGCTGTGAAGTTTGGAAGTGCAAAAATCCCGGCAAGGGCAAATGCGCTGCTGGATTTGGAATGCGTTGTGACCAATTCCGTCTTGGAGCTCTACGTCCTTCAGGAAAGTTGCCAACGAAGGTTCCCCTCCTGACCAACCTGCCAAGTTGGTCACAAGGTGAGCCAAATTTCAACTCCAGGTGCCCCGAATCACTTTGAAGCGCACCATATCCTCTGTAGTCTGCCACAAATAAGTGAACGGGAAGGTCCTGGTGACAGGTGGAGTTCAGTGATCAATTCTGATTTGGCATGATTTCGCAACAGTTCAAGAGTCGAGGTGTCGTAGCTCAAGAAATTCTGCAGGGCATGGGCAGTCCCTATATTTTTCAGCCAGCTGTGGTCGCAGGTAGTCTGCTGCCGTCTCTCCTTGAGCGATAGACCAAATTAGATGCAACTGCTGTCTTTCCATCTATGCTGCTAGAAGCCAACCATTCAACATTCAGATATATTCAGTAAACATCAGCAAACGCTCAGTAAACTGAGAGTATTGATTCTCAGCTCCAGACCGCTGCCGTGAAAGTGAAGGACCACTGGTGCATTGAGGTCTTTTTGATTTTTCAACAGGACATACCTTAATTGAAACAGTACAGCGACTCATCCCTAAAGGATCCGACCTGGCATTCTAAGGATTCTAAGGTCTGCACCCCAAGCGGATGCCTCCACCAGCTGAATACGTGCCGTCCTCCGCCTTCCAAAGCGGCCGAACTTCAGACTAAACCAAGCAGCATCAGATAATATAACATATATCAAAGATATTCAAAGATTATCAAAGAGAGCAAGACATGCAAGACAGCAAAAAAAAACGCCATGGTCACCTGCATGCCATCCACAGGGCATCCTGGTTCTTGCCTTGGCATGGCACACGTCTTGCTATGTTTTGCCATGCCTTCGATCTTGAAGCATGTTCCAAGATCGGACAGCTACTGTGCTGTACACCCTGAATATCCCTGGAAAATAGTGAAAATACGTGAAAATGGTAAGAAGATGTAAGAAGCAGACAAACGCTCTTCTTTTCGCGGTTTGAAAAGGCCTTGGCCTCAGCCACCAAGTTCTGGTAAACCAAAACAAGTCAAACAGGCAATAGTTGGCTCATGATCTTTGTATCTAAGCTCGTTGCCAAGAGCATGCCTGGCACGTATCATTCAAAAGTTTAGGTTTAAACAAAAGTGCTGCAAATATTTCAATGTATTGAGATCACATGACTGGGACTGACTGACTCCACTCTCAGAGAGAATCAAGCAACCAAGGTTGTCAAGGCCTTGTTAGTGCTGCGTGTTCAGCCTGCCAGGTTACACACAAAATAATGCAGGAACGCAAGGGAAAGCATACCGCTGCCATAGTTTAGTAGGTTCAGTCTCAAACATCCCACAGGTTGAAAATGAAAGCCTGTCATAGCCTGTCATCAGTAGTTTCAGTTTCCGCTGCCAACCCTGACCTGCTCCCAAGCATCCAGCAAAGGACGCAAGTCTTTTGAGCAAGAGCCCTGTCACTGCAGTCGCAGTTTTCACAGCGAAATAGCGCGCAAACAAAGAGTGCCGCTTGTCTTCCAGGAACACTGCAGTGCACTGCAGTGAAACTTCTGTTTCTCTTGAGATGTGTTTTAAGAGTTGTTTTTTGGCACCTTGTCTTGGACTTCTGAGCCCAAGCAAAGCCGGGCAAATGATGCAAGGGCAGCTGCCAAAGGTCCTGCCTCAAGATATCTGGCATAAAGGGTTACTGGACTTGCACATGCGAATCTGTTCAAACATCACGAATCATCACGATATCTAAGTCTTTGAACCAGGTCGACTCTAGAATCTAGACTCTCAATGTAGAGTAAGAGATGGCTGACCTAAACGTCAACTTGCGTGCAACAAGATGCTTTCCACTTCACCTCGTACTAGGATGTACTAGGTCCCTGCATGTCTCAAACCAAATGGCTTGAAATGAAGTTCCTAGTGACCCCAACGCATTGTTGCCTAAGGAAAGGACCCTCCAGCACAAGCTAGCAGCTAGAGTCTAGCAGCTGGAGTAGATTATCGTGGCAAAACCAAGATACGAAACAACAACGTGCATAAGATCGTCTAGCGGAAAGCATATACTGTATATATGTATTATATATATATATTATATTATATGAAATATATTATATAATATAATATATATATATGATATATATATATGATATATTACATATTTATATATATATAAAACATAATATGTATACATAATTATAAAGTTATATAGTTCTATATAATATATAATAAATTAATATATAATATATAATATATAATATATAATATAAAATATACAATATATAATATATAATATATAGTATGTAATATATTATATAATATATAATGGTTAATGATTATGATTTAATAATTATGATTTATACAAATATAGATATAATATAATATAATATAATACAATATAATATAATATAGAATATAGAATATAGAATATAGAATATAGTATAGAATTTGTAAATATATATATATAATATATATAATATATATAATATAGAATAAATATATATATATATATGAATATATATATATATATGATATTATTATTATATGATATTATTATTATATGATATTATATGATACAGGTCTCTTGGGACTCTGGAGGTCAACCAAGAAGCTGGCCTTTGTAGAGCTGCCATAATTTTTCAGTGCCTGCTACAATGTCACTCTCACTGCTGCAAGCTAATTGCAGCTGACGTGAACGCGGAAGCGATCGGAAGCGCTTCCAGCCCTATGCCCTATGCCTCTTCAGCATCATGCAATGCAGAGCTGTAATGGCAGAACCTGTTGCAAACACTGGAAAAGCATGGAAAAACAAACCAACGAGTTGGTCATGTTGGTCTGCTGCACTGCTGCCACAAGTTCACTGTGTTCACTTTAGCTTCAACCAAGTGGAGCTCTGACTCGTGGTACAAGCACCAGACTTCCATCGCAAGAGCGCGCGAGTTACCAGGAAAAGACCTGGGGCCACGAAAGCCCAAGTCACAGCAATCGCAAGGCAGGAAATTGTTGAAATTGTTTGAATGGCTTTGGTGATCATATCAATCATATCAGGATTGGACCACTGGGCACAGCCGTTCGCTTCTCAAGAACTTGGAATGCTTCATCCCACCTCAGCAAAATGGATGTTGCGAACACGTCATTCAGAAGAAGTAGAGTGGCTGTAAAACGGATTAAAACGGGCTGATCGTGGCTATCAGGGCTGATCTGAATGAAACATAATGAAGCCATAGACAAGACGACATGACAAGACTTTGGGTCTGGTTTGTCAAGTGTTGTCGTCTAATCCTAAGGAACTGCATTTGATGAATGGCATGAACTGCAGTTTGAGTCTAGAGCCTTTGTTTATGTGCGAGCTCTTCCACGCTCCGCAGGAATCCACGCGTTTCTTCCTCTGCTGCGGTCAACAGTCTTCACGTCTTCAGACTCTTAATTGTATACAAGTATGCCTGACAACCTCGCAGTCTTGATTGGATAGAAGATTGCTGTCATATCCGTTTGTCGCCTTGCCCTCCAATTCGACGGCTCGTTTGGCCTCATCTTCGGCCTAGGCACAAAAGAAAATTTGTTTGGCTTGGGAAACATGTTGAGTTGTCAGTTCACCTCTGTCAGCGATCCTGCCTTTTTCTGTCTGAGGTAGGCAGGACTGTCCGAGAACGTGTACGGACATTCCTGCGTGACGGCGAACAAAGCTTCAGAAATGTGTGTGAGTGTGTGTCTGTGTGTGTGTGCATGTTGGTCACATATCGCAAACATTCGCAGTCTCTCCAAGCCCATTGACGGGTCTCTTGCCTCTTCAAGTGGGTTATCTGTGATCAGAGCACCTGGCTCAGCAGCTTGCCAGGCCCAATTGTTTCTGCAAGACACCGCATTTCAAGATGCCGTGCTAAAAAGTGATCCCACTTTCATGCAAATCAAATGGGTGCTGTTCAAAACCCTGATATCATGGTGAACGGTGAACACCAAAAATTGCCTGTAAATGGCTGAGTAGTTGATTTCATCCTCACCTTCGGATGGTCCCAGATGAAATCAACTACTCAGCTATACTATCTATACTCAGCTTCAGCCGGCTTGACCCTTCTGAGCCGGAATGAACTTTCGCGGTGCGGCCTGTCATGGTGCCGGACAACTGCGCACGTTGAACTGACTTATAATTTATGAAATACAATGATTAGTGCAATGATCATTACAATGGGCACTGACCATTGCAATGCGATTAGGAGCGGAGAGCGATGGTGATGATGGTAATAGTGGTGATCATTCTGATGATGGTGATGATGGTGATGATGGTGATGATGAGGAAATCTGAACAAACCCTGGTTTTCACATGTTTTCAATGCGCTCTTGCAGGCTGGGTCCTTCTTCTTCTGTCCCGCGACGGCTTGCTGCCCCATGTTGCGCGGCAAAATCGCGAGCGAACTGGCACCAATGTGAAGCAACTGCAGGTTCTTTCCTTTCCTACTGATGGCAAATTAACATGCAAACATATCAAACATGTTTGCACGAAAGCATTGATCAAAATTGTGTAACATGCCACACACTTTGGTTTCAAAGGCTTGCAGTGCACTGAGATGTTTAAAGGCATGCCGCAAAGGACTCTTCCGCCATGGCTATGAGAGATAGAGCAGCTCGCAGCGCAAGCTGTGGGGGCAGCGCGAGCTGTGGTCAAGGCTTTTGGTTTAGAAGCAGAGTTCTGCAAGGTTTATGAGAAGTCAGCTGCTATTTAATTGAAGCATAGACCGCACTGTTTGACTTGGTCATGATTGACAAAACTCATGAAATATGATATTGCGTGTAAGTGTAAATGCAAAAAATCTACTTGCGGGATCTTGCGGATAAATATATTATAATATATTGTGGGTATGGCCTGAAAGGGCTGCCGTGTTCCATGGTCAGCTGAATGCCATCAAGGAAGCCGTTGGATCTGTCAGATCAGTCTCACCGTACAGAGAGTTTTTTTCAGCATGGAAGATTGTGTGTGTGTGGTCTGTCTGGGTGCTCGTCGTCTTGTCAAGTATGTCTACGCTACTGTTTAATTGAGTAAGCAGCTACGGCAGGTTTGTAAACAAACAGTCAAACATCTCAGAACTCTTGTCATGACAATGCTGGAGAACAGTCAAGCACTTCTATTCAACCATATTCAACCTCAAATTGTCAGCATCAGGATGATGCAAACCACCGGGCACGGCGATCATCGCTATCATTTTTTCTTGCAATTGCGACGCTCAACCCCAAGCGTGCAGGCTGCGATTCAGCTAGCCTTCCCACCCCATCGTGACTGCAAAGATTTCTACAGTCTAACGTCAAAAGCCGGTCGCTCATGTAGTGCAGCACTTGGAGCGTTGATGTATTGGGATTGTGTGAGAACATGGAACAGGTTGCTACACGATTACCGGATCATTCAAACTTGAGGCCCAGGGGTAAGTGACGAAAGTTAGCCTGTCAGGGGGCTTGGCTTGGCATGAAAACACCCAGTATACTCGCAAACTCGTCTGTATTAAGGGATATTACGCCCAAGACAAGGCTTTCCATGTCTTGGTATAGAATGAACGGGACACGTTGAAGGGTGATCAATATCACATATGTTATGAAGAGAACACAAATATATCATATATCACGCAAGTGAACATAATGAGGAAACTCTCGCTTAGTAGCGTGGCAGTCACTAAACACGAAGAAGATTCAAGGGTCCACCTTCAGCATCGGAGTGGACCTTTCAAGGCTTAGAAGTTGCAAGAGAAGAAGATGTTAGAAGCGCGTCTAGGTAGGATGTCATGAGGACAATAAGCGGAAACGTGCCAGTGCAATTGCTCCAGGAGGATCTTTGCAAACTCGTCTATATGAAGGAATGTTATTTCCAAGATAAGCTTGCCATTGTGAGAACATGAGAACTGACTGGAAACTACATGTGAAGTTTCAAAGTGAAAATGAAGCTACATTTTAGGGCTCGCCATAAGTATGCCGATAGTGAGGGAGGCTGCACCAGTGACTTGAAGCATGCGCTAGTGATTATTGACGACGCCAATGATGCTGAGGATGCGGATGCTCCTGATTTTGCTGGCGACATGGCGACGGCGTCCCCGGGGGGATTGAGCCACGGCCAAACTGCTTGTGAACCAGTCAGCCGGGGGGGAGGGGGAGTTAACTATGAAGTTTCATGCGATTGGAGATTCCAGCCCCCCCAGCTGGCAGAAGCTAGCTTTTGTGACATACTATGACATACTCAAACCATGCTACTTCAAGCATAATCATTCCTCCACCCATGACAGTGGAGACCTTAGATAACAATGGATGACCTGACACATACACATACCTACACTGGGAATTTCTGTGACGACCCGATGTGTGCACCGCATTGCAATGTGACTGCATTTGGACCAGCTCTTGGCACGCTCACTTTCGTCCACGGCGCCCAGCGGTGCTTCCTCTGCCTCGACCTTTGGCCTTGGCGGCTTTGGAGCCTTTGGCCGACCTCGCTTTTCTCAGATCAATAGCGATCAAACGATCTGGGAACATCCGGTATATTCTGAGAGCATTCGCGAAAATATCAAAAAATCAAGTCAGTGTGGCGTCAGGGTCCGTCAGGCAGTGACAGTCACGTACGTGTTTTCATATTCCTGTGACAGACTGCAAGGCCTTGCAATGCCACATGTGCCACGTACGTGCTTTAGGGTCTGACTTTCCTTTTGCCTTGGCCTTTGCTTGCACCTTGGCAGTGACGCTCATGCTCATGTGGCATCTGATGCATCTTATTCTTGAATCAGCTCTTGATCAACGAGAAGAATACAGCACAACAATGCACAACCAGTCAAGAAAGATGGCCTTCTTGGCAAAGAACGCCTTTGCCCTCAGTGCCACATCAAAATGGCGGTTCCAAAACGCAAGCGGAAGATGACAAAGTCACAAGACAATCATAGAAAATCCAACAAATTCGTGAAGTCTTGCGAAGTGAGCCTTGGTTTCACTGACTCCTCCGTAGTAGCAGCTGCATCACCGTCAAGGGCTTTGCCTGCGTGAGAAATCGCGTTGCTCAAAATTGCTCAATATGTTTAATGATGTTTCATGGACCGATTGGATCAAAGCTTCTGTTCTTCATGTGGCGCACCAGCTTTGCTCGAAAGCTTTTGCAAGCCAGGAGGAGGTGGTGGCTTCGTCTGGCATTGCGCAGTGCCGTCTATATCCGTCTATCATTGATTCAGAGTTTGAAGCCCATAAAACGTGCCGCTGCTTCAAGTTTTGGATGGCGTACCGGTACCATGTCATCGAACAAACCCGGAAACTCTGCCAAGGTGGTCTTCAGCTGACGCTCCTCAATCATTTTAGAACAAGATTAATGGTATGAATATGTATGAATGGTATTGAATGGTATTTCATGGGTCAAAGTCGAGACAAAAGATGATTCAGCGATAACATCCAGTCCTGCATCTCCCCAAGCAGCAATGGCGAGATTTGTCCAGGGTGGAGGACCGGTGTTGTCAATGACGTTGTACTGGGCAAGACAAGCATTTCTGCATTACAAATGCAAGAACGATGGTTGCTGGTCTGTGCAGCTTGCGCTGCAGCTTCCGCCTGCTACTTTTTGACTTTTTGGACGAAAGCCTTAGCTTGTTGACTTGCCAGATCTAAAAGGATCTTAAAGTTTTCGTGAAGGCTTCACAGCACATGGTTTGCACGCTGGTTGCTACAAACGGATGCGATCATTGAATCATCAGCTCCATTCTTTGAGGTCACTGAGGTCAAAACGCCAATGTGGCAGCTGCGCGTTTTTGTGCGGCCTTCTCCTGTAGAAAATCACAGAAGAACAACTGACAGACACTGCACCTTGACCTTGGCCGAATGGAGCAGCAAAACAGATTAACAAGGCATCCACTGCACAAATACCTTGAAGAGTAGAACCCCAGTAAACTATGAAAACTGATTAATTGAATAATTTAAATGTTTTCAACATAGCATAGATTCCAACCTTGTAACATACTTTCTTTCGAGCTCGTGATTGACGAAAAAATGCGTTCGACACCAGCTTTTGATGGAAATGTCTGATCGTTCAAAACAAGCTCTGAAACCAGTTAAAGTAGGACTGTCCCGACCTGCCCTTTTACAACTGAAGCAGAGTGAAAATTGGCAGGTACAGCTAGCAAACATCAAATGACCTGAACTCACCGATTCTTCAAATGTCGGTACATTGGGCATGAGGATCAGTATGCGTTCTGAATGGCAAACGACAGAGCAACCTTTATCTACTAGCTGGACCCAAATCTCTTTCTACACTCCCAACCTTGGAAAAATATGGGAAAATGTTGAAGGATAATTCTTTTATTCATCCTCATTCAATCTTTCCAAAGAATAGGTCTGCTTTGCTTCTTTCAGAAGAATTTCAACCAGCTTGTCGGCGACAGTGGCCTCTGCCACTGCTGTTTTCGCTCTCGAGTCCAAGTTTGAGAGCCTTGGCAACTTGAAAATGAATACTCGCAAACTGAGGTACACTGGATAGATCTGAAAAAATATGATTGGCTGCTATTGGCTGCTGGTGTTCTATGGTGGTACCATGCTTCTGGCTCAACAAGTATTGCATTGAGGTCCGCCTCCCACATCTCCTGGGCCATGCTTTGCGGTGACTCAAATCTACGACAATAGTCTGACTGTATATACTATATATCTACGTATATATATATATATGTGTGTGTTTGTTTATATTTATAGCACTAAATATACATGATATAGCATATGACGTCATATGACGATATATTATGATGTAACATGACAGAACACAACCTTCAGATGAATCTGATTCAATTCGCTCCAGCCTCCGGTGCAGTACACTGCAAGTCTTGCAACTCTGCCTGCAATGCCAGGGAGATCAGTCGTGATGAGGTTCTATGGCAGCAGTAAACAGCAGTACACAGCACGCAATTGTTTCAATTAAAGCCTTTCAGGGGCCATTAGAAATTCTGGAAGTACTCAGAAATGCTTGCTTTGAGCGCCTGCTTGTCTTTCAGTTGTGCCAACAGGGTCGCTACTCTTTCCGCTGTAAGTGACCTCATTGCTGCGGAGGCATTGAGAAGTTGCACACGTCAAATGCTTTTTCGGTTCTTTCCAAAGGCTCGGACCACAAAGGCATTCCCAGAAGATACTCCCAACCTCGTCCTCCTTGACCTCCCTCTACTTCTACACTTTCTCCTATGGCTGCTATCAAGCAAGCGGATGCAAGCAACATCATGTGCTGAAGTTTTGAAAGAGCAATGACCCGATTTCATCCGATTTCCAAGGCCTTCTGTAATTTCTTGCATGGTTTTGAAGCCATGCTTTCGCAGGTCCTGCATAGATTTCAAGGCCTTTGGACATGGTTTGAACCGAACGCAATGAAATATACACTGTGCAATCTGAGCAATCTCTGGTCCTCAATCAAAACATCCTTCTTTCTGTTCTTCACTTTCAACTTCTCGTCAATGACCTGCTACTCAGAAGGTCATATTAATATCTCAATCAGGTTTTAAAATGTTTGAAATGGATCGCAAGAGCTCACCTGAACTTCATGTCATAAATAAATACCACCAGTTGTTGTTTGCCCTTGAGTCCATCAGTGATCTTACAAACAGTAGTGTCACGGCCACTCTCAGCCATAAAAGCAGAATAGTTTTTTGCATCGGCAAGACAAGATTGTTTGAGGCAAAAGGATGAGCCTAAAATATGACATGTAAAATTCACATGCTACATCATGCCACACAACATGTACGCCACGACATACTGCTGTGCCTCCTGTACAAACCGAGCTTTGGCTGCCAGAATCTCAGCTTGTATCCTGAATTCAAGCTGATCAAAGGGTTGAGAAAAGCGAAGAAGAAACACCAACGTCTAGCCGTCTAGCCGAGCTTCACAACAGCGGCTCCGTCAAGCTTCGTCAGAGACTGAGGAACAAACTGCAGAATTCTCACGAGATGGGCTTTTCTCTTGTGGTAGTACCTTCAGGAGACCCAGTTGCAATGCGTTTCCTTCATGCTCCCAAGTCCATGATAGTCCATGGATACACCGGGCGATTCCCACGTTTCAAGATTGCTGAGCCGTACTAAGCCACTGAGCTTCCTGCTCAAGGCGCAGCTCAGCAAATTCTTCGATGATTTGCCGCTCATCGGCATATTTCCTCACCGTGCTACGATTGCAGAACAGAAGGAAAAGAGAAATTAAGAAGTCAATTCACAAGCGTCAACTCCGTCTCAACACTGGCTTCACTATTGGGCTATGGACTTGATTTTGCCATCCTTGTCGAAGAATATCCTTATGTGCACATTTGCTGCAGAGACATCATGAACAGGTACTGCAACCAGAGTTGACAATGCATGAAGTACTTTGATATGCTGCGATCTCACAGTGCTTGCGCTTTTACTTTCGACCTCAAGGATGCTGCATGTTGTTGGTCGACAAAGCACTGCGCAGCTTGAAGGATTTCTCCAATCCTGAAACCAAGAAGGTCTGAGGACTACAAACACACCGACCATCAGGACAACACCGATGATGCATCCATGGTGATCTTTGTCAAACTGAGAGAAATCTGGAGACTCAAGTCCTATGTACTCATGAGCTGCCATTTGCTCCTGAGGCAGTTCAGTGGGCGGAAACAAAAGGCACTGGGATGAAATGCATGCAGCATACAACTGTTGAGTCTGGCCCATGCAAAGCTGCTTCCCCAGCGAGAAAAAGTGTTCCGTCTATTTAAAGCAACTTGCATGCAAACAAGGCAGGCTGTGTTGGTGAGAAGGGCATCAGAACATCGGGGTAGGGAATGCTGGGTGGCTAATTCAAGGCATATGCAGTGGCACTAAACAAAGTAGAACGGTTTTCAATTGGTTCAATGTAGGGAGGTGCGACTGAGAAGTCACCAATGCCTGGGACTGGGACCCCGCGAGACAAAACAAACCAAACAGGACATTAGTCAAACAAATCAAACAAGAGCGAAACAATGTCAAACGATGTCAAACGTACTGAGATACAAAAGCGCGCCAGCAAAAGCATGCAGCGAGGCTGTGTAGAGCAGTCGACTAGAAGGTTCCACGTTGGTATGTGTCTGTCAATATATTGTACGTAATTATTCATCTTCAATTCCGCCCATGCAAGAAAGGTATTTGACAAAATTGTTGACTATATAGAATATGTTTCTCTTCAAAATAAAAGACTGCATGCACTCCCTCTGGCCTCTGTCACAGTGATGGTGAAGTGGACTGTCGCCTGCATCTCAAGAACCAAGACCGAGGCATTGGCATGTTTTTGCTGCCAGTTTGTGGCTGTCGATTCTGACTGACTGGCCTCTGTGTGCCACTCCTGGACAGGTCAATGTGCCCATTTTGTGCACTGTGTTGAATCGCTCTGATTCAGTGGTCCAAGATGTCCTTGAAATCCTCAATCTGCCCACTTCCAGGCCCTTCGGTTGACAGCATAGCCTTTCAGAAACGGAACAAAAATGTGCTGGAGTCTGTAGAATCACAATGAATCAAGCAGGATGTTATGACGCTGGGCCTGCAACACAGACACCTTGTAGTCCTTGTTGCAAGGGATTGGGCATGACTTGCGTTGACTTCGCTAATCTGTATGACTCGTTCACCGTTGCAGGGTGTTGGCGTCCTCCGTCCACTTCTTGATTGGAAGCTCTGTGATCTCCAACGTTGTAGGTCCCCGCCTCTGAGAGTAGCAATTCTGCTGACCACAACACAATATGATATATACAATATATTGATATATATATATATATATTATATATATTATATATATATTATATAATTAATTATATATATATTATATAATATATATATATATAACAACTCGATCGCCTCAACTTGTCACTCCCCCACCCGACCGCCCTCAATCATGCACTCTCTTTTTCCAGACGAGTGCTGCGGTGGTCTGGGCTGCAGCGTTTCTTCGTCCTTGGTTTCGCAGCCGTGAGACCAAATGGTGGGGACATGTGGGGGAAACACCCATAGGTTTCTTTTCCCCCCTTCTAAATTGGGTGGTAGACCAGCCCTTGCTGGATGACCATCTCCTTTTAGGGTTTTACGTCCTTACCATACACCTTTGTGGGGGGTAAAACCCTTTATTGTACAGGAGACTTTTCTCCTACCTAGACCAAACCAAAGGTGCGTTCTTACCCCTTGGTAAGACCCCCTAATTTGTTGGCCTTGTTTCCCCAGTCCTTACTGGCTAATCAACTTAATATGCCAGGGTGCTCCAATGCCCTGGGTTTTCCTTGGGATGAGGTGGGTGGGGGAAAAGCCCAGGGAAGGAGCCCTCCAGCTTTAAAACCTTGATCCAACATGGCCACCATCAAAGTTATGATTGGACACCAGCCATCCCACCAACAAGTGCCGGCTCCTAGTTGTTAATTCATGCAACAAGTTGCATTCCCCAACAACTCGATCGCCTCAACTTGTCACTCCCCCACCCGACCGCCCTCAATCATGCACTCTCTTTTTCCAGACGAGTGCTGCGGTGGTCTGGGCTGCAGCGTTTCTTCGTCCTTGGTTTCGCAGCCGTGAGACCAAATGGTGGGGACATGTGGGGGAAACACCCATAGGTTTCTTTTCCCCCCTTCTAAATTGGGTGGTAGACCAGCCCTTGCTGGATGACCATCTCCTTTTAGGGTTTTACGTCCTTACCATACACCTGTGGGAGGTAAAACCCTTTATTGTACAGGAGACTTTTCTCCTACCTAGACCAAACCAAAGGTGCGTTCTTACCCCTTGGTAAGACCCCCTAATTTGTTGGCCTTGTTTCCCCAGTCCTTACTGGCTAATCAACTTAATATGCCAGGGTGCTCCAATGCCCTCCTTGAAGTCTTCTTCGCGCCCTGGCGTCAGGCGTGCCGAAAGCACCGGGTGCATGCGGCCCCGTCCTTCAAGGTGTAGGCCCCCGCTGCCCCGGTGGCGGCCCATCTCCAGCCACACCACGTGATCCAGTCCTCGGGTGGGCCTGTAGTTTGCCCTACCCTGTGGATCACGCCGGTTAAGCTGTTCCGGACCGTCAGGTTGCCTCCCACTTGCCCGCTCCCTTCCCCTTTCCTTCGACACTGCTTTCCATCGGAAGGGGGTGGAAGGCACCTGTCCGGCTCCGGGCGTTGCGCATCAAAACTTGTGCCGTGGGCTTGGAGGCCCAGGCTGCCTTCGTGTATGGTGTACCCCTCAGGTAGGCATACATCGCCTTGGTGGAGGTCCAGCGTCCCAGCGCCTTCACTGTCTCCTCCTGGAGCCCGGCCTCAAAGGCCGCAATTGCCCCGGCGACCCGTAGGCTGTGCGACCCGAAGCATGCCCACCCGTCCTTACGTATCTCCTGCCCGTCCCTTGCGGCCGCGTATTCGATGGCCTCTGTGACGGTCTTCTGGGTCAGGCGGTGCCCGTCCGCGTCCGTGAACAGCGGGGCTCCCGGCGCGCGTCCTCCCTTTTCCCTAAGGGAGCCCATGCGCTTGCGGGCATGGTTCCATGCGGTGTGGGCCGGGCACCAGGGCCGTGCCTCAAGCGCCTCGCACGTGCAGGCCCGCGCGACGAGCTCGCCTGCCCCCTCTTGGTCCGTTTTGGACTTTCGGACGTGGAGGGCGACGGCAGTGCCTGCCTTGAGTAGCTCCGGGTTGAGCTTGCGCCCGTCCGGCTCGACCCGGACCAGCTCCTGTTCCTAAGGTGCTGGATGGCTCGATCCCAGGTCCGGAGCCGGGACGCCCGCGACCGGCTCGTAGCCGTGGCGACAGCTAGCTTCAGTGCTTTTCCAAAAGTCAGTTGCAGGTGAGAACGACCCCCCTTTCCTTTGCCCCCTTTCCGGAAGAGGTTGCGTTCCCTGTCCCTGGCGGCCTTGCTCGGCTTCTTGCTGGGTTTGCCGCCTCCGCTTCCCCGGCGCCTGTTCGGGTCGCCGCGGTCCGGTGGGCCGTTCCCCCCGTCGCCTCCGCCCCACGGCCGGCCCGACCGCCTCTTGTCGTCACCGTATACGGTGCGGGCATTACAGTTGAAGGAGTGCTCCCGGCCCTGTGTTTCGGTGCAACGACCGCAGCAGATCTCGTCCGATCCCCGGGCCGGCCGGTTGCAGTGCGGGTTCATGCATTCCCGCCGATGGTGACTTTCCCAGTCGCCCCCTGCGCGTTCTGGCCTCTCTGCCCAATCTCCTTTGGATCCCGCGATGTTGCGATAGAGGCCTTCCCTGTCCTCCTCCTCGTCCGTGACCTCCTCTTCTTCGCTTGATTCCATGTTATTCCGTGGCCTCTCTGCTCCACGCGGGCTCCGTTCCTCGTCCCTGGCCCGTCTAGCCGGAGAGGCCGGTCTGGGTGCCCCGGGGCTCGCTTCCGCGGTTCTTCGTGGTGCCGCCTCCTCGGGCGGGCCCGATTCCTCGCCCCCGGTCCTTCCATCCGGTGAGGCCGGTCTGCGGGGTGAGGCCGTCCTCGCCACCGGCGTCCGGCTCCGGGCCCTCGCCGGCGCCTCGCCGCGGCTGATCAGGCCCACCCGTCGATCCCTGCCCTGTCCGCTCGCTGGTGGTGGCTTCCCCGCCCCGCCCTCCGGGACTGCTTGCCTGTTCCTTGCATCCAGCGGCGGGAGCGGCCCAGCTCCTTGCAGCTGCGACCCATAGGCCATAGCTCGGTTTGCGCAGCAGGGGCACATCGGCGACCCCCGCACCCACACCACGCACCGCTCACACGGGGTGTGCCCGCACAGCCGGCGGTCGGTGCCTGTCGGCCTGATGGCGCCGTTCCTGGCCGGGGCCAGGCAAATGGCTATGCGCGGGCTGCCTGCCCCCCCTGCGCGGCGAGTGATCATGGTGGAATAGTCCAGGGCCTGCCGGTGCTGGATGCCGCGACAACTGCCCATCCCGCAGCCGCAGCAGATGGGGCCGTAATCAGGCAACCCGAGCTTGTCGCCGAAGTCCCTTGGCGGCGGGCTTTCTTCCGGGTCGTCCTCGCTGTCGCTCCGATCCGGTTCACGCCTGACCCCTTTCTCGGGCGGCCCTGCCGGTTCCTTCCGCCCCTTGTCGCTGCGTTCCGAGTTGACTGGGGGCGGTGTGGTCGCGGATCCTTCCCCTGCCCCTTCGTTGCACGGGAGACCCAGGAAGTCGCGGAGACCGTCCGTCGTGTCCAAATCCGTCAGCTTCCAGACCTTGCATCGGCCTGGGCCACCGCACCTGTGGCCCGCGCTGGTGTCTGCCGCATGGCGGCACGCCCTCTTGCCGCGACTCCATTCGGTGCTGAGGCGTAATTGCCCGGCACGGTCGCCTCGCTTCCTCCCACCATGGGTGAAGGCATCTGCGGGGCCGGTGCGTGGCCACGTCTGCCCTCCACGGTCATCCGGGCCGCCGCCTTCTCTGTTCCGTTCTTCCGACTTCGTGAGCCGCTCGGCCCCCTGCGTCGCCCTGCATGGCGGCGCCGCCACGTGCCCTGGTCCGGACCGCCCGGCAGCGAGAGCTGCTGCTGCCCCCTGACTTGGTCGCGGTCCGGAAGGGAGTGCACGTCGGAGGGAGCGAACCTGGGAGGCAGTGAGTCCCACTGCCTTCCATTTCCAGGCCGCTGCCCTGCGCAACAACATCGATGGAGGCAGGCGAGGAGCAGGCTGGTGCTGGTGATGTCTAGCAGCAGCGCAACAGTGAGGTCGGCGGGTATGAGCCCAAAAAAGGTGCCGCTGACTGTTAGCAGCATTTGAGCACAAAAGGGGCTGCGGAGAAAGGGGTGTGGCGTTGGGGGGGGGGGGGGGCAACCTGGGGAAAAAACTTTTAACCTACAAGTTTCTTAAAGTGACCCAACGACCCCCCGCGGCCATTGCCAAAGTGCCAGCCGAGGGTCACTGAAGACTTCGGAGAGGAGAAAGAGCGGCCCCTCTGGCACAAAATCGCGGGGAAGGGGCAGCAACCGCTTTGGTATCTGCTTCCCTTCCGCTAAACGGGACAGTGCGTCGGCCTCAATGTTGATGGAATTGGCCCAATGCTGTCCTAGAATGGATTCGATTCCTAGCTGCTCGGTGCGCAGTGCAAGCTCGGCAGCCACCAGGTTTGCCTTCGGGTGCGGTGAGGCCAGCTTTGCTGCTACGAACAGCGCAGACTCCGAATCTAAATGGGCCATCATTCCCAACCTACACTTGCGTAGGAAGGGGGCCCAGATAATAATTGAGAATAGAAGGGCGAGGAGCTCGTAGGTCGTCATCAGACCCGGCTCTCCGGCTGTGATTGCGAGGTGATGCCCACCACCGGACTGGGTTACCCTTAGCATCCAAGAGGATGCCGCCCAGCCCGGATGTGGAAGCATCTGTGCGCACATACCACTGTGGGAAGGCAAACCTGTCCCAGATCAAACGCACTCGCCGCAATCCTCCGTGCTCTCCCTGCAGAAATCGTTGCAGCCATTTCAACGGTAGTCGTACCATTTTGGTAAAGACTGCGTCCCTGGGCCGAATGCGTGCCCTGGAGAGGCCCTTCTTGGCCCTACAGTCCTGCCTTTCCATAGCGTAGGTAGCCGCCCAAATCATGTTGGCAAACGGCCTGATGGTCGGAACTATGCCGGCTATCCAGCTCAGCTCCCCGGCCAAACTGCGCATGCCCTGGACTAGGCCGGCTGTCTCCAGGCCTTGACGCACCGTGTCCTGCAGCCGGGCAATGCGCTCCGAATCGACGGCGACCTGCACGCCCCCGGGGATTACGGTGAAAACCGCCCCGATCCATTTGACTGCTTGCCCGCGTGCCGCCTTGTGCAGGGCTATCCGGGCTCCAAGGGCGGCCCAGAATGCCAGAACCTTGGCGATGACGAAGGTTCGGGATGCCCGGTCCCCACGCACGATGCATATGGGGTCATCTACATAGATGTGTGTGCGGGATCGCCACTCTTGTGAAAGGGCTTGGGTTGCCCGTCCGATCCAGGCTGCGGTTCGCCCCCACACTAGGGGTGCTGTGGCGAGCCCAAACGGCACGCCCTTATATGCCGCATAGTCGCCACTGGCTGTTCGGACAACGGCATAACCCCTTTCTTCCTCGGCGATGGCCAGATTCAAGAATGCATCCGAAAAATCGGCTGAGAAGAATTCCAGGCCGGCGTTGCCTTCCAGTAGGTCGAGTGCGTCCCGCACGACGTCGCAGGCTCTTGGGAGTACGATTCGCTCGCTCGCTGACGCGAGGCCATTGATTCCGGACCGCCGCATATCTGCGACGAATCGGGTCTTGATGCTCCCATCTCCCCTTTCCTTGACCAGGGTCGCCAGCTTGGCTTTGGGCCACCTGGCCGTCACCTGCTCCCAGGTGCCCACGATCTCCAGGTGTCCCTCCTTTACCAGCCGATCCAGCTCCACACACGACTCCTTCTCGTGGAAATGGAAGTAATTTCTCTCGACTGTGACCTCATCCCCGCGCGTAGCAAGGTACTCCGCACTTTCCAGCTGCGCCTTCGTAGGCTGAGCCGGCGGAAAGATACCGCGCGGCTCGATGGGTTCCGAGATCCCTAGCGGTGTGCGCCCTTGTAGCCAGCGCGCGACGTCGTGGTCCAGGTCCCCTGCTCCTTCTGTGATGGCCTGGACCAGCGCCCATCTCCATCCAGTGGGGCCGGTGGGCTCCCATGTATTCCCTTTTCCTGTGGCTTCCGCTAGGGCACGCGCGGCTCGCTTGCCCAGCGCCTGCAATGTTTCCTGGGCCTCCAAAGCCTCTTCCGGCGTCATTTCAGCACCGATGCCCTCTGCCAAGGCGAATGCCTCGGGAGAGTCGGCCAGCACTTCATCCAGCGCCGCTGATGCTTTGGCTCCCCAAGCTTGCCATCTAGGGGCCTCCCGGATGGCTCTCCTGGGATTGCGCATGCCTCCCGGATACGCCTCGTCCTCGGCAGCCCTACCGTCCCTGCCCGAGGGTCAGTTCCTATCCGAAGCGCAACTTCCTAACTCGTCCCGCACTAACTTGTTTTGGTACCTCCCGATCCTCCGATACGTCGGTTTGGTCGGGTCCGGGTGCGGGGGCGGTGCGCTCTTTGCTTCGGGACATAGTCCGTCCCGTCCTCCTGTGGTGCCCCCTTCTTTTTCCGGTCCCGGGTGAGGCTGTGCACCGGGCCGGGCACCGGGCTTCTCAGCCCGGGGTTGGCCGGCTGGTCAGGGGGTGGCCCCCTTGCCACATCCCTTGGCCGGGTGTGGCCCCATACTGGCATACGTGTGCCATTTGCTTAGGGCAATTTCCTTTGCATTCCCCGTTGTTGCTTGTCGGTGAGGTACCGGCCTCTGTTGTCTCTCTTGGCCCCTCGGCCCTTCGCTTTGCCGGTCGGGTCTCCGGTGCCTCCCGTGGACGGTTGCCCCTGTCCTGACTCCGTCGGTCGTCCGGCCAGGGCCTTGGCCAATTGGGCCTTGAGCCTCTCCTTTTGGGACTTTCTTGTGCCCCTCGGCTTGGGCTTTTCCTGGGTCAAGTCAGTCAGGGACCCGGTTCCGCCCGGCTGCTCCTTATGCTTTCCGGCCGTGCGAAAGAGCAGGGCCGGCTCGCGCACATGGCGATCCCAATACTCCCGGTCCCGGGCGGCCGCGCGGAAGACTCCATTCCATGGCTGGCTGGGTTCGTAGTCTGGCGCCAGCCCCTTTCCATGCTTTTCGTCTACTAGGTGGTACCCCCAAGTTATAAGCTATGTTATAACGTTCACAACTTAACTTAGAAGCAGGGTTAACATACGTTATAAGTTTCATAACTCATGTTGGAGTTGTAACTAAGAAATGAACTTATAACATAAGTTAAGGGTTTCATGGCAATAAGTTATAAAAGAGATAGTAAAAAGTTATACAAGTTAACTTTCATGATGGGTTTTTTTGTTTCATGTTATCTGGAGAAAAAAATGGAAGCTTTTGGTGACTCTTGCAGGCATTCTCAACTCAAGGCCATCAAACGGAGTTGTCGAAGCATGGCTGCTGCTTTGGGTGTTCAGGAGCAAGGTGCCAGACGAATCCCTATGCAAGACTGGCTACGCTTTCCATTGTATCTGTTGCGGAGATCGCATTGGGAGCTACTTCGCTCCGGAGAGCGGCAATACAACAAGATCGAAGGTATTGCACAGCATCTGGTGTCTTGCGGCTTGAGGTCTCCCAGTGAGAGGACGCAGACGACCATGTGCGCTTTGATAGTGCACACATCTCCCGAGGAGGGAGCCATGCGGCTGGAAGAAGATGGCGTGCGCGCTCAGGCTCTCTTGTCAACCGTTAAGGCGGTGTTAAAGGCCAAAATTTTGCGAGCGAAGACCCTTGGAACACCGTTGGTGGGGAACGAGTACATCGTAGAGTTGCCGGCGTCAGTGGGCGAACTGCCTGCGACGTTTCGACAGCAGTTTTTCGAAAGTATTGCTGCAGTTGAGCCGCCCATTGACTTGAATCCAGTTTGGAGATCTGCCAATGCATGGGTATGTCGCTCCACGAACCAAAGGGTGCGACAGGAAGCATTCCAAGGGTTTGCTGGGCAGCAAGCAATGGTGCAGCAGACAGCGCTTGTCGCGGCCAATATGATTGCATTGGCTGCTGGACAAGCGGCTCCTGCAGGGTTGCCTGGTTTGCAGATTTTTGCGGCTCCCAAAAAAACGGATGCAGCTGGATCCAGTCAGCTGCAGCATCTTATGAATCGGTTTGATGATTCTGATGCGTCTGCATCTGCATCAACCATGCCAGTGCCAGCGTCAGGCACCGCAAGGGTGGAACCGAGGATGCTGGCGCTGGAGGATAGACCTGCTGGGCCAGCAAGTTCGGTGCCATGCAAGTCTGCAGGCGCTGACTTGGAGGAGAAAATGCCGCTGATGCAGGCGGAAGCAAAGGAAGAAGGGAGAGTTGCGCCGCCTCCGGGCGGACCGCTGGAACAGAGTTTGGCTGCGTTGGCGCACGCTCACTACCAGAAGGAGCTGCCGGAGAGGCCTGGGTTAACGGCCAGTGGTGCGGAGAATTCTTCGAAGGCGAAGGGCTTGAAGCGTCCCGCTTCCGTTTTGCGCAAGCCGTCAGCATGCAAGTCTTCGTTGGATTCGCACCCTGCCGTGGCGAAGCGTCCGGCAGCGAAGCAAATGGGGAGGAAGGAGACTGCGAAAGCCACGCAAGACGCAAAGCAGAATGAACTTGCCGTGAAGGCCAACGGAAAGAAAGCTGGTGGGATCAAGAAGAAAGCTTCCGCCGTGAAGGCGTCGGGGGGAAAATCGAAAAAAAGCAAGAAAGCGGCAGGTCCGTTGCAGACCATTAGCCGTAAGGTGGCAGCCAAGAAGTATCCCAAAGGTTGCTCTCGCTGTCGACACCGTGCAGGTTGCACCCCAAGCTGCTGGGAACGCCGCAATTTCAAATTGATCGGCTGAACTTTTCCAGTGGGATGCCGCCCAGAGCTGATATGGCCGCCGAGAGTCGCTTGAAAAACATATGCTTGCTTCTTTGCTTTCCAACGTGGTACATGCACTTTAATCGGAACATATATATATATATATATAAAAATATCACGTTGAGACCCTTAAAATATTTTTAAATCCGAATTATACATATACATATATATGTATGTATATGTAAATATATACTTATATATATATATATATATGCTCATACATGCTTTAATATATATATTTGTGTACATTACATATGCACATATATTTATATGCGGACTTGTATACAGAGATGTGGCTGTAGAGTTTGAACGGGCCTTTTTTATAGATACATTCTAATCAATGCCCACGCCTTCTTGCATTCAGGCAAAGAAAGCATACATACATACATACATACATACATACATACATACATACATACATACATACATACATACATACATACATACATACATACATACATACATACATATAAATACAGACATATACATACAAACAGAAAAACAAACATACATACATACATACAAACAAACAAAGAAACATACATACATAGATACATACATACATACATATACATATATACATACATACATACAGACAGACATACATACATACATACACATATATATATATTGATATAATGATTTAATATCGAATGTAGCCAAACTGTGTGGATTTTTATATATGATCCAGAGGCATCATTTCATCGATGCACATATTATATATATATATATGTATATTTTATGTTTGTGGCCGTGTTGCAGCCGTTTTCGTTGCGAAGCAGCATAGTGGCGGAGCAATGATGGCGGCGGACGCGGATGACGAGGCCGGACAGTTCAGTGGGACATATAAGTATATACGCAGATATTTATATATATATATATTTACACTGACTAATATATATATATATATGGCATATATATATATATTATATATATATATCACATAAAGCTGGCAGCGACTGCCGGCCATGTACCAGGGGTGAAAGAGATGCCTGCCTATGGGCGCGCCTCGCCATCCATGTGATGCCCGCTGCCATGCCTGGTGCGCGCTGCCTACGGGCAGCGCAACTATATAGCTGCGCTCGCCCACGGGCGGCGCAGCTGTATTGCGTGGTCGCACATGGGCCGCGCAAGTTCAGACCTTTGCGCACGCCTACGGGCGGCGCACCACATAAACCTTTTGCTCGCCTATGGGCAGCGCAGACCAAGACCATTGCGCTCGCCTACGGGCGGCGCAGGCTGGCGACATCACGCTCGCCTATGGGCGGCCCAACAACATGGCGCTCGCCTAGGAGCTTGTGCCTGGCTTCTCAATATGCTTGGTGCTGACTTGCATGGTGGCGGACCATGATGCGCAGCGCGGCGCTCTCGCCGCCAAAGGCTCAGCAGGTCTCAAGCCGTGTGCCTTTTGCGTGAACTGCATAGCAAAGAACGCGGAAGCCACGGCGCAAAGAGATCCGCATTTCCGCACCATCGCAGAATGTGACTTTGGCATGTTCCATCAACATTCGACGGACGCGCTGCGGCAATACATTGGCAAAGCTCTCTCACTACCGAAGACAAAAGGCGAGCATGAGCTACAGGAGCGGGTACTCGGCTACAGAATCGAAAGAGACAACATGTGGACGTCTCCCATGTGTATGCAAACGCTGCCATTGGAGAGCTATGTGAACGACAGCATGCATTGCTACTTTTCCTGCGGCATTGCCTGCGTCGAAATTGCATTGCTCGTCGACCTGGTGCAGAGCGTAACCGCAAAATCTAGTTCAGACATATTGCAGTGTGTCCTTGCTGCTGGCTGGCAACGGCCGGGTCAGCATCTCCGCCGTGGCGAAACCCAGTTCTATACAAAAAGATTATTTACAGCGGCCTATTTCACCGCTGCAATATACAAGGGAAATGCGAAACAAACAATGGCGCTGCTTCCCTTGCTGCGTTGGGTGTGTGAAAGTCTATGGCTGCGGGCGCCAGAGCTCGAAACAGCTGCGGCTTGTTTCTTGAAACTCTGCGCCTGCGTGGAATGCATCAGCACAATAAAGGAAACCAAGGCCTTTGATCAGCTGCATGCATTGCAGGCAGAGCACCAAAAGGCATTCGTGCAACGATGGGGTGAATTCGTCCGTCCGAAACACCACCATCGGTTACATTTGCCATTTCAGTACAAAGCTCTCAACCTCGTGCCCACCATGTGGGGAACAGAAAGTAAACACAGAGACTACAAAGGGATATTTGCAGCCAACTTTCAACAATGGCTCACCGAAAACATAGGCGGCAGCGATTTTTCCACGCGGCTTTTGCCGCGTCTTGCGCTCCGCCACATGGAGCTGTGGAATGAAAAGCCGATGAATGCGGCCGGTTACTCCTTGGAAAAAACTTTCCCTGAAGACGAAGTCCAAACGGAAACCGGTCTCACTGGAGTGGCGCTCGCTCCCAAGTGCCGCATAGGCATGCTAGAATTGCAAGAAGGAGATTTCATTATGTGGGGAGCCACTTGCGAAAAAGCAGGGGTTTGCCACTTCTTTCTTGAAAAAGGTGCTGAGCTCTATGTGTGTCTCAGCCAGTATGAATACATCAGCGGCACGGCTGCACTCAAAACCTTCCGCATCACCACAAACAAAATTGTAGAGAAATGGAACGCTCTTGAGAATCCGAAAACGTGCAGTTGGTGGCGCAAAGAGAAATCTAATTCATATGTGCATTGCTTGCCGTGAACAAAGCCTGTGTGGCCGGCAAGACACAATTCAATGTGCCAAACATTGGTTGCAACCACGCGGGGATGCGTCCTCAATGCTCAATAAGAGCATCTGCGCACTCGGCCATAGAGAGAATAAAAAAGACCGCCTTATACACCAACTTGTTGCTGAGAACCAAAAATAACAGGTTTTAATCGAATTTACCCTGAAAAACAAAATTCCCGAAACTAAAAACTTACTGAAGTTAAAATGAAGATATAACTTACTTATAAAACCCATAACTTAAGTTATGTTAACTTCAACATAACTTAATTTACGTTACTTATAAGTCCCTTAAGTTCAACATAACTAGGGGGTACCACCTTGTAGGTCCCTTTTCAGTCGGACGAAATGTTCCGCGCGGCAGCGGTCTTCTGCCGTGACCAGCAGATGCCAGGATTCCGGGTAGTGCACGGTCAGATCCCGGAAGGCGTCTTTATATTCTTCCAAAGCGGCGACTGTGACGACCGCTTCGGTAGTGCCGGGTGCCACCGTGTGCTCCAACATCAGCAGCGTGTTCTCGTACACCCGCCATGACGACAGCCATGAGTCATAGTTTGGCGGTCCAGCTACCTCCACAGCCCGAAAGGTACCGTCCGGCTGGAGCACGTGGTTGAGGAACTTGAGAGTTCTGGAGAAGCGTCCTTGATAATTGACAAAAATGCCGAAGTCGGCGTAGGGTGCCAACCCTAGTTCCAGGACTCTAACCCGCATAGCGGAGATTTGGTCCGGAGAAGGCTCTGCTTCTGGGCGAACCGGGCCTCCTTTGACTCGCTGCAAAATTTTGAAGTGCTCGTCGATCGTGACCTGAGTCAGCTCCGGCACTTCGCCCTCGTCCGCTTGGTCCAGGACCTGATTGTTCTTTACCTTCCGAACAGGGTGCCCGGCATTTCCTCCTCCCGTGGCACCGGCTGGTGCGGGTGCTCCGCCACCTGCCGCATGTAGCAGCGGCTCCGAGAAGGGATCTACTGGGTTTCGTCCCAGTTTCATCTGTGATAGCTGCGCCATCAGCCCCCGCCCAGGGAAGGAGCCCTCCAGCTTTAAAACCTTGATCCAACATGGCCACCATCAAAGTTATGATTGGACACCAGCCATCCCACCAACAAGTGCCGGCTCCTAGTTGTTAATTCATGCAACAAGTTGCATTCCCCATATATATAATATGTATTTAGTATGAACATTGAGTATGACATGTCGTACGTACGTATGTATGTATGAGACATATATACATCAATACATACACAAGGGCTGGTACGTTTCAATATAGAATGTGGGAGAGAAGTAAGTCGAAACATCCTATTTGGCCCACTTGATTTACAAGGTCCAGTGATTTCTCTTCTCTGAGCAAACTTTGCTGCACTGGGGCCGAAGCTTTTCAATGACTCCCACAGATTCGTAGCCAACTTTCTCTGGTGACCTCATTCGCACAAGGCAGCGCTTGAATTGAACCGGTCGGACAACTTGAGGCCAAGGGGGAAGGGACGAAAACTAGCTGGGAGGGTAAAGGGAGAAGGAGGAAGCTGTGGTTAAGAGCGATGTGTGAGGAATTGGGAGATACAAAGTGGAGAGTAGGTCTGATGATGCTGATGATGCTGACGGCGACGACATCACGACGATGTCCTCAGGCGGGTTTTAGCCATGGCAAAACTGCCTATAAGTGCTTGTGAAAAAGCGAGACGGGGGGAAGGGGGTAGTTAACTGTGAAGTTTCATGTGATTGGCGATTCCAGCCCCCAATACCTTGCTAAAGCAAGAGGGACTTCAGCTAGCAGCTAGCTTCCGTGATTTGGTGCAGCTACTCGCTCATTTGTTCAAACTTGTTCCGCATATCATATAACAGTCTTCAAATGTCTTGAAGTCTTGAAGTGTCACTGAAACCGGACCACAACATGCTCTGTGTCAAGAAATCACCTCGACAAGGCCCCAACAGGACCAGGCTGCCCTTGAAACCAGCATACCATGGGCACATCTCCTGGGAATGAAAGAGGACAGAATCGAGTTATCGAACCGTTTCGACTGGTTATTACTGGTTGGACCATGTTGGATGACCATTGCTTCATCTCTTCCACGCTCAATGCTCCTGCAAAGGCTCGCATCGAATATACCTGAATAATTCACTGAATGGTTCAACTTAATGATGCACTGAAATTGAATGTGAGATTTGCGAACAGATGCGATGACTGCTCTGAGAACTTTGAAGACTCTGTGCCACGGCGTTGACTCTGTGCCACTGCGCTACCTCTTCAGGTTCGCAATGATGTCGCGGGGATGGTAATTTGGCAGGGAGGTCGACCAGCCAGTGCCAATTCCTGACACCATCTGACAGAGAGTTGAAGGGAGTTGAGACTAGTCGAGACTAGCTCACCATCAAGTGAACCTGAGCTCCGGATGACAAGAACCAAACAGCCCGCTTCAATCTACCTACCTTTAGAATCTTTCAGATCTCCTATGATTTTTATTACAGTAAGATCTACTGTAACATCTCTTAACAGCATATCAAGCAGTTCGTCTTGCCCCTAGTCAGACTGCGCACAACCCTACTTTGCATTACTTTGCGATTGTGTTTCCACGGTTCTGACAAGAAGTAGAAGATCAATGCGCCTTCCGCACCATTCATCAAAAGCGTTGGGATGACGGGAATGTACCTCCAAACAGACACAAAGCAGGATCGCTAGGGCATTGCGGCGTTGCAAGGATTGCTTTTATGCATCAGACTTGTCTCAGCGTGTTGGTAGGAGAAACCAGGCGAGCTGCACCATTTCGGCTCGATTCGCTGTCCCTCTTCGACCTCTGGCATTGCTGCATCGATTCTCGATTGCACTGCCAAAAAAGTATTCTTTGGAGCAAAAGATAAATGATCGTCTCTTTGGAGCATTTAATTGTATTTATAAGTTCATGATATGTCATCATTGAATTCAGTTTCGTCTGGCCACTTCTTGCATCCATTTGCATCCTTTGGCCGTCTCATCAAGCTGCTCTGTAGTAACTGTGGTCTTGGCATCATTCATTTGTTTCCCATGTGTTCAAATGTTTGACAAACATGAAGCAAACGGAAACACTTAAAACTTAAAACCTTCAAGTCTTAGCAGTCAAAAAGTACTGTTGCTGCTTGTGTCATCATGCAGTAACAAAATGTAACAAGTCTGTCATACCTGCTGGATTCATCACTAGCCATCAATATCGACCAGGTTTATGCTGGTCAAAGGGTCAAATCCAACGATAGGTTGTCCTCTTAACCAGGCTTGCGCTGCTTGACAGGTGATAGTGATCTCTAAGTCAAGTCAACGTATCCGAAATTTTCCGTATCCGCTTGGGACCTGCCTGGAACTCCAGCAAGGCGTCATCAGATGGATGAAAAAGGAGTCTTGTTATCCTCCGGCAAGTGAAATGAACTCCGTGGCGTTGAATGGAGTTGATACCAGGGAGACCACGGAGAAAAACCACAACTTGATGGCAATGAACCGGCTCATGAGGGCCTTGCCTCTCTAGTCGAGTGTAAATGTAACGAGCACTTGCTGCATCTTTGCCTGAGGGACAAAATGGCACAAAACGACACAAATCATTTCGCAGGTCAAGTCTTGCCCACTGAAAAGAGTCGAGCACAGGACCCCCTTGAATGCGAGTGCCAAATTGACCAGCAGGGAACAAGAAGCTCACGTTGTTGGCACCAACCTGGCTAAGTGATGAGTCATGCAGCCATGCATGCGCTTTGGTATTCAGCAACCATGGCCAATCATACTTCTCCAGAATGGTTATATATATTATAAATTATTATAATATGTGTGTGTATTCGTTTTTGCACTTGTTGCATTGTTACACTGTTACACAAAATACACAAGAACTTTGCTGGCGCGTGCTTTCCTTTTCTGCACTTGCTCGTTTTACTTTCTGAAAGAGATTCTGGATTTGAATCTGTTGCATCTGGTTAAGTTGTATGCATGTAGCAATGTAGCGTCTGTTTGTTTCACCTGGCGCACTACCTCGCAAGCAAAAGGATCTTACAAGATTTTACAAGCAGCTCATAAAGGCAAAGCAACAATTAAGAAAAAAGAAAGCTATGTCAAGATGTCATTGGAATTCATTGGACATCCAATTCTGTTGTCGGTGTTGTGTGGTCGGTTTCTTTTTGCAGGGTTGTGCACACATTCGTGCCACCTGCAAAGAAAAAGGCTTCTTTTGCCACCGGGAAGAAAGGCACGCGAGAAAAAACGTCCTTGCAATCAGAATCAAACATATGCAGCCAAAATGCGCCGTCTAATCAACACAAACCCATGGTGTGCCCTCCCTCTGGCTCTAAGACTTGCGAATGCTGGGAAAATGAAAAAAGCGAAAAAGATGCGGCTAAGGCTACCATTCCACAAGAAAGATACAGAAAGATCAGAAAGTATGTCAAAATGCACATATGTAAGAAGGAAGTGGGTGCTCGTGCAGCGCTTCACATTCACCTGAGGTCGGCACAAAGTTCTGCGCTAAGCCAACGATGGCACCTGAAGCTGTCTTAGACCCTCACTTTACTAGAACAACTTGACTTGAATGTTTTGCTAGTTTTGTCTTTGACACGTTGCATTTCGCTTTCTGCTGGCCTTGAAGAGAACTCTCACCATGGTGATATGCCGCGTTCTCCGACACGTATCCTTTCAAGTGTCAGAAAATGTCAGGAAATTGTTTCAGCCCTCTGTCCAGTGCTTCCAGACCAGCTTTCAAAGTCCTGCAAATTGCGCCACTTTTGTGTCCTCGGAGCTGCAGCTATCATCCACATGCTGTGGAGTGACCGAAAGCTAAGACATCTATATCTGTGTATTATATATATATATTATACAATATATATATACAGTAAGACTCTGGCATTTTTGAGGTTGCGCTTGAATGCCGCCCACATGATCTTCCTCTGCACCGGCTTGAAACCATCAATGAGTGATGGAATCGCACGAAGGACCTGTCATCGAAACAGATCGAACCTGGGAAGAAACACAAAGAAACGATAAGAAGAAACGATAAAAGACTTTCAGCATACTTTTAGCTTCTGATCCGGTCTCTTATGATTCTTGTGGTCGCTTCTAGCTCGTCACAGCATGTTGTTCAAGTAGCCAGGGACTCATCGTACTTCGCAAACTGCACCAACTCCTTGTTCACAAAGTCTGAGTAGGTGACGGAGTCCTGCAAAGAAGTGTGTGTTGAATTGCGTGTTGACACATGGCTGAACAAAGCAACCAAGCCAACCCACTGCCAACTGAATGTCCTTTGAGTGGTCAACAAACTCCTCATCATCAGCTTCGTTGATCCATTCCTACACAGGCGTAGGAGCTGGGAGTCATGCTCCCACTGCTTTGCACAATGCAAAGGCACAGCTCCTTTCGGTCATCTGCTCTTTTCTTGTTGAATGCCATATCAAAGGACTCATCATCGTTCTCGCCAGTGTATTGAAAGGAAAGGCTGTGCTCCTGACAGAAGGATACATTGCAATAGTGGGTCTAAGTTGAGTGAACAGAAAGTTCACTTGTCTGCCTTACTCTGATGCAAATCAAACAATTGCAGAATTGAACAATGCACAAGACACATCTTTTTGCCTTGGTTTCAAGTCTTCAAGGACATCTGGCACTCACACTGAGCTATCCACGTTGATGTTGCTAAAATATTCTTTGGCTTCTGCAGTTGTTGATGTTCCGAGGCCTATAAAGTTTAGTTTAAAACCGTCAAGCTGTGAAAGGACTGCAACAAGCTGGACAAAAAGACCAAAAGGCAGGGCGCTGCTTTCTTCAGTTAAAGATGATTCTGGCCTTTGTAGTACTTCAAATGCCAACCTTTCCCATTGCTGTTCTGGGCCTTCCATTGCTCGTATTCCTGGCACGAACGGAATCGCCAGTGCGCAGCACATATGATATGCCGTGCGATCTAGTTGGAATATGGGTGAATCATTTCAGAATTTAGCTTGCGTACTCCAATGCATGTCAAAATATGATATATATATATATATGAGACAATGTAATCGTCACAATGCACAGTCACTGATAGTCACTGGCCCGATGATGTTCTTTGTGGTTCTCGCCGTTGCCCTGCCGTGCCCTGCCTGCACCGTAAAAAACTGCTGCATTGTGCCCCGTCGGCTGACCTTGACCTCAAGACACAACTAGTGCGCCACGCGCCACGCGCAGCCATGCGCAGCCATGCGCAGCCATGCGCAGCCGCAACAAACGGCTGTCTGGGATGAAATATGTCAGGACATGTCAGGGCAGAGACGATTGGAGTCACGAACTCAGTCATGAAGCCCGGCAGCTTGAACAGGGACGGCCACCTTCCACTCTGTCCACTCTGCTTTTATCATATGTTATCTGCTTTTGCTTGAAATCAGAATGTGAAAATGACAATCTGTTCAGATCTGTTCAGTGACGTCTCATGATACTCTCTGATGTTTTCACTGCCAAGGGATTGAGGCAAGAACCAATGCTGAAAAAAGTTCAGAATAAGACCCTTGATGTGGGATCCATCGTAATCTTGGTCTGTCATCACCTGCAGCTCCAAGGCGACCAAACATGATACACCCAGTACTAGTGCTTGAAACAAGTGAAAATGCTTGAAGATGCTTGAAGTTCCAGGTGATGAGTGACGAGACATTTTTTGAGAAGCTGGTGGCGTGAAACCCAACAACCAGCATCAAAAAGACCTGGATTCTGAATCTGCTGAATGGGTTGTGAAGTCCTACCCTATTTCACTGCAAGCTTCAGAGCTCAACGTGCCGATGAACTCGAGACAAACTGAGGCAAATGCCATGATGGAACCATATCGCAGGGAGTTTGCAGAGTGGTACTCCTTTTTTGGCCTTGCTTCGCAAGAAGCCCAGAAAACTCATCGAATCCACTGAAAGTTGATGCCGCCGTGTCCGACATGATGCTTTGAGACTTTGCTAGCAAAAAACAAAAGCTTGAGGTCAAGATGCTCCAAGCCAATGATTTTGGTGATGTTGGCAATCTCTGCGTTGCCTAAGTCTCCAGAGCAAATGAATGCTCTCGCGAGGATCATGTTAAAGAGTGTAGTATGATATTTCATGACACTTCCGCACTTGGCCATGGACTCATAGTTTGAGCAAATGTTGCATCACGTACCTTGGGATCAGATTTGTGTCTACTCATGCTCCAGTTCCAATTTGATCAGCACGGAAAGACTAATCTTGTGTTTCGTTCCAAATCTTACAGTATAGTTTCTTGTGCGGCCATAAGAAGAGAAAATAGAGGCGCAGGAAAAGTGCCAGAGCATGATTCTTTTTCGATATATTCCAACATATTGTAAAGTGAATCGTCAAGATGGCATTCTGTGGTGAAGTATCTAAGTATCTAGACATAGGTTTTTTTCCCCTGGCGAATGTTGTCTCCGCAGTGATCATTATCATGGAGTTGTACCATTGCGCCATGGTCGCCTTTGTGTGTGTGACATGGTGGTGGGCGTCTGTGCCTGGTGAGCAATAGATGCAATAGGCAGTCACACTTGCTTTCACCCGTACAGTACAGTCGTTGCGGCATACTTTTGTGTTGTCGATGTCATCGTCGCCTATACCCCCCGCTCCTTTTCCTCATCATGACCATGATGAATCATCACTGTCATATCGTTGTCCTTACTGCTTGTGCGAATTCTTGTGCGATTGCTGTTGCTGTTGCCGCTTCTGCCACATTGGAGTTACCGCTGCGTCTTAATGCCAGGCAAATTGTCACATTCGTGGTCAGAGCTTTCCTGATTGAAACGCGGGGACTTCGTTCCGGTTTCGTGCAATCTATACAATTTTCTTGCAACCTGAATCGTCTAATTTCTGAAAATGTCTCCAGAATGCAAGACCTCTTTGTGTCAACCAAGAGACATTGAGGATCTTCCCTCTCAGTGGGAACACACCATAGCGGTCTCTTCCAATGACCTGAGCGTAATCGCTGGATCAGTCAACTGCATTTTGGTCAACATGTTGCGTCACACACTGGGGTGCCAGGGGGTCCTGGACCGGATTATACGCAATGAATAGTATGCGCGTTCAGCGTGTTTTGCGGATTGCGGATCGCCTGACACGCATATTAATAATGTCCAAATATCATAGCACAGGGGAGGTCCTGCATGGAAGGCATAAGCATCTACGGCTGTCTTGGAGCTGATTTGCCGAATTCTCCAGCCGGTGGTGAATGCATTGTCAGGCTTGCACTCAGCTTTCTGTTGTCAAGCGTCGTGTTTTTAAATCGATAGGCATCTCGAAATGTAGGTGAGGTTCTCACCCTATTGATATGTTTCTCATACCGTAGGTTGACAAGCGACATCAAGCGACTAATGTGACTAATTTAAGTCGTAGTTATATGTAGTTATATAATGTTATATACATGATTATACATGTATTTACATGGTTTACTGCGGGCTGTTGAGGCGGCACCCGCTTTCCATCAGCCCTACCATTTGCATTGCACCGACAAAGCTGGTTTCCCTGGAGCTTTCTATAATATCCTACTACCATGTGGACAACTTGTTCCAAAGATTCAAAAGATTCAAAAGCGCGCCATTCCTACAAAGGGGAGGCATGTTGCCCATGCCCATACCCATCACATTGTAATATGCATGCATTGGCGCATATCTGGGCATACAGGTACTTTACACCATATGGAAGGGAAAATCAGATTCTGGACACCATCAATCCAATATACTGATTAATGTTCTGCTGTGTTCAAGCAAAGAAATCTCCCAATTCAGGGGCAAAGTCTGAGCAAAGAACTCCCAAGCCTGCGACTGCCAGGGACTTGGCACTGTCTCCCTGGCAATCCGTTGAGGTTGGACGCTGAGTTGGAGGTTGTTACAGGCTCTCGTTGCAATCCGTTAGCTCTTAACAGCTCTTATGTTGGCTTGTGACAGCTAAAGATGCTAAAGGATTCCAAGATATTCCAAGCCTCTGTGAGGATCAAAGTGCACTCACGGCCTCTGCAGTCTCAATCTGTTACTGTCACTGTCAAGAATTTTCAGAATGGCTGCATAATTTGTCCAGCGACTTGTCTTGATGCGCGCCATTCACAAGTAGCGAGATGTGGCGAGATGGAGCTAGAATTCTAGAATGCATCTGGAATCGAGCCCTTGAGCTCTTCACCATCTCGACCACCTGCTAAATTGGCGTCCTAACCAGCTAGTTCGACTGCAAATGATCAAACATGGACTCAAGATGACTCAAGATGTGTACAACGACATGCAATGTACTTCCTGTACTTCCCAGGCAAAACATGCACGCATGGTTCTACAGCATCTCAGCTCGTGAGCTCTCCTCAAGCTTGGGAATGTTGAGAAGGCGCTTGGTTTTCTTGTTTGGGGCGCTGGAGCCACCTTCCATTTGCATTGCACCCTTTCATGTCAAAGCAGACCGCTTGCAGGAAAGTCTTGGGCTGGGCGCCTTTCATGGTCTTCCCAAGATCTATCTCCTCTTTTGCTCTGGCCCACTGCAGAACCATGTCAACCTCAGAACCAGCTAATAAAATATAATAAACATCTCTCATCAGACCTGGTCAAATCCCATGATTCACATTGATTGACATTGACCAACCATGATCAACCATGATTAACCAATGTTACTGTAACATTGATTGGTTAATTTAGGTCTATTTAGGTCTCCTGCTATGCCAGTTTTGAGCACTTTCTCAATCATCTTGTCAGGGATCTGGCAGCTCGACCTGCCATTCTGTGCTATGACTGCTATGAAAATGATGGAAACTCATATCATAAACGGCATAAACGTCATAAACATGGTAAAATTGGATTCAGAAATACAGGCCCGTCTGGCCCAAATTTGGCAGCTTTCAGCGTCAGTGTTTCTTTGGTTTGCGAGTCAAAAGATGGGTTTTCAATCTGTGCGTTCACGAAGATCCACAGGTAGTTTCTGACATGGTACCTGGCAATGCTTTGGTCTCCCATGGCCTTGTACCAGCAGCCAGTGTGCATACCCCCAAACATCCCCAAACATCCCCAAACTCCTTTTCTCTCTCAAGACTCCCCCACACAGGCTGAACAGGGCACGGCTTGATTTCCTCAGAGCCGGATTCAGCATCAACGCGCTTGTCATGCACGATATTACCGCGCTGCTTTCATGACCTGAGCGCTGAACCATGCCGCCCTTGTTTTGCTTGTTGACTTTGGCAGTGATGGCCTTCAAGAACTGTAAGACATTGTAAGACACAATATGCCCAGCAATGAGTAGCAGTGCCCTTCACAGCTTTAGATACTGCTGTAGCATGTCACAATGATCACTCTACGGCCTCCACGAGTTGGTCAGCTACATGGACGACCTCAGTTGCATGCATGGCATGCTCATGTTATCCACATTCTACAGCGAAAATCAGGATTTTCACTGAGATCTGCTGTGCAATGTTGATCTGTGTTGCGTGGTGAGCTGAAGAATTCAGCACTTCACGTGCGTGCCACCTTTCGGGGTCGCAATGTTGTTCACGAAGGACACCTATTCGACAGATTCATCTTCAAATCTCAACAAATCACGCATTGGATCTGTCGAAGTTGGACATCCTGTAGAGGTTTTGCCTGCTGAAACTGTCCGTCCGAGACCGTCATAGCAACCTGCACAGAAACAGGCCCCAAAGCTTGACGGAACATTTCCTGACATAGCTTGACAATGCTTGACATAGAATGACCGATCTGATACAACAGTTGCTTTCGTCGACTGGATTTCCTTTTCAACTTGTTGCAGCCTCCCATCTCTCATGGCACTTCTCGTGAACCTGTTTGCTCCACGGATTCAGCGAGCTGCAACACATTATGAGACACCGCACTAGGATACCTCTGAAACGGTCACAATTCATTTCGCACTGGATCGCAATGGAATGTTTATTCGATATCCCAAGACCAAAGCAAACAAGCATGAAACACCATGTCCGATCCATTCTGCTCCGACGTTCACCTAAATTCAAGGCCCGAACTATCTGCACATCTTCAGTTCCAGTGTAGAGCTGGATGTAGTCTTTGAAGCTATTGACGTCAAGCCTACATTGTACAAGAGATCAGAAGTTTGACCAAGGCTAAACTGTGAATGGATCCATAGCTCAACGCATATCATTGAAAGATATTGAAAGTTTGAGTCCTGTCCTCTTGCCATTGAGGAAAACCTTGCACTTTGCTGGAGTTGTCCCTGCAAGATCTACCTGAGTTCTATGACATTCTATGATTGTGGTCTGCTGTGTGCACTGCAGATCACAGGATGTCGATCACTGGAGGATCTGGAGGCAGCCGGCTACTCGTCGGGACATCAGCCCCACAATGTCCTACATTGCACAGGCATTGAGTGTTGCAAATGAATTGCAGCATGACTTTGCCACCCTCCTTGTCCAGTTTCTTCATACCGAAGCGTACAAGGTCTGGCCAGAAACTGATCCTAGCCATGCAGCTATTGATTGCAGAAATGAGCATGAGTCAGATTGATGACATGTTTGAGGGAACTGAATTATGTGTGTATGTTGTAATATGTTACTGGTATATATATTATTGTGTAATATTGTGGATATCTAATATAATATATATAGATATTATATATATATATATATATACGTACATAGTTATATTCACATAAAGGAACAATCACACAGCAAATGTTGTGGTGTCAAGTAGTATCAATCTTTGTGTCAAGTAATGTCGCAGCGCTTAGCGAAATGACATAAGGAGTACAAATGATTACAAATGGACATGATAGATCTTGATACCAGTAGCAGGTCAACGGAAATATGGATATGGGATGATATGGGTGTGGGTCGACATCCTTACACCTTGGAATTACCTTGGTGAAAATCTCGAAAATGTGTCCAATAGATTCCAATAGGCAATCTTGTGAACGCTAACGGCTTTAGCGGCTACAGTAAGGCGCAAGCTTAGTGAAGCTTTCCCCAGAGTGTGAAGTGATCTTCGGCTTTTGCTTTGTCTGCATATTGCCCTGGAAAGTCCAGGCGTGTGACAGGCGATGTAGAATCTCAACACCACGGAGTCGCGGAGAGTTCTAGATTCTACATGCTGACACCAAGGTCGAGCTGGGGGAATCGAAACATGGCGACATTCACCACACCCCTTGCACAAGGTCTCGTGTGACGTGCCTCCCACATTTGATGGTATTTCTTCTTGCGTTCCGAATCTCCACACTCAATTTCAAACCTTAGACCACTGCGATTGAATGAGATCCCTTCACCCCACTTGGCCATTGCATCAGGCAGAATAAAAGAATTTCCTAAAGGGACCACAAAATCCACAAAATCCACAAAGAAATAATCACTTGGTCTCTGACTTTTTGGAGAAAATGTTTGTGAGCTTCGCACCATAACCGTTTCGACCACCTGTGACCTTGGGCTGCACGACATCACGACATCACAATATCACGACATCAGGCCATCGCCGGCCTTCTTCTCACTGTCATCGTAGTTGTCGCTGGTCAACAAATGTCCAAACACCTTGGCCAAATGTGCAGCACGTGCCATTGAGCCAAGGTTCTTGCAGCATATCGCCGCCATCAGATTTTGCATAGCTTGCTCTTGCTTGCTATTGTGCAAAGCAGTACAGGATAGCAATGCTGTTGCAATACTGCCCGTAATGCTGCTACAGCCGCACACAAATCAGTCCTTGAATGTCTCTGTGGTGTATAGATTCACCTTCTCTCTTTCTTGTGGACCCATGCATTTAACAATCGACATGTCTGGTGAAAAAATAGAAGTAGAATGCACTACATCATGATGTCTCCGGGAGTTGCCCAAGCCCTTTTTGCAAAAACTGCATGAGACCCCTGCAAGCTCCGGTACATACATCTGATGCTCCTTGTGCTCCTGCTGACAGCATATGTCCCAACAATCGCTTACTTATCTTACTTTTTCACTGCAAAAACGGTTGAGAAGGACTTGCGGTGACTTGCGGTGTCTTCATGTAGCGAGGTCGGAAGAAGCGGAATTCGGAAGAAGCCTCCACCGGCAACCCATGGCCATTGTTCTCTATCGTCACAAAACCCTCTTTCTCATTGATGGTGACCTGCATCGGGTCCGGATTGTGCTAAATTGAGATTCAATGTGGCCAACCGATTCTGTTGATCTAAACAAAATAAACAAATGGATTACAAAATTGTATCAAGAACATTCAACAAATATATATATATGTGTGTTCAAACCAGATGTATGTCCATGTAATCCATGTATCTTGTTCTTTACAACAGGTCAATCCCACCAGCGTGGCAGTGTGGGATGCCCTTGAAAGGCTCTTGGCTGCCAGGGCCAGCTTTGCACGGGTTAGGCTTCCTTCTCATCTGACCATGACGGTGCCTTCACATAGGTCTGAGAGTTGTCCCGAACGAAGTTGTCCGCGGCATTCACTAAGATTTCATCAAAAATTTTGTAGAGTCCTGGCCTTGGCAAAGGACAGAACCACTGCAAAGCGCGGAGAGAACAATCGTTTGGACGGCGCCCAGTATGGCATTAGAACATGAACACAATCAACACAATCAATGTGCATTCAATGTGCATTCAATGTGCATTCAATATCTTCTTCGAGATGTCCACTCGGAAGCAAAGTCGTGGAGACATACAATCCAAGGTGCACATACTGGAGGTTCTTTTGCTCCACTGATCCATCCTTCTCATTGTAAACCTGAGGCTGCATCAAACTCCACGAGTCAGACGGATCATGAGGTTCAACTTGTACATGTGCGCTGTGTGTTGACCAACGTAGTTAGTCGCGCAACATCGCTCCTTTTTCTGCAGGCCTTGCTCTGCAAGTAGCATTGGGTTGAGCTACAAAATGCTACAAAACACATTGGATTCACTACCTGTTGGTCACCTGCTGCTATCCGTCTTTCATGGGCTTCATACTGATGCTTTGAAACCATGATGGTCTGATGTGGAATTGAAATTGGATAGAGGTTGCGGCTGAGCCAGACTTGCCTTGTTGCAGAGCTTGTGTAAAGAATTCGTGTCCTCTACTGTGTAGGGCTTCTGGCACTGGACCAACTCCTCATGGAGTGAAACATGCGGTGTATTCAGCAAAGGGCTTTGCCCTGTGCTTTGTACTAGAATTGACAAACACTTCGCAAAAATAAATCAATCGTTTGCCAAATCATGTCTCTGGATTCTATTCAACGTTCCGCCAGGCTTGGCCTCAAAGCATGCAAGCAGCTCCAAATACAAGTCGGCCAACTAGAAGCAAGATTGTAGCAAGATGAAGTGAGAATGAAGCGATAATGAAGGGAGATGAAGGTGGAAAAGCAAAGCTGAGCCTCACACCTTGGGCTTTAGCCAAGTGGTACTTGACCTATCAGCTGAGGCTCGTCTCGCGGAACGAGATCCCTTCCACGCCTGTCGCACAAAACGGCAGAAGGTACGATTGAGAAACCGCATGAAACCGCACAGTGTAGAACTCCAGTTCTTCTACAGTAAGATACTCAACCCCCCCTCGACCAACCTCTTTTTTGAAGCATGTTTCAGACATGCACCAGGAAGTAGCATATATTGACAAACGCTCCCGTGTGCATCACCTATGCATCATCCATGATGACGTAGGCCATAAGCATCATTCTGCGAATTCATGCCCCTAGTATCTAAAATAATATACGTATGCGTCATGTATGCGTGCTGTTCTTGTTCACCCAGGAAGGCTAGGTAAGTATGGCACCTTCCGTCTATTCACTTATTGATTGAAATTTGCCGTATTGATCACGTTTTCCTGTGCCTAGGCGTTGTATTTCCCACGACGATACTGAGACGTTGGGAATGGGGCATTCAAATCCCGTCCCAAGATATCCCATCTCAAATCAACGGATTGTGCAGCCATGCCTCAAGGATGCCATCTCCATGCGAAGGGATTTGATTTCCATCATTAAATCTGCAATATCCTCTCTCTTCAAATCTGTAGAGTTGGATTGCGGCGTCAGCAACCTCTCTCCTGAAACAAGCTCAGCAATACAAATCCAAGAATCATGCAGAATTGCGCAGAATCAGATTAGGAACTACTGAAGGACTGCCCAGATCAAAAATACAAATGCCACACCTGAGAAGCTCAAACTGCGAGTAAGAGTTGCGGAAGCACCTGGTAGACGGCCACCATCATGCTGCATCAATCTAAAGTCCGCGCACCAAACATCGTGGATGAGGGATATCCTCCATCATTCAGTACCAAGTATGCCAAATAACATTATATAATACGTATACATTCAATATATTATACATATATATAATTATATATATATATATCCACATACATTACATGACATGACATGACATGGCATGGCATGGCGTGGCATGGCATGGCATTGCATGGCATTGCATTGCAATATACATACATTATGCATGCATGCATGCATGCATACATACATACATACATTAATTACATTACATTACATTACATTACATTACATTACATTACATTACATTACATTACATTACATTACATACATTAATTACATTACATTACATTACATTACATTACATTACATTACATTACATTACATTACATACATTAATTACATTACATTACATTACATTACATCACATCACATTACATTACATTACATGCATTAATTACATTACATTACATTACATTACATTGCATTACATTACATTACATTACAATACAATACAATACATACATACATACACAATCATACATACATACTTACATTAACGTACATTACATTACATTACATTAAATTACATTACATTTCAGTACATTACATTACATTACCATACATACATTGCATTGCATTGCATTGCATTGCATTGCATTACACTACACTACACTACACTACATTACATTACATTACATTACATTACATTACATTACATTACTTACATTACATTACATACAATTTGACATCAAATGATATAGCATGATGTAGTAAAATAGTGTATGGAACAATATGGTACTGTAGTATATCATATGGTGTTTTATATTGTATACATTGCTGTATAATATATTAGATATTGTATTCTTGTGTATTTCATCGTATTACATTATGTTTATACTAATGAAATAGCTTGCATTACCTAATTACATTGTATTCTATTATATCACATCATGGTGTGTATTGTATCATAGTAAATAATATGTAGTACAATAGTCTATACTGTATCATATATACTTATATATACATATATGTATCATGTTAACTTGTATGATCCTGTATGATGTACCATTGAGGACCCTAATTGGAACACGTCTACCATGCAGCTGCGCTGCAAGAGCAGCCAAACCAACATTGGCAAGACACCATGTATAGAACAACGGGCCAAACATGACGGAATTTCACCGGCTTTCACCCCCAGCTGTCTGTTAGCGAAGGATTTACTGAGCGAAGAGTTTGTGCAGCTCATGCGGAAAGAAGACGAGCCCTACCGGGAGATTAGAAGTCTGAGGGAGAAGAGAAGGAAGGGATGATAAAGTCATTGGCCAAGAAGGAGAGAGGCGGCAATGTACAGTACAGTCCAGCACGTATTTGGGGAACCGTTTCTGAATTCACTGCTTCTTTATGGTCCTTTATCTTATATTATCTTATAGTCCATACTATCGTATAATATGATGTGATACGATCGTGCAATAAATGTGATACAGTAGAATTTGTAATATATATATATATGTGCAATGACGTACATGATGTTGTTCTGATGTCTCTGAAAGGTCTGAAAGTCTCTACCGGCCGTACCTGGAATGCTGAAGTCCTTGCTCGACACCCTGATGCCAAAGCAGTGTCCCAAAGCGTCTTACTATCATGTCCTTACTCTGTGTCCGGTGAATAGTACAGCTACATGAGGGAAAAAAGAAACGATGCAAACCGTGTTGTAACAAGAGCGACGAGTTTTGCACATATATCATAGCTGGCCTCTCCATGTGCAAGACCGCAGTCGATACTCTCCTGAACATCTGTCCTGACGTTCAGAACAAGTGTGCTTGCAACGATCACACAATCTGCTGCAACGCATGGAACTGAGACTCATCAACAAAACCAACAGACTCACTGGGGCACAGCCCAAAGTTCGTTCCAACTTTGGGTTGTGCAGGTGGTTTTGGCCTGGAGGTCCGAGCGGTGTGATGGTTGTTGTTGGCGGTTCATGATTGTCATCATCCCCGTCTTTGGCCAGCACATTGACTGGAGGATGTAGCCGACGCCAAATTCGTTGTATGCAAAGTGCTGCCAAATGTTTGTAGCTGCGACCACAAGTCAACCTGTCGAAATCATTACTCACCCATGCCAACAAAACGAACTCGCAAGACACACAGCGTTCATTGAAACCCTCATGAGGCCGACGGGCCGTAACAGCTTCCGCATCCTTCCAGGCCTCTTCCTCATGGAAATTCGCATCTTCTCTCTACTTGCAGCGACAGAATTCCAAAGGCGCGAGAACTCTGGGAAGTCAACCGTTGACCTTTGATGTGCTAAGGAATTCAAGTGAATCCAAGTCCATGCAAGAAAATGAAACCATAAAGAGCATAATGGTTCTATACCATGTCCATAGATTGGCAAGAGCAGGGCAATTGTATTGGACAACATGGCATCCGGGATCAGCGCTTCAAAATAAGGCCAAGTCACCGTTCCATCTCTGCCTTTGGAACCACAATGCAACTACCGCGCGCCTGCCATCAATCGAACACTACAAGTACCAGAATGATGTGTGGCGTCATGCAAGAAAGCCAAATAGACTGATAGATTGATTGGTAGATTGATTGACTCACTGGTTGACGAATAGATGGGAAACAAATGTACATAGAGGTATACAAGTGTATTCAATACCCAAACGGGTCACAAACAGAGAGATAGAGAGAGTGAGAGGTGAGAGAGAGACAAAGACTTTAGAACTTTAGAATTCATGGATGGATAGATGGATAGATTCGGATAGATGGGTAGATGGGTAGCTTCCTAGATGTAATAGTGATACTGCTAATCTCAATCGATACCTATGTTGTGTCGTCCTTACAAGTTGAGAATCCTTCAGGTGGGAATTTCCCCACTAAATCTCTACCAGAATTGTGTGACCAGAATTGTGACTTTTAATGAGAAAGGGACATCTTGGAATCCCGGAGATTGTTGCCTGGGTTTCTAATGGTCCAGTGAGAAGCCCAAACTATCCTATCCCGAAGCCCTGGTCAAGGAGTCGACAATGGCAAGTCCAACAACAGGCTACGTACTACTTGAATAAAGTTAAAAACCACGAGAGCATACAGTATACGAGCGTGATTTAGAAGGAGGTTGCGGTCAGCCTCCTTTGTTTTCAGTGCAGCTAAGGGCATCCAGAGGTTACATTCTCGTTTTCTGAAGCACTCTACAAGCAGGGCTTTGCAACATCAAATGCTTACAGGATGTTTGTTTTGACACATCTTCAAATCTATTGGTCTCGCATCACATGTGTCGAAAGTGTAGCTTTGCAGGGCCTCGCAGCGAGCAGTTGCTTCACGTGGTTGATTAAAGAGGACACCATACTCGCCAAAGTAGCTATCCTTCGCATGTCAAAGGATGTCAAAGGCATAGCAGCACGTAGGATTGTATAATATTGTATAGCATAGTATTGCGAGATACTTAGAAAGGTGCAAGCTGGGTCAGCGCACTCGACAGAACAGCTGGTATGGATAGGTGTTGGTCTGTGTCTGCTCGCCTCGCAAATGGTGGCACAGAGTAAGAAAATTGGCTGATATCGGAGTTCAAAATGGAACTTGGAACTGTCTTCTTCCAACAGTTGGAGTTTGAGTCCTTCACTCTCTGTTTGGCCTTTCCTCTATTTTCTTCAGCTTCTCCCTCCTACTGTCACTTGGCCTTTCCCATTGTGAATCAGGTTCATTGAGCTCGCGGCCTACTGTGACTCGAACAGCTGCTAACCATCTGCCCATACCAGCGCTTATTGTGTTCACATCTTCACCACCTGTCTCTTTTGGCACCTGAATAGAAGCGAGCGAGCTAGGAAGCAGGAATCGATGAACTACAGAAACTAGATGCACTCCTCTTTACTGTACATGATAAACAAGAAAAGCAAGAAGGGTACTTCAGCACTGCATCCCTCGTACACAGAGTATCTGAGGGCAAAGCTCCAATGTATGCAAAAACGCCGCTGGCGACCTGAACACCAAAAGGCTCAAAAGCGACAATGACTGGTTGGAGAAACAGGTTTACACACGCCACAATCGGGTCAGAGAAACAACTTGGAGACACACGAGGAAGATATGATTTGAGAAGTCTTGGCATTGATAGATTTGCTCCTGCTTCAAGAAGTATTGCCTTGGGCGCCCACAGCAAGCTTTCGCTCAAGCTAGGTGAGAAGAACTCTTGAAATGACTGACTATACTGTCTGCTTGCTGACAAACAATCGAGAGAATGCAGTACATTATACATACTATGCATATATATATATATATTATATATATTATATATATTAATGTATGTATTATTTTTTATTCTATAGTATATGCATGAATAGTATATATACTGTATATATATAATATGTTGATAATGGTTGATATACACATTACACATATATTGCATGCAAGATGCCGGTGCGAGTTCAATGCTAAAAGCATTGGCAAACGAGGAGGCAGCTCATCTATCCTTCGGTCCCAAGAGCTTGCCGCCCAAGTCCAGTTCATCTATGTGGCATCCAAAATAAGCTTTGCAGACACGCCTTGAGATTGTGACATGTTGTGACATGTTGTGACATCCCTTTATTTCATCTGTCGGCGGCCAGAGGCGTCCTTTTCGTAGGTAGAGCAGAGAAAAACCGATTTGAAAGGAAGTGACCCTTGAAGAGCAAGGGTGGAATCATGCCCTCCAAGGTACGGTACATGTGCCTCAGCACAGGCAAGGGGAACATGCCAAGTCGCCAAGTCAAGAATGGGAGTGCTGCGGCCACTTTCTTTCATGTGTTTCTGGTTTTTGCTTGAGGTGTTCCTTGGTACTTCTTGGACTGTCTTTCTGGATTGAATTCTGCACACAAGAAGTGTGTTTTTTCCTTTGGTGTTCTTCCCTTGGTGTTCTTGTTTGTGTCTTGACCCTTCCATGGTGTAGTGTTTTTCCTCGGGGCATCTTATGAGGTGCTGTGTGCTGTTTGTCTTTCCGTTGCTTGAAACGACCTGTTCATAGCCCTTCCCGACCTTCTTGACATTCCATCCCAGTTTCGTACTACACACTGTTCTATTTCTGTCCCTCTCTTATATATCTAAACTCAAAGGCTTGCTGGAATTGCTGGAAGTGAATGTAGCTCCAATGATCATGTCCACCGCTCCTGCTCACGAGTCCAAACATTTAAGCCAGAGCACCTCCCTGTGAGAAGCGCTCGCACACCTTCTTTGTCATACTTCTGTGTCATCCACTTTGTTGCCTGACTCAAGTAACAAAACACCTTCTTCCCAGTGCTGTACTTAAAATATGGAGGAGGCCTCGAAGCCCTCCAGCTTGACATGCAGGAATGTTCAGGAATACATTCTGACAGTGCCGTTAGAATAAATACATCTGCGAACATGCAAGCCCGGAAGCACAAAATGTCATTTGGAGTGAAGCTATCAGGACTGTTCACTCAAAGTGTCATCAAACTCATGTTGCAAAATGTTGCAAATGCTTGTTTCAATCCTCAGTGCGAGTGTTTTCAGCAAATTCCTCTTTTCGCATTTAAGCTGGAAATTTCATGGAAGGCAAACGTACTCACTTGCCAACGTCCTCTGCTCCCAATGAATGTCTAATCCAAGGTTCCGAGTTGCTATCAGTATCCATTAGGTGCCGACTCGGATCCAGGCCCTAGCAGCCCCTGCCTCGCTAGTAACCCAATTCTGCAGCTCTCCAATACAGTCGTCACCCAGTTCTGTGTGGGAAGCAAACTTCTCCATGAGTCCACGCTGCTCCGAGATGAATTGGCCGCGTTCATCCACACCTCGAGTTGAAAGGATTCAAAAGGACAATACAAAGGATGACAAAGGTATACAAAGGCAATGAACCCCTGGAGTGACTGGAGTGACAAGAGATGAGGATTCAGAACAAAGGACCAATAACATTCGCGAAATGCTCGTCGATATTACGAGTGGTTGCTCTCAAAGAAAGGCAGGTGCTCTCATTCATAACTTCAACAAAATGATCATGTGCTGCTACCATGCTTTCTTGGGCTGACTCTTCATTCAGTCAAGCTGCGTGTCACTGCACTGATCACCTGCGGCCAGCTACAAATATATGTCTCTGGTCTCTGGTCTTCTTCCTTCACTCTTTTGGAAACCCCGGAGAATCACGGTAGCTGAACCAAGTGATGGTGCCAAGGGCCAAGGATTAATCCTGGAGGCACGACTAATAGCCCTGCCTGCCACAAAAACAAATTGATAATCACATGCCATGCATGTACACACCGCCTCTCCAATGATGATACTGTGGACCACGGCTCCAATCAAAAAAGTCAGGACAACGTATAGAATCTCACCTGTCGAAGCAAACTAAAACAACGCGTGCTAATGAAGGCTATTCAACAGAATTGAAATGCTTCATCATGATCATTCCAGAGGCTCCTCATGACACAATGCTCCAAAAGAAACCAAGGGAAAACATGTAAAACACTGCCTGGGGTCACAGCAGCAATGTCGCCAAAGCCTGTCAGAAAGCGTTTCAAAATCAGGCCCGGGGCGTGCTAAATGTCTGCGGGTGCTTTGCGGTCAAGCAAATGTGTGCAAACATAGTTCAAGGAAATTGCATCAAAGGCCTACAGTCGTGAAGACGGTGAGTATAAAGTACCTTGGTGTCTTGTCACAGCATATCATTTCAACTACTGCCTGTGTTCTTCTAGACATGTAGAAGCAGCTTTGCAAGCATGTAGAATGACCAAGTGCAGCTTTGCCGCATTGCATGCAGCCATTGCAAGCCGGGATCACTCTCGTCAAGCAAGTTCCGCTCACCCAAGGAATCCACATATCTTCTTGCTAACCAGGTGTCCTGGCAAGGGCAAATTGGATTGTCTGATATAGGAATTCACAAAAAGGAAGGGTCAGGACTCAGGACGACCTGCATTTGAAAAAGTCTGGCCAGGTATTGACCGGCCGTGATTCGTGATACAACTCGGTACGATCAAATTCCTTGAGCCCTGACCGTCCCTAACCACTGGCCCACTTTGGCACCATTTGGCGCCATTTGGCACCATTTGGCACCTGAACGTTCGCATGCAGGGATGCACACATGTACCAGCCGCATGCAAGAAGGTGAACGCTGAAGAAGAGACCGACCAAAACGTTGATGATGCGTACTCCGCGCAACGTCTGCAGCCACTTCCACAGCGGACTCCTCAGGTATGGGGCCCAAGTATGTTTCAATCCAAAAAGCAAGCGCTGCCAGGAAATCTCATAGACGCTGGAATTAACTTGTCCGAAAGTCAGGTAGAGAGAATGACAGCGAAAAGCTTGCCAGCAGAGACTCCAGATGGTGAAAGGCATTAGTGTTCAGTTGCCTTGAACTCCACTTTATTTCAAGTTGGGGGCGGCAGACTCGCAGTCTCAGCACGTTCCACAGAAACAACAATGGAACCCAAAGCAGCATCAGCGGCCAATCAAACCCGCAGTCACACCTGTGGCACCCACAGCACCCATTCCACCAGCAGGACTTTGCCCAGGGAAAAAGGTAGACATGAAGGTACACGTAACATCGTTCAGCATCACATCACCAATGTCTCATATTATAGTCTTATCAGGTCTCTATCTGCACTCAGAACCTCAACAGCTAGCGGCTAGGACTGTGAAATAATGGAATAATAATGAAAAGCAATAGTAATAATTAATGCAAGGAAACAGGTAGAGTAACATGTATACAGCAACAGTGGTGGAGAGATGTTTTTGAGGGCTTTTTAGTTTTTGTTTGCATGTTTTTTGCAGCCACGGGTCTTTTTCATGGCTGTCAATTTGGCAAGCCGCCCTATTCTGGCAAGTCGAAAGAGTCGAGAGGCCCGCTGCAAACGCATTGTCCTGCCAGCGCATCCGCATCTCCGAAATGGAAGCCATCGACATCATGTCACTGAGTCACATCATGTCACTGAGTCACATCATGTTAATGATGCGTAATGATATGTAATGATGTGTAATGTTATCATTTCGCATTATTTTCAAGACTTAACAACCTGATTCACTGTGTCATCAGCGCGCTGTTTCGTGCTGCCAAGTTCGGTCCTTGCGGCCTGATGTGCGTTGGTATCACTTGTTCCTTTGCAAAACAGGTCTCCACGGATTCAAGCGGTACCCAGTGTGTTCTGAAGATTCTGATGTGTTCTGAATCTGAGATCTGAGATCTTCACCATCTCCGCCAATCAAACTCTTCATCATCTCCCCGGCTGCCTTGGTGTCACATTGAGTAAGGATACAAGGCCTACAAGGCTTTAGGATGACCAATGGATGACGATGCCAACAACATCTCCGAGAGACCTGTTCTGGAAGGCTTGCAATAACGTTGATCACGAAGCTTCCACATGCGTAGCGTTTTGCTATTTGAGGCCAACAATCAACCTGCAGCAAGCAATTATTGTGCAACTGCAAGTGCCATCTGCAGTTGGAAGATATCGATGACAAGTAATGCAGCAAGGGTGCTCTAAGTTTACAGTACAACAACATCAGCAACATACAGCGACAATGCTTTTGGCTATCTTTGAAAACACCAGCCAGGCCTCTCGCCCCTTGTCGTCAGTGTAGCTGAAGAAAAAATAAATAAAGGAATCGAACCAAAACAGTCCATCCACAAAGGCCGACCACACCTGGCTCACATCGACAAATTATCAAATGCAGAGAAGCTCATCAAGCTCTACTGTTGTTCCATAGGTCCCCGTTCCATGCAAAATATGCACATGCTTCTGCTGTACCTGCCAAGCTTGAGGATCCATGCCCAAAAAGTCTGCAACCTGCACAGGCAAGACTTGTGGCTGAGCGAATCCAACTTCTTTGCCAGATGGACTAGGCCCGACTAGGCCCGACTAGGCATCAGAATCGGAACATATCCAGCAAGTCAATGAAAGTGCACGAATCTTACAAAGCGCCTGCATGGGTTCCGGCTTGTGCAAGTCTATAAAGGTGAGCTGGAAAAGGAACCATGTTCCTATGTACATCAGCAGCACCGTTACAATGCCGGTCCACACCTTCAGGTGATGCGTCAGCGGCGCTATCCACATGTATCATATCATCATATCCATACTCAGCTTAAATGCAAGCCACATGGTGTCACATCTTGTTCTGGAATGTTCTATACATTGTGGCACAGGTTCCATGGTTGTCCCACCTTGCGGAACTTGTTCCGCTCCAGCATCACAAAATGGCTGCCCGTGTGGTCCATCTTCTCGTCTTCGTCATCTTCGGATTCATCACCAGGTCTTGCAAGGTCCTGCCGAGTGCGGCGCGGTGTCTGGTGCTGACTAAAGTTGACTCGAGCTTGTTTGGCCTTCATAAATAGAATAAATATGTTTCATTGGTTCATCCATCGGAACTGTTGTCCGATTTGTTGTTTAAACTTGCTAATCTTAAATATATATTTAAAAAAACATAATAATATAATAATAATACTAATAATAACAATAATAATAATAGTCAGTAGTAATATTACAGTAACAATTTGTTAAATGTGTTTATGGCTTGTTGAGGGGTTCAATGTGGTCACAAAATCCTCTCAGAATGCTAGACTGGTTGATGGATTGAGGGTCGGATGCTAGGGATGTACAAATGCAATCTTCAAATAATTCACAGGTGCATTGCTTGACGCCAACAAACTTTCCAGTATTTCCGAAATGCATGATTGCAAGTTGTCCCTGCAATCAAATACATGGCTGTTGCAGTTGTTAGCCGACTTGGGAATATGTTTTCTGCAGAAACAACGATATTGCAGCAGCTGGTTATTCTTGTTCCTTCGCCTTTTTCAACAGACCCCCATGTGTATCATGTGTTTCCCTTTCAAAATGCGAAATACTCTAAGAGTGAATTAAAGCACTAGAACCAGAAAATTGAAAGATGTATGGTATTTCACCGGATCGGACTGGACAGCGAAAAGAAGCGAAAAGGCTTCCAGCTGGATCTCTGAGCCCTCTTGGCAATGAACAGCGTGTGCATACTCTCACCTGCTCTCCTTCAATTGTCATGCTAGTAAAATCAAATAAATATAAAGGAAAAAATATCTGGCTGTGCCACGATGCCTGTTGAATACGAGATAAAATGTGGCAAGAATGCGTGCATCATGTGAAATCAGTCCCTCGAGCTGGAAGATGGTGATGTCTGAAAAGTGGAAGTGGATGGAATTCTGACGATCTCTTCCGCTTCATCACTGCCCTTTGGGCCTTGGTCTGAGACATCTGAAGGAATTCCGAAGGCAAAACAAGACGCGAATCAAAACGAACCACTCAGTCATATTCAGTCATTGAGCAATCAAATCCATTCAAATACATTCGAATACAATAGTTCCCGTCCATCTCAGACCTGTGCTTGGACGAACAGACGACATCCGCTTCCGAAGACATGAGCATCGTCCCTCCTCTGAGTCGGACATGCTTCCTTCATCCCTTGCCGCTTCTCCTAAGGAGAATGGTTTGAGCCTATGCCTGCGGAAGAGACTCTCATGTTTGATCTGAAGTGATATCTGAAGCAATGAGTCATGTCAACTTCTGTCAACTTATGTCAACTTGTGATGTGAGTGCTTAGAGGGTTCAAAGCTTCATGTTTGATAAAGTTTAATACATATTTTGGGCAGCTCTGCCACACAAACAGAAATGAAGAAAGGATAACAAAGGTATGGAAAATCTTGAACTCTTGGACATTCTTGGACCTTGACCAACTATGACATTCTGAGACTCTCGCCCACTGCCACTCTTTCTGAAACTCCACGGATCCAACATAGGAGTCCGGTCTGGAGACAGGATGAGTCAACGTATGAAAGAGCTAAACCTGTTGCGCATGTCGTTGAATACCTTGGCCTGTGTCATGCTTGACAAATGGTAATCTGAGATGTGCGGCTGAAGCTGCCACATCACAGAAATCCCCTGCCTCAGAAGAATGTGCTCCAACTGGGAGAGTTTCTGGTATTGCTGTTCGATGGTCTTCTGGCGATTCAACTTGGGAGGCATCCTCAAGGATTTGTCACAGGATCAGCATCACACATGTGTACAAAATAACAGAATGACATAACACAATATGGTATTGTAACTTCTAATATAACTTTAGAATATGATACAATACAATCAAATACATATTATAGTACAGTGCTGTTTAGTATGGTATAGTACAGTGTAGTGCAGTGCAGTGAGTGTGGTGTGGTGTGGTGTAGTGTATAGCAACCCCCAAATAGATAGACTAGTTCCCAGGAAGTTATTGTAAACAATATTTACTTCATATTTCCAGGTGTCCCAATATTCTATACATTTTGAGGCTCCTGTAATGTAATGGGATGTAATGGGATGTAATGGGATGTAATGGGATGTAATGGGATGTAATGGGATGTAATGGGATGTAATGGGATGTAATGGGATGTAATGGGATGTAATGTAATATGTCAAATATAGTATGATATGCTATATTAATGTATTATGCACCATGCGGAGACATCAAAACATTAAAAGATCCAGTATGATAAGCATGTGAGGACGATAATACTTCTTCCCTTCTTCTAGATTAATTACACAACGAAAGGTCTCAACGGAGTCACCTAATCCTAGCGACAATTACAATCTTGGACATGCATTGGCCATTGATATATAATGTGTGAAAGCTCGTCACCCATGCAGTAGAGCCGCTCCTACCAAAAATGAGAGCGCAATCCGATTTGCTCAGCGACCATCCAGGGCCATTTTCCAACAAGAGTGGTGTCGCTGACTGTTTGTAATCTGGATCATGGTCTATCGCGAGGTTGTGAGCTTCGAAATTGTGATAGAAATAGGCATATGCCTTTCGAGTGAGAGATCTCAAAGAGCAACATGCAATTTCAATACCATGTCTTCTGGCTTGCAGCTGGCTGCATCATGTCTACTGTAAGGGCCGAAGCTGCAAAAGCTGCAAAAGCATGCACTTAGAAAAGCAGTGGAGCAATGTGGAGCATGAGTTGCATCACAAGCTTAGAGACCCACAGAAAAGATCAAAAGGCAGTTGCATTTGGCTGGAAAAGATTATGATTGTTGTGGACAAAGTGGTCGCTGTGGAAAGGTGAAAGCATTGGAATATTTCACGACCGGGCTGCAAGCAGCTTTAGCCTGCTGCCTTACGGACAACAAACTGCCAAGAGTCGTGGATCCGGAACACAAAACTGCGTACAAAATGTACAAACAATCCAAATACTCCAGGGATCTCCAAGGACCTTGACATGCAGTGCAGCTCAGTGCATCTTGTCACTCCGAATCCATGACCACGAATCTTTCGTCAGCTCTCCTAGAGACCTACGCTTGGGCCGCTTTGTAACTCATCCCAGTTTGAAGGGAAATCTCGACCTCAGGCCACAGGATGCCAAAGGATGCCAGGCTCCCTTCAGCGCACCTTGCAAGCCTTGGCCTACTTCAGTGCCTGGTTTGAAGTTTTCTCTTGGCGAGTTATTGGTACTACTGAGTATCTTGGACAAGAGACCACCATGCAATCAGAGAAAAACAATATGAAAAAATGATCATGTTCCTGCCCACCCAGTGATTGTGGATTTTATTGACTTGGGGTGTATGGTGTTATGGTGTTCGGAGTCTAGAGCGGCCTGCCTTGTCGATTCTCTGGACTGCATGAAATCCGAAACCGCTACTTCAAAGTCAATGAGTCCCACCTAAAACTGCAAGACATGTTCAATGCACCTGGAACATCGTTCATCATGAGATACCTAAAACTTTTGCCATCGGTTTGTTTGCGCTTCATGTCACATGCCATCTAGGGTTCCTGCAGTAGAGGAATTACGTCGCGCAGCACGAATCGCAGCCTGCTCGAATGTGCCACTCAGTGAGACGTTGGAAAACTCTTAAGCAAACATAATCAAACATACTAAACATATTATCAGAATTCAGAAGAATTATACGTATTTTGTCTCAAAGGTATCTCAATGTTCATGGGGTGTCCTCGTTCACCATGGCTTCCAAGGCAGCACCAGGGAATCCATCACACCTTAGCAATGTTGACGAGTTGAAGGTCTTCTCTGAGTGGATACAGTGACTGTAATGATGCGCTTCGTTCTGTTTCCCGCCTCGCTGCTATCTCGCTCAGCGAGCTCTCTGTAACTTCTTCGGAGAGCGGGACCTTGCATACTCTTCTGTGCTAAACAGTATGCAGAAGAATTCAGAAAAATCTGGATGATCAATGATGATCGGCATGTTGTTTGATAAAGTTGCATTGGTTGATTTTCATACTTTCTCCACAATTCTTTCCTGAAATGGACAAAAGGTACTCTGTGAGTTTATCTAATTTTATATAATAGGTACGTTATATATATATATGTATATATATTATATTATCCAATTATAATGCCATGATATCACTAATATCACATTTCTTCATGGGCCTGTCTCAGGCGCAAGTGCACTTTGAGGATGTCCAGTCTACCTTCGGCATCAGGGAGGTCAACCTGAGTGGATGTGCAGTGTCGATCTACGACATCTACGACATCTACGACTACGATGTGCGAACGTGTGAACAACACCGAACAGGAATCTGCAGGAATCTGCAGGATTTCGTTCAGTCGTTGTGGTCGTTGTGCCTGCACCACTCGATCAAATCGACCCGGCCGAAGCAGGGCTTCATCGAGAACCTGCTGAAGAAATTTGAAGAAGTTTGTTGGAAGTTCAACATTTGGAAATCGAGAACCAAGGAACTCCAAAACACTCCTCTACAATCACTGTTTGGGATCCCTTGATAGGGGAGTATGTATAGATTTATGGATATAAAATACGCTCGCATGACATGAATTATATAATATTTATAATTGTATATTGAAAAATTGGTAGCTTTCCACTCACGCCATAATCCCGCAACGCTCCTAAATCGCTTCAGAGTCTCATAAAGCATCATAAAGCCAAGTGCAATTGCTACATGCTAAATGCACAGCTGCAACATGTCATGTCTCCGTCCTCTGGTCTGTTTGTGGCCGCGATCACAACCACGGGACGTCCAGATTCTCGAGTCACAAGACCATCCATGCAGGTGAGGAGCTGGTTCAATGTAGACTCAGCCTGCACAAGGTGTCACTGGCATGTCAGATCCAGTTTCCAATTATCGTGCACTGATGAAGGAAAGCAAACATACATGTACAGAGACATACGGAAATTTAAAAAAAAAACAACTGAAAGTACCCATGTGCATGCTGCACATACACAGCGGGCTCTGCATGAAACAATTGTACAAAAATGATCACAAAATATCACAGGGTACAAAAGGTTTTCGTGGTGTCGCTTCACAAAAACACGTTTACGCTTCGTGTGAGATTACATGAGATTGCCGTCAACCATCAACCCTGTCCAAACAAAAGTCAGCTTAGCGGACTCCGTGCAGAGACCTGGGTTCAACTGTCCAGACGGGTAGTGGCGCTTACATGCGCATACAGCATGCTCGCTAGATGCTGTCAATGGATCCTGCCTGTCTCAATACATCTATATGTATAAAATATATATCCGCCGACCCCGGCAGACGCAAGGGGGAGCCCTGGTTTCGGACTAGTACCACTTCTATTCTATAGGGTAGAACAGCACATAGTCAGTCGCCAGCAGCCAGCGGCAATAGTAGCCAGTAGGCAGCAGTCGGCAGCCAGCAGCCAGCGGCAGTAAGGCAGCAGCAGCAGTAGTAGCAGCAGCAGCAGCACTAGAGTTGTAGCAGCAGCAGCAGCACCAGAGTTGTAGCAGCAGCACTAGCACACCAGCAGGAGAAGGGGCTTGTAGCAGCAGCAGTCGGCAGCCAGCAGCCAGCGGCAGTACGGCAGCAGCAGCAGCAGCAGCAGTAGGCAGCAGCAGCAGCACCAGCACCAGCAGGTGAGCTGATGGGAGATTGAAAAAGCGGAAAAGGTTGGGAAAAAGACAAAGACATGTTTTCTAGGAATTCAGAAGGGACGTTAGGCACTTTTTCAGTGCGATTCTAGGGCCTGTTCGTCCTTCCGTGCCTTGCTGCTTTGGTGCCGGGAGGTGCTCTTGCTATTCTTCTGCAAGCAGCAGCAGCAGCAGCAGGTGGGCTGATGGGATTGAAAAAGCGGAAAAGGTTGGGACAAAGACATTTTTTCTAGGAATTCAGAAGTGACGTTAGGCACTTTTTCGGTGCGATTCTAGGGCCTGTTCGTCCTTCCGTGCCTTGCTGTTTTGGTGCCGGGAGGTGCTCTTGCTTCTCTTCTGTTAGCAGCAGCAGCAGCAGCAGCAGGTGGGCTGATGGGATTGAAAAAGCGGAAAAAGCTGGGAAAAAGACATTTTTTCCAGGAATTCAGAAGGGACGTTAGGCACTTTTTCGGTGCGATTCTAGGGCCTGTTCGTCCTTCCGTGCCTTGCTGTTTTGGTGCCGGGAGGTGCTCTTGCTACTCTTCTGTTAGCAGCAGCAGCAGCAACGGCTGTTTTGGTGCCGGGAGGTGCTTTTGGGCAGCAGCAGCAGCAGCAGGTGAGCTGATGGGAGATTGAAAAAGTGGAAAAAGTTGGGAAAAAGACATTTTTTCTAGGAATTCAGAGGGACGTTAGGCACTTTTTCGGTGCGATTCTAGGGCCTGTTCGTCCTTCCGTGCCTTGCTGTTTTGGTGCCGGGAGGTGCTCTTGCTACTCTTCTGTTAGCAGCAGCAGCAGCAGCAGCAGCAGGTGGGCTGGTGGGATTGAAAAAGTGGAAAAGGTTGGGAAAAAGATATTTTTTACTAGGAATTCTAGGAAGGGAAGTTAGGCAGTTTTCGGGCGATCTGGCCTGTTCGTCTCCGTGCCTTGCTTTTTGGATGACGGAGGTGCTCTTGCTACTCTTCTGTTAGCAGCAGCAGCAGCAGCAGCAGGTGAGCTGATGGGAGATTGAAAAAGCGGACAAGGTTGGGAAAAAGACATTTTTTCTAGGAATTCAGAAGGGACGTTAGGCACTTTTTCGGTGCGATTCTAGGGCCTGTTCGTCCTTCCGTGCCTTGCTGTTTTGGTGCCGGGAGGTGCTCTTGCTACTCTTCTGTTAGCAGCAGCAGCAGCAGCAGGTGGGCTGATGGGATTGAAAAAGCGGAAAAAGCTGGGAAAAAGACATTTTTTCCAGGAATTCAGAAGGGACGTTAGGCACTTTTTCGGTGCGATTCTAGGGCCTGTTCGTCCTTCCGTGCCTTGCTGTTTTGGTGCCGGGAGGTGCTCTTGCTACTCTTCTGTTAGCAGCAGCAGCAGCAGCAGCAGCAGCAACGGCTGTTTTGGTGCCGGGAGGTGCTTTTGGGCAGCAGCAGCAGCAGCAGCAGCAGCAGCAGCAGGTGGGCTGATGGGAGACTGAAAAAGTGGAAAAAGTTGGGAAAAAGACATTATTTCTAGGAATTCAGAAGGGACGTTAGGCACTTTTTCGGTGCGATTCTAGGGCCTGTGCGTCCTTCCGTGCCTTGCTGTTTTGGTGCCGGGAGGTGCTCTTGCTACTCTTCTGTTAGCAGCAGCAGCAGCAGCAGCAGCAGGTGGGCTGATGAGATTGAAAAAGCGGAAAAAGTTGGGAAAAAGACACTTTTTCTAGGAATTCAGAAGGGACGTTAGGCACTTTTTCGGTGCGATTCTCGTCCTTCCGTGCCTTGCTGTTTTGGTGCCGGGAGGTGCTCTCGCTACTCTTCTGTTAGCAGCAGCAGCAGCAGCAGCAGCAGCAGGTGAGCTGATGGGAGATTGAAAAAGCGGAAAAGGTTGGGAAAAAGACATTTTTTCTAGATGCCTGCTTCTTGGTTTGCAAGCTGGCGATGTTATATAAAAGTGAGCAAAGGCTGCTCAAGGTATATACATATAAACACACATACACAACACGACACACACACACACACATATGGGAAATGTTAATCGTGCTGTTTCCTTTTTTCCCCATTTTTCCGGGGTCGGCGGCAGGGGCGGCAGCCCTTATATATATATATATCACATTCTATTCCTACTGTAGTTGTTTTAGAGCACCATAAGATGCCGGGACTGTGGTTTCAACATGTTTCAACATGGTTCAACATGTTTCAACATGTTTCAACATGTTTCAACATTCTTGCTCAAAAAGCAGGTGCGCTCTGGAAACGGCTTAGTCCGGTAAGATAGGTTGACATCCCTTCCCACCCCACCCCAGTGCAACCAAACCCAACTCAATTGGAAAGATCAACTCATTACTAGTACATGCATAGTCGCTCCAAAAAAGGGACAGGCGACTCACTTGTCTACAAACATAGAGAAAAATAGAGATGCTGAGATACGCATATGCAGGTATACATGCATATGTGCAAGCTTTGTGCACGGAACAAATGCACAATAATATACTTGTAATATATTGTAATGTATATAGGCATGTATGCAGAAATGAGCACATTTACTCAACAAAGGCTTTGCAATCGTGCTTGCACATATGCGCACATCTTTACAACTCTCTGTGCATCTATCCTCACGCATTTGCAGAGGCACATACGATAATCATACGACGACCCATAACACAAGCGTACTGGCGGATATGTACCAATACAAGACCTGCCATTCATCCCAGCAGTGAAATCTTCACCATGCACACAACACCGCAGCCAAGAGTGAACGAAGGCTTAAGAATTGACAAAGAAAAGCTGAATGTTGTGATTACCCCTCTGCATGAACTCCATGGACAGAGTGGATAGCGAAAATGGAATAACTAACTGTTCCAGACATGCCCCGATACATTCATCACCGCAGCGAAGAAATTTCAGCTGCCAATTTATATGATTTAAAATGTAGTTTCAGCGCCCTAGAGAAAGGAAAAAAGACACCGCCATGCCAAATCATATACTATCATATCACAACCCACCATACAATCACCTGCGGTCGCATAGGATAGAAGGGCGCAGCACAGTATAGCATCGCATGACCAACATCCACACATTCATGATAGGTTAATGTCTGCAGTCATTAACCCATCAATGCATACACATTATTGTACATATATATATATATACATATGTGTATATGTGTGTACTAATTGTACATGTTGATACACGAAAAGAAACATATGCACTGTCCCTCGTTAATCGTCACGTAGACATATCACACATCTACATGCGCGGTCACCAGTCAGATTCTGTATAATACATTCTGAATATATATGTATATACATGTATGTATATGTATGTGTATATATAGACATATACAGTACAAATGCAAATGCCAAAAGGGACATGACTTGACATGACATGACATGACCATAGCACAGTTTCAATGGATCCTGTGACTCAGTGGGCACAAGATGGCACAAGCATACATTTTTGCACATAGATTTTTGCAAAATGATGCTGAGCAAATGCAAAATTGTTCCTGGAAAGATCAGCCTCCTGGTTGCCACCCCCTAGTCTCAGGGGATCACTGGAGCGAGCACGGAGGGCATCGATCTGGATGAAAATGCCAAGCGAAGCTTTGACAAATGTGGCAAAGTACAACGCAAATTAATGAGTTCAATAGAAAATAATAGAAAATAATAGAAAAGCAAGAGCAAGAGCAAATGCAGGCAGCTTGCGCGCCTCATCTATGAAAACGATGCATGGTGCCATCTTTCTTGCTCGCTCGAAGAGCTGCAGGGGCATCGTACACTGGTTGAGGAAAAAACGAGGCAAAATTAATTTGAGCAAAACTATATCTAGTACAGTACTATATATACTGAAAACACAATACTTAGACTTCTTATTCAACATTATTCAGCAGGCTCCGAAGTCTATCCGACAGCAAAGCTGCAGTGCCAGCAAGAGCATCAAAGTGTCTCCTGCCGAACACGAGCTGCACCACGGCCAACAAAGAGTTCCTTAGCACCCAAGAGAGGCTTCTACATCCAATTCCAGATTGCACACTGATTCGCAAATGGCTCATACAACAGCAGCATCGAACAGGCAAGATACCACAAACTCTGTTGCTGCGACGTTCAGAAATGCCACCCCAGCCTGCAAAGATGTGTGCTGCATGTACGTAGTAGCACACTTTTTGTAGAGTATGCACGCCCTATACTGGTCGGACTGGAGGCTAGTACTGCAAAAACACATAGGTCATCTAAAAGACTCTGTCAGATGTAAGTGCACAGGTATGACATAACTGACCTAGCCTTCAAAGGGGATATCGCTATTTGGGAAGGTCCCGTCGCTTACCTCATGCTTGTACAATTTCTGAAAACCAATGTCCGTCCTTACATGTTTCCTATTGCTGGTTTTCTTTGCGGTTGCTCATGCTATCAGTGTACTTGATTGTACTTGCATGTACTTACTATATCTTACATTATCTTACTACGTTTTTGTTAAATGCCGGACATCAAGCCTCAGCTGCGCAGGCTCGCGCGAGCAATGTCTTGCCGGATCCGGGAGGTCCAGCCTGAAAAAACGAGGCATGATGCATGACGCATGACGCATGACGCATGATGCAAGCGACCAGCTTCAAATGAGCCGATCAAAGTCGAATCAGAAGTGTCGGAGCGTAACGTACTGGGCGCTACCTAGCACCACGTGCCTGTGACTGTCCCTGTGCTTGGCTTCAGAAAGCAAAGCAACTCGTGCTTTTGTTGCCCTTCTTGTAAACATCCATGGCTCAAACGGCTAATCTCAGGCACTGAGCACTTTACAAGAAGCACCCCTCGCGGTACACTCGCACCAAGGGCTGCATACCTACCATCCAACACCGTCCCTATCCCATGTCAAAGCCAATCACTCCTTGGGTTGGATACTGCCACTTAATGTTCTTACATACACCTTGAGATGATTTGGCTGTATGTGACCATATCGTATCATCCCGTGATCAAAAGAAGGCTTGCTTGGAGAGTTTCATGAGATTCAAGCCTGCTTGGTGATCGGAGCATTTCAACCTCAGGATCTGAGTGTTGGCTGACGGATCCGTGCCACAGCCAAGAAGCCGTGGTGCAAACTCATTCGATTGCCCTCAGCCTCCAACTACCTCCTTCACCTTTCGACAAGATGGCTTCAAAATGGTTCAAAGATGTTCAAAGCAAACTCATAGCGGGCTTGGGCATCTGTGGTGAGCTTGATAAGCAAATGCCAGGAGAGCTGCCAGCCACATCCAGTCTGCGACATGTTCCAGGCACCTGAAGCTTTGATCGCTCGATGCCGGCAATGTCATCAAAGCGAGTGACCATCGCATTGGAGCCAGCCACTTTTTGAGCCTCTCAAATAAAATCATTGAAACAGCGTGTAGATGGCTTGCATCAGACCACACAACCTACAACTACGACAAAGAAGCAAACCAATTGAGATTATAAAGATGTGTTTTCATACTGTCACCCTGCGAATCGTTGCTTTGAAACGAAGTGAACCCAATTATAAAGACCCCAAGAGGATCTCGTCCCCACCTGCCTCCATGACTTTCTGCCTCGCATCTCGCCATCCTTTACCATTACCACCTGTCATCCGACGCATCATCGTGTAGACCTGAGCCGACAATTTGAACATGAACAACTATGACTATGAACAGACATGAACAGACTATGAACAACTGGTTTGTTCAAGTCTCAATTAGTCTCTAGACAGCAATGAAATGCAATGAAGCTGCGTGCTTCATTACGGTCAGTCGGTCAGAGCCCCAACAGGATCACCAAAAGGATCGCAAGACAGACAAATCATGGTAATTAAATATAATTCATATACATCGAAATATACATCGAAATAACATAAAGCATCACAATGCAAACACCACAACTGCTGAGCGTTGCTGAGCAAGTTACTATGGCCAAGTAAAGGAAAAGGATCATGCTGCTTGCGGCTAGCTGGGACACGCCACCAGTGCGCTCAGCCAAAATTTGCACCTTCCACTATGAAGAAATCTGGTGGCGAAGCCGCCACAGTGGCAGAAATGTGATAGACACCTCATGATACTCACCGGATACTCAATGGAGTCATCTGTTTTGCATTGTTTTCCCTTCAACACCCTGAGCTTCGCCTTTGCATTTCGTAGTGCGGACCAAAGTTCTGCTACTGCAGGAGACACCTAAGAGACTCACAGGCTGCAGGACCCCTTTTGGGACCCATCACAAGTCGCATGGCGTGCTATGCAGTGCTATATGTTACTAAGTGAAACTAATTGTTCCATATTGTTCCTACGTGTATGCGCAAGTGCAAACTCAATGCCTAGGAAGCTGGCTGCATTTGGCAGATGAGCCAAATAGCGAGTCCCATCCTCAAGGATGAGGACCTGCAAGTTGTGTCTCCCAGATTGAGTGTCTGAGTGTCCGTTGCCGGAAAAAAGAACGAAAAACATGTATTTGAAGTATGCTATCTTTTTGTTGGTCGTGCCATCCTTTGACTGTCCGGAGTCCTATTCGGAGGAAAGAAACTGAAAAGTGTCACAATTTGCATAGAATGTGCGCTTGACACAACATGCACTGCAAAGATCGCAGGACCAAAATTGAATGTGTGAAGATCAAGCACAAATTGGCCACCTTGCATGAGTCTTCCAAACTTTTAAAATTTGAATCGATGGATCACCAATGATCACCATGGACAATTGTTTGAGAGAAACACATTCAACTGTGATCCATCTTAGTATCTTTGAGATGCAGCCATGACGGAGGCTTGAAAGGAAGCAGCACTGCCTACAGGACTGCATTTGCTGAGTTTGAAACACACTGGGAGGCTCCAACAATAGCCTACATAGCAAAACGGCAAAAGGTCGTTCAAGAGAAAGTCAATTCTTCACGTGGCAAATTATTTGCGCACCTGTCGGGGTCCAAACTTCTGCTCCTCCAAGATATCTAACAAAAAGCTGATGGTCACCTGAAATGCAAGTGAAAGTGACTCAAAAACAGCAATGGCAAGTCTTGGTCTTTTGGAGAAAGAAGGAAAAGGTTTTTCATGGTTTTTCTATGATATTCATAGAGCCTCGTGGATCTTGTTCTCCGCCCTCCTGTGCCGAAGCACCTGTTGTCTAGGAGGAGTGCTGCTTCGCTTCTGTACCATTGAATTGACTTGATCAGGGACTGGAGAATGAAGAATTTGCAGCGAGGTGAAGAGAGTTGTTTGGTCAGTGTCTAACAAGTCTGCTGCTGATCGAAAACATCTCAAGCAACACTACCACAGTCTCAATCCAGCAACAAACCACAGAGATGTAACAAACTGCCGGTACAGTAGGTAGGTGCAAGGCCGTCAATAGAAAGAAGACAACCATAGACAAGAGAAACCTCAGGTGAGGCTGCACAAAATAAGGGCCGTATAGGGCCATATATGGCTGACGCAAAAGTAAGTCGTCGGTCTGGGCCGTTGAGTGCTTCAAATGTCACCAAGCCGAACGCCAAGAACTGCGTTTCAGTCGAGGCATACGTCCAAATCTTCCAAGCTTCCTGAGTCTGGGCTCCACCGAACAAACCTTAAAATATACAGTAGTGCATCTGACAAAGTCATGCGAAAAGCATCAGAAAACACTGCACAAATGCCAGCATAGAGCCTAAAAGGGTTCGGGAGCTTGGGCAGTTTCCAGAATTTTCTATCCTGCAGTCCATCGTGAGAAGCTTTTGATCCACCAGGAAGCAAAAGCTGAGACTTAAGTTTCTTCCACCGTGATATCTCTTGTGCTGTTGACGACAAGTACTGTATGTCCTTCTTTTTCGAATCTTGTGCACGGCATATCTGTCGCTGCTCTCCATGAAAGCCTTGAGTTGTTGAGCCAAAGGGATCAATGATGATCAATGATTTGATCAATGCATGCAATGATGCTTGCACTATCTTGCACTTGCATGGAACAAAAAAAGCAGCTCTCCACAAGTCTGCTCAGTCACAAATGAGAGGCGGCCTCCCCGGTTGCATGGCAGCGGCAACCTGAGCTTCATTCGTTGAATCGTGCTGAATCAAGCTCTGTATTTAGCTTCATTATTTAGTTTGAAATCCAGGCATCAGAGGTGTCAATCATTTGTCAATGGCTCCTCTGTTGTACGTCAGTGTAGTCTCGTGCTGTCATGTGTATGCTTATTGATGTTTATTGAATTGTAGCATGCGCATGTCAGAAATTCCTAGGCTCCGGCTGAAAGCGATGACTTGACCCAAGCCACAGGCCTAGTGGCTCGCAAGTGCTCCCCAAATGGCAGTCAAAATCGAGACAAAGCCTGTTTCAAAGATTTTCAAAGCCTCTTGTATCCTCTTGTGCGGTCTTGTGTCGCAATTGGCGTCCGCTAAAACAGACTTTGTCCAATTCACTTGCCAGTGTAACTTTCCAGCCTGGACTGCCCGTGGCAAAGCACAGGCCTGCATCTTAAGTGCAAACTTTGCTACTAGTACTGCCAAGTTTCACGGTTTGTAGAAGGAATGATTATCAAGAATTCCCAAATGATTTGTCGAAGGCACCACCCGCCAGTAGAGCCAAGCCAGCGCTGAGTCGCCATAGCAAGCGTCTTTCACCCATTTCAGGTGTAAACAGTTTGCATTGCTGAATAATTGTTTCTATGGGTCTATGGGCTGATCATTTCGATTTGTTTCGTCTAAGAGTCTATTCTGAGTCTTTGAGGTCCAGAAGATCCATTCTGAAAATGTCTTGGAAGATGTCTTCAGAGCCACGGTCTTCCAAGCTAGCTCAAACTTAGTGATGTATCCAGATGCGGCGTGGCTTTGCTCACTTTGACCAAATTCGTAGATGCAGTACTGACATCATTGAGTTCATTGACACCTGCTTTTACAGGTTTTCAAGTTGGTCTTGTATTCTGATCCTGAGTCAGGAAAGCAAAATGGCCACCAACATCATTCATCAATTAGCAATTCCTCCAACACCCTGCAGCTCAGGCAAATCGCGCCTCGGATGGTATCGCATTTTTGCTTTCAACCACAGAGCCAAAAAACAAATCTCGCGCAGCAACTTTGTTGCTGAGTGAAAGTCCACCAATGAAGGATGCATTTTCGCTACCAAAGATGGTTCCGGCGCCTTCAGCGCAAGGAGACCTGGTGTCACTGTCTGTCCAGAAGATGACGAGTAAAAGGGAAAGGGGCTCTTGAAGGAAGAAAATGGAGAAGAAAAGTAAGAAAGGTTTGTCAAAGGTTTGTCAATGGGAGAACTCTACATGGCCGAAAGCCAGACCGGCGAGGAGAAGCGGATTTTCAGAGTATCAGAAAAGAGGGCTTCGCGGGGGTGTCCGCCACAGACTGCCTCTTCTTCAGTGGCCACATACTTCATTGGCAGATAAGTGTCCTCAGAGCAGACTTCAGCATAAAAACATATAGGAACAACAGTTGAAGCCAAGTGCTAAGCACATGTCCTTCACATTCGCTTTCACCGCAAATTTGTTTGGGTTCAAGTCGGTCACCAGATCCTTCCGCAAGCACTCAGAAAAGAACAATGTGACTATCGGTGAGTTTCGTTGGTGATCCATGCTCAAGCAACTCAAGTGACTCAAGTGTCGCAAGATCTCTGCGTCAATGTCTCAAGTGGAACAAGTGACCCACTTTGGCTCCGCTGAGTCTGCGTTTACTACACCCTACAGTGTTTTGTTGATGTCCGTGTTCTGTTTGGATCAAAAAAATATTAATTACATCCCCTTCAACGCTTCAAATCGGAGGATTGGAAACTGAAGAGTCTGCCTCATAGACCAAATACTCCCGAAAACGCTCTGGTCGGAGAAGATCAAACAATCTGCCAGGGTCCTTGACCAGACGATGGCAGTATCCACTGGAAGATATCCATACCAAAGCATTTGCAAATAAGTGCAACATATTACTATATTTACTATTAATCATTGCAACTCTTGCAACTCTTAACTTCATTCGACATATGATCTGAGGCCTTTGAGTAGCCCAATTTCTTGCACCCTTCAAAGAAACGCGGCCTCGGTACCAGTGGCAAGATTCAAGTCCTGCGTGAACCTCTACACAGCGCTGAACAAAAGTCCTGACATGGCAGCATGTGTTACTTTACATATTCATATATATATATAATTATATATATAACACATGTGAAATTATTTTAGTACATTTTACACATCGCCTCTCAACTCGGCGGATGTTTCGAGGATCAAAAGCTCTTCGCCATCCTTCCTGCAAGGGCTGATGTTAAGCAGATATCAGCTGCTCAGCTGAATCTCCTCATATCTCTATGTCATGTTCTATGTCATGATAATTCATGATATGTCATGATGCTCCCTGATTGCTGGCCTTCAAATTGGGCGTCTTTTCAGGGGTGGTGGTCACAGTGGTCACACTCCTGGCACATCATGGCTGATTGCAAGCTTTTACAAAGACCTGTCGCACCATGCCATTGGAATGGCCTCTGCAGTTCATTCTCTGGGCCCGCATTCGCGGGGACCGAATTTGTTGCTCCAGGTTCATCTGGCCTGTAGCAAGCGCTTCAGAAAATGCAGGCATTCCCAAACAAAGCAAGATGCAGCAAAAGGTTACTAAAGTCTACGAAATTTACTAAAGTATTACTATATATGTATTACTCATGTAATATCACTCCAAACACACAATTGGTGCACTGAGACTAGTACAAGTGGAACCGATTCGAACAGAATGCCCAAGAAGAATCACTCCTAAGGACTCCTAAGGTTCCAACAAAGGTGAAGATGGAGAAGCTCCATCATCTTTTGGAACTTCATCCTGGGGCGCCTCATTCACTTCCAATACCTGCAATGGCACGGTACAGTAGACTTCCTGGATTTCCGCCGTGGAAACATTGCTAAGGCTGCTGCTGGAGCTGCTGGAGCTGCCAATGTGTCGCCAATTGAGGCCTGAATCCACAAAGGGCAACAGAAATCACAGAAGCAAACAGAAGCATATGAATACCACAGAAGCAGCAATGAAGCATATGAAGCAGAACAAAATGGAAAATCATGTCTTTTGATACCTCTGTACCGGAGAAAGTGGAAGCACAACATGTGCATCAATGCATCAGGCCTGCCTTCAACAACAAGCGATACAGCTCTGCCCAGCATTCGGCTGTCTCAGTATCCAGAACCTCCATAGCCCAAGCAAAACAGAATGAATGGAAAGCATGAAAAACGCGTGTATACAAACAACATGTTGCCGAGTAAATTTCTCAGAACATGCCGTAAAGAATTCATTTTAGCGGCAAAAATATTTTTAATGTGCTAAAGAAGTTGCTCTACTGGAGGCTGCCAAGTGATTCGTGGTTCTGCCTCAAGCGTGATGAGGTTCTTTTTGTCAGTGCACTCCAGGAATTCTCGCCAAATCGATGCTACCTCTTGAGAGCGCTCCACAGCAACTGCAGAATCTGCAGAATCTGCAGAAGTGATCAGCACTTCGGCGCCTCTTTCACCCCAAGGCATCGACAGGTCAAGCAAAAGTCCTCGTGACAAGCGCTTTGCTTGCAGAATCTTGTAGAACTCGTGGAAACAATACGAATCTGACGGATCCACTCAAATCGCCAGCACGAAATCTTTCCGGATCTCAGTACTGTATAGCCATTTAGCAGTCAATTGCTATTTACTGCAGATAAAAGGGGAAGAGAATGCATTGAAGATTGACTCAACACGTACATACCCGCTCAACTGTTGCTCGTCAGGGTTAGTTTGGTCAGCAGGCTGTCCTGCTTCATCACATAGCCATTGTGTTCCTAGCAGACGCATGGATTCTCCATAGATCAAAGACGGTCTTTTTCAATGGGTTCAGCTTTTGTTTGAATGCTTTCCTTTGAAATGTCAAATGTGTTCAAATCCTTTCATATACAGTAAATTCATAATAATTACAATATATATATATAACATTATATATATATTATATATATACATAATGTTATATATATATATACATATAAACATATATATATATATGTGTATGCTTTGATGTGCTCTCAGCTTCTGGCCCGGTCTAAGGCATGCTTCCAGGCTGCGAAGAAGCTTCCGTATTTTGCCTCAAAAGTATTCCAAAGCCAGAAGCTTCCGACATCCGAGTCATGGACTTAATTGCAGACGACCAGATACGGACCAGTCATGGTCAAACCAGCCAAAGCTGTGGCCGTGGCTTTAAGCATCCTCTTGAAGCCATCCAAAGTATCGATAAGGCGTGTTTCCTCCTCCGAGATTTTAAATCGACTAAGCCGTTCCTGACCGTCCATGCGACTGAGTTGATTGATGCGTCCTGTTCCCGGAACACAGTGTTCAGATGTGAACTGTCATCATCGTCGCCTGGAGAATCTACAAGGAGAAAAGAAACTGGGAAAGAACCGGAAGCTGCTCAAGGTGCTGAAGCTGAAAAAAACATGAAAAAACACGGATTCCACCTTGCCCCCAAGCAGAAGGACGTTCAGAGGGAGGAAGGCCAGTCAGAAGAATTCGCCAATTTTCTTTTCTGATTGAACCTGCAGTGCTGCAAGGGACGCTGTGCCACAGAGATCAATGGAGTCGTGCAGCTCTCTGCACAGCATATGGGCTCTCGAAAAGCAGCGCTGTAGCACAGTTTTCAATTTTTTCAACACAGATTTTGGAGTGACTCCAAGAGACTCCGAGTGACTCCTGAAATCTCCTGAACCAGAAAGCTCTGAGCCCTCCATGCTCCCGCCATGGCTGAGTTCTCCACGCTGGCCATGTCTTGCCATGAGATAGTGGAAAAGGGTGTTCACCTGTGAGGTGAGTGGGAAGCCGGGAAGCCAAGGTGTGTTTCTATGTATTTCGCATCCACCTTGGTCATACTCAGCTCACCTTATCGTACTTCCTGCTCTATGATCGAAGGATATCGAAGGAGAGCATTTTATTTCCGAATTAATATGACTTATATGTTATAAGTTAAAATAAGTTGGATGTTATATTGATGTGAGTAGTTCAGTAATGTTCACTAGTTTCTCTACCCCAAAACTTGAAGAATATATCAATATATATATGTATACATCTTCAGCTAGAGAGAAGACATAGAGGATGACACTGAGGATGAGTTTCGTATTTACAAATTGTAGGCATTCGGTGCGTATCGTTCAGTGTAGACTAGGATAGTTTCCACGCCGTTCGTGGAGCGGGGATCACCTATACCAACTTCCCCTTCTTGCATGCGACCTTCGCAACGTGTTTCACTGTTTTCTCCCGTATGAACCATCTCAATTCTTTCATTAAATATTGTTCCGGTGGACTTGAAACACTCGCCAGCAATGACAACCAATCAGAAGAAATCGAGTTCTACCATTTTTACTTACGTATCGAGGTGGAAAATGAACTGCCTATCCCCTGCAACTGAATCAATTGAAAAAGGAATAGGATCTTTGTCACAAGGAGTTGCGGTTGACCCTTTGAATTCTGTGTTTCGAAGCTGATTGCTTTGTCATCTTTGAGGGGAAGTGCATCCTTGCAGGCATCAGCAAAGTCCTGCCAACGTTCAGTAGAATCGGTAGAACTCGTTGCGAAGTAGCAGCACTGGCAGCATGTTGGCAGTTTCTGAGAGTTCATGAGGGCAACATAGGGCAACCTTCAGGTCAACGATTTCCAGGTGTCCAGGATCAATGCCTGGGAGTCAGCAGTCTGTGATCATTTGTGATCTATCGATACCTTCTATTGATATCTTGCAGTTCCAGCGTGCCACGCCTTCATGCCATGCTTGCGTCAAAGTTTTGTATTTCTTAAGAAGCTCTCCACGGCATTCCTCGGGCTGCTGCGACATAGCTTCTGCATTGTAATTGCGTGCAAAAATGTCTACGCCAGGCATCTCAAAGTCTTTGTGAGACTGAGCTTCTGACATTCAAGAACGCTTGGGCATCAGGATCCAGATCCATAAAGCTCATAGATGCTTCGTCTCCTTCAAAAACCATGAGCTTGAAGGGCTTTGGCATGCTTTGCCGAATGTTTGCCTGTTGTGGCTGGCTGCCCAAGTCTCACAGCCTCAAGTGACTCAAGTCCTCTTCCATTCCACGACCTGATTTCCCCTGTCTCTCACCCACTCAACCAATCTTCCACCTCGATTTTGTGTGAAGTCGTCCCACAGTTTTTGCAAATTTCCTGAGTCAACGTGCTTCTTTCAGAAGTGAGTGTTTCATTCATTCACTGAAGGTGTGCCTTCTCCACATTGTATCCAGGTCGCAACACAGCTTGATGCTACTGAGGACTTTACCACAAATGCCACACCGGTACATCATGGCAAGGAACTGGGAGCGAGTGATGGTGCCTCATGGCTTCACGCTCCGTGTTCGCCAAAAATAGTGCATATTCATGAAATATTCATGAAGAATCATGAAAATTGATACACAATGATACACATATTTGCACAGTGCATCACAGTGCCATTTGCTCTCAGAAGACCTGAGCCTCTCGCCTTTTCCTCGCCAATCCAGCTCAAGATTCCAGCAAGCAACTGTGGAGACAAAGTCCCTGGCCGTGCTAGCACTGCTTCCTCTTCATGCCACTGGAGCAAACAAAACACTCCAAGAAATACCAAAAACATCAAAAAAACAACAATCGACTGTAGCTCTGAGCGCGCTGGGACTGCGAGTGGCCTTTCCAGTGCGTGACGAACTAGTTGGGGCCTGAGCGCTTCAGAGTTCATGGAGGAAGTGTGTGGCATTTCTGGCCGAAGAGGTGACATCAACACACTGGCAGTCACTGGCAGTCTCTTCCATTGGGGCATGGACGTGGCAGCATGTTGCACTATCAGACTCTCACCAAGCTCTTTGGCTTCAGCCTCACAACTTCGTGTCAGCTGAAGGCAGTCTGGGTGAAGGCAGTCTATTGTTCTGTTCATTCAGATCAGATAATTTAACTACATTAGTTCACGGTAGAAAGATGGGCTAACAGTTATAACAAAAACAATGCTACTGTCCTTCCATCAATCTGTCCATTCACATCATGCGGATCTGGCATTCACTTGCCACTTGCTCGTTCCACAAATATAACAAGCCTGTCTTCTGGATCTGACCCCGCAGAAAGAGGACAAAAGGTTACTGAGGCCCAAACTTCTTTCTGTGCGCGGATGCGAGCTTCATTTGTCTGCACATCGAGAGCGAAAGAAAAAATGAATTGCAGGCCTTTCTCCGGTTCTTGTCGGAGATATTCTAACAATTTCTAACATATTTACATATATTATATATTATTTTACTCTCTAACCGACCAAACATAAACAAACATAAACAAACTAGTTTCGGCCATTCTCCGGGTTCTTGGCCACAAGATGTCCAACCACTCCGACCACTCGCTCTCTGAACACGGTCCGTATTATACAGCCCGCTAGCATGAAACACTTTGAGTTTTCAAACATGCTTCTGTAGAAATCCGTTTTTAGACTTCGTAGATCTTACGGATTTCGGATTTCTACGGTCTGTGTGTGTGTGTGTCAAGTATGTCGAGTGTCTTTCCTGGAAACGTCTGGGCAAACTTTGTGGAAACCTGCCTCTTTGGCAACGATCAAAGAGGTACCAACTGGCTTCACGGGCCTGGCAACGTGACTTCAACAGTTGCCCCCTGTCGCAAGTGTCGGCCTGAGGAATTGATATCTTCATTTGTGACAATTCCACTATTCTAGAATTGTCTTTGATTATTCTTAAATTCAATTCGTTCGATTCGTCAAATCGTACCTTCGAAGGTGCTTTGGTTTCTTCCGCTCCCAGAGTCTTTGAGTGGTGACCTGACCAGCATGAGACTTCCTGTTATGCACTGACAACTGTCCGTTTGCATCCGAGGCTGATATAGCATTTCCATGCATTTGCTAAGGTGCCGGCGAACATGTCATCCAAATCCCAGAGAAATAGGGTCTCTTTCACACCTGAAAAATGCAATGCTGCAGTTACGTAGGCAAGCGAAGGCCTCAAGCGACAAACTCGATGAGTTTGCCTGGTGTTGGCTGGAGGCTATGGAAGATCATGTCCACCATATCTTCGGGAATCTCTAACTCCTCACGCGTGAGCTTTCACTGTGACAGGAGCACAGCAAATGTGTTCTCTTGAATGCTATGCATCTTTGATAGACCCTACTGTGACAATGAAATAATTCAAAGTTTGTGTCTTCACTTTATTGACCTTATGCAGCCTGGAAATAGATGGAAATAGTATGAAATGCCCTTCAAAAGAGAATATCTGTCTGCGCGCAACATCCGTACTGATCGGGCGAGGTGTGTGATTTGCTCTTGCCGACGTGATATGACGTGATGACGGACACTAGAATCACATGAGAAAAGAATGACAACTTCTACAGTAGGCTTACGGGGGTTCCGTCGGGTGACCCAGGGAGCGGGGATTCGATTCTACGAAATACTTGCCGGATCTTACCGGATGGAGACAATCTCTGTGAGACCACTGATCACCTCCTCTTCCCTTTTTCTTTACTTGGCGGTTTGGTGACAAATTCGTTTGTTTGGTGCTTGGTATGGTTGATGCATTGGCATGTCGCGGCATGCTGAGTTACAAGACCGACAGCAATCCATAGCAATCCAAAAAGATGATGGCTATTGATGGCTTCTCTTTGGCTGCGGCGGCTTTACAGGCTGCATTTACGTGGTGACTTGACCACTGTCGTGCGCCTCACGCAATGTTCTGGGGTGGATCTACTCGCACGTATGACTGTGTATGACTGTGCAAGCGTTGGAGCTGGGGCTTGCTTGGATGCCAGCATCGCAGGAGTGCTCGGTAGGCTTTTTGCACATGGGTCTATTAGTCTACTGTATATGTTAACTTTACTGGCGCTCAATTTGTGGTTTCTTTCAGGTGCTTTTACCACATCTCCATTCCAACTTTGTGGAATACTAGTACATCTTGTCGTCGCCTTCTGGATGCTCAAGGAGGTTGTGTACGGTTTTCCACATTTTTTGGTTTTGATTTGCTCCCCGCAGCGGGCAACCCTCGGGTGCAATACCCGTGAAAACGGGGCTCCCATGTCCCATCGATTAAAATCCAAGCTCTCGGATGGAGAATCCAGACATCCAGAGCCCCATTTGTAACATAGATACAACTAGGCCTGGCGGGGTTTATGGGATTATCATTGGTGTATAACGCTTTATCCATCTTTATCCGGGTTATATTATCATTATTATCATTATTATTATCATTATTATTATTATGTTAGATTCTCCAACCTGCAAAAAGTGAATTTCCTGGGACCCACTCCCAGCCTTACATCCCTTCTTAAGGTCATCGAGCGTCACGCCTTTCCGCAATGTGCGCCACGGGGTCACCACGAACATATTTGCCGAAGTTCGTGACCCGAGCAAGTCTCAAACATATGCAAGAAATTGCAAGAATGAGTATAATATTATAAGTATAATGAGTTTTGATTTAAGGCTTCCACTTGAATATGCATCATCCTTCTTGAAAAGGTCCGACCATAGCGTGGCCAAATCCTGCCATACTTGGAGCACCCAGTAGCCTTGAGAATAGTCAAATATATAAAATTCTGGCAAATCGCAAGAATTCACAGGGCCTAGATTGTCGAGAGGTGTATTCAGACAGCAAGGCAATGAAGAGCTTGGCTTCAAAACAGTCTCCTCATATCTTTCATGGATCGCTTCGAAGAAGAGCGTCCTGCCACTGTAGTTGGAGACATACAGGGTTGATAGTCCATGAACACCCCCAAATATAATATGTCCCCCGAAAGGACATAAAGATACAACCACAAGATCACAAGATATCACAAGATCAAGAGAGCCAGCCCCACACTGCGTCACCGTTTTCCTTGACAATGTCCTCACAGAACGGACGGTTACTCTCATGTTTTAAGGCTGAAATTGAACACCCGACACATCCTGTACAACAGGGGGCCTTCAGTCTGATGACATAGCTGTCTGACGGACAAATCTCTGCCTCAGAATAAAAAGAAGATATATAGTACTTTGAAAAGCGAGAGGTCAAAATGTCGTGCTTTCACATTGTTGCTGCGGTGCTCTACCAAGAGATGTACCCACAGCTTCCTCAGACTGCCTCTGTATCCAAGGCCTCAGGAAGATGTGCTTAGTGACAAAATATTATGTTCATTTATGTTCTGCAAAAGATGGTCTCAACATCTCAAGTTCGATGCAAGATGATGCAAAATTTGCAAGCAAGGTTCGGCGTACTGCTGTGCAAAACTCGTTGAAGTTCAGCTGCCCTCGGCCCTTTGGATCTATGCCAAAGCGCCAAGCTGCCACCTGAATGGACTTGTAACTTGCAACAGAGACGGACACGCCCAACTGCCAACTGCAATCCCAGACGTGATCAGGCCAAAAGCTCCGGCGCATCTGGCCCCTGAAAAAGAAAAGATACATGCTCAGTATCAGTAGCAGTAGCACAGTAGCGCACCATAGATCCATACTTTCTGCTGCACAGGTTCACAAAGCTTTCCTTGAAATGAGGCGAACTGGATAAGAGAAGTCAAGTTCAAGCAAAGCAGCTGCCTCTACTAAGCTGAAGACTGGGTGCACCTCTTCTTGCTTTGGAGGAACGTACACTTTGCAGTGCATTGCAAACTCTGCAGATTTCGATGTCTCCCAGCCTTTGCCTCTCACGAGAACATTGATCAACTCGCACACACACCTCTCTCTCTCTCTCTCTCTGTGCGGGGCAGTTCAATAAACGGGGTTGAAAACGGGTATTGATCAAAGTTGATAAAGTTGTGTCCCTGTAAAATGGATGTTTAAAACTGGAAATGAACAAAAACTGCGGTTCCCATCGGCTTTAGACTTTGACACTAACCCAATTGACCTTTCGGATCCTTTCTGTATCTGCGCTTGCAGAATGGATAATCCTTCCAACCAAGGATGCAGCGTATCCTGAAGAAGAACCCCTTTTCGGTGCGCCTGGTGGTAGCGCTCATGCCACGATGGATGCATGCCATTGCTCTAGGCTGATTGAAACATGCGATGCAAACGGTGCAAGAAAAAGATGTCTCGTGAATTTCAGTGAAATTTAAGTGAGCGGCTCTTCAAGAGTCATCTCCAAGGGTGAGGGAGCTCCTTCCAGTCCCAGTTGCAGGTGTCAGCATCTCCAGTGCTAAATTCTGCCAGTCCATCTGCAAGTAAATCTGGTAAATCTGAAAACAAAAACCAGCCAGTCGTCCTCGTTGGTCTGGTTCCTGAGGATAGATGAGCAATCATGTTGTACAGAATCGAGAAGCTGCAGTTGGGGTTTCTGAAGCTTCAAGACTGTTTGGGACAGCACGTGGGGTGAAGGGCAGTAGGCCGCTGGCATCCAGCATGCGGAAGTCGTTTCGCATAAACGCCTGGAGTGCGGCTAGAGAGGCATGGAGTTCCAAGCTCTTCCGAGCCTAATCCATCCTTGCCTCCACGGGAAGAGGAACACTGCAGATCACTGTAGCCACCACTGTAGCCACCAAATGCCACCAAGTCCAAGCCCTGCCTTGTGTGCCTTTGCATCAAAGTCTTGGAGGGTCAGGAAAGAGCCTTCTCCTGGTGGCCTGACAGGTGAAGGGTTTCAGCATGGTACATAGGTCAACATATGTCAACATGCTTCTGCATCGATGCTGATTATCATGCAAACATACCTGGATGCATCGAAGTCGTTTCATGAAGGTGCAAGGCGGTGCAAGGTGCATTGAGCTTTAAGAAAGGAAAAAAAACAGATTTTCCATGGGCGAGAGGGTCTAGGATTGCTAGCAGCTAGCAGCTGCTGGCCTCATAAAGTCAAAAAGCACATCGGCATTTTTGAGAAATCCAACCTGCCAGCGTCTTCACAGCATCCGAAACTGTGCGAAAACTCAGCCACCAACTCTTCCAAACCGTCCAAATTGAAGGGACACACATTTGCACCAGTAACATGCGTATGCGGTACATAAGGTCCGTATCTATATTATGGGCCAAACAAGTAATTACGTACATTTACAGACCAAACAAGTGGATATTTAGTTATACGTAGTTATAAGTTATAGTTCGTCTGTAGGCTTAAAACAACGCATGAGAGAATCCCAAGAACGAAAAGTGAAGTTGTCCGGGCGCGTGACCTGCTTGCAGGCTTGGACAAAGTCGTCGCGCCCTACATAGCCTTGCGCATTGACCTGCGGCGTACAATGGCACAGGCTTACCGTATTCTCACATCAGTATCAATACAATGTGTGTAGCTGTCTCATACTCGCCTTTTGGCCCCTAAAGATCACTAAAGATCACTAAAGGCACTAAAGATCATTGAGGCACCGGCATCGACGCCCTTCATCCAGGCTCTCAGCATATTCCCGTGCTCCTGGTGAGTCTTGGTCTGTTGTGGTGCCAATTTTTGCTGATCAGCCTCTGCCCGACATTGCCCGACTATACCCAGAAACCAAGTCTTTGAACCACTGCCTGCTTGAACGAAGCTCGCATGTCAGACCAAAGTGCATCTAGATCCTGCTGGGAGGTGCTTCAGACATCTGGGGACTATGAAGTCTATGAAGATCACAGGGATTAGAGTGTCTGAAGGAGCTGGAGGATAAGGCAAAATTGTATCTGAGCCTCATCCAGGTCCGCCAGTCTGATGATGCCAAGCTGCTCAGTGTCAAGCTGACTCCAAAGGCCCTGCCATAGATCAGAGTAGCTTTGGAAATGTTGAGTCAAGATGAGGTTGAATGCTAATATAGATGAAAACAAACGGAAAAACGCCTGAAGGTCACCGCTCAATCCCAACCTGAGACGTCAAGTCAAGTCATTCATTTTAGTGACAACATGGTGGGAATTTGGAGGGCTGAGATGCTGACCGGCGAAAAACATGGGTGAACTCTCCCCAGCTCAACCGGTCCCGTCCAGCTGGGTCCAAAACCTACCAGTGAGCTGTCAAAGCTTTGACAAAATAGTCTGAAGAAATGAACCACATGAACCACAGCGATTTATACATTCTTGCGGTCAAACACACGGTCGCACACAGTGAACTCGGGGTGCTGGCCTCTCGCCATGCTCTGAAGACAGACCCGTAACGACTGATTAGAGCATCTATGAGAGCATCCTTCGTACTGACCCTGGCAGAGGGACATGTTGCAAAGAGAAGCCCACCTTAATTTCCTTAATGCTTCTTACTGTAGCAAGTGAAGCTGGCCAGATTTACCCCAATCTCTTTCTGTCGGTGCGCACCTGGGGTGGATGGAATATGATGGAATATGCTGGAATCATCAAACACCAGTATCATCCAATGATTCATCAGCACCTCCTCACCAGATCCACCAGCTTCAGTATCATCAGCATCACCTCCATTGGAGGAGCATTAATGCACGTGCGCAAATGCAAACACGGCATTGGTGGATCTTTCAGATTTCAGACATGGCTGGCCAAGTCTGATCCGTCAGCTGAAGGGCCCTCAATGGCTGTCTCACTGTCTCTCATACCTGCCTGGAACGACCGACTCTGTCAGCCACCTTCACATTCATAGGCAGAGAAGAGGCGCAATTCTGATGGGCCAATGAAAGATGCACTAAAGTCTCCATTTCGACTCTAGGTCTAGAAGTAAAAAGAGGTTTGGGTCCAATCCTGGCCTGACATGTGCCTTGGGATCAAAATCCACTAGAAGCATGTGTGGCCTCAGCTAAAGATGCTCGACAGGACAAATGTGTCGGGTGGCATCTGATCGACCGCACTGGCACTTAGATCACTTAGATACCCGAGGAAATGGCGCGCCGGGGACACTCACGAACATTCCAAGCAGCCTGGCACAAGCAGCACAGATTACTGCACCTGCAAGCTGCGCTCAAGGCACTCAAGTCATCACGCATCGAGCAACTTGGGGGCTCGACTTCTTTCCATTCATATCCAAACCTCAGTGGACTCAATGGCAGGGCTGGCAGGGCTGGCAGGGCAATGCCAAATTCTCTTGGAGCCTTGACGGCCGTCAGAGACTCAGGAAAGTACCGAGCTCATCGACGCATCTCTGTACGTCTTCAGCTGTGACTTTTCCTGTGGAAGCTTGGCAAGGTGTTTGCAATGTTTGTTTGCAATGTTGCTGTCTACACTGCATTCTCAAGATTACCAAGATATAGAAAAGCATCAAAAGATATCAAAAGCATGCGTACAAGTTTTACACAAGTTTCATCAAGTGTCACTTTTCCACAAATTCAACAACGTTGAACATGTGGCTGTTGCCTGTCCCACTTCGGTCTAGACCCTCCAGCCAGGCTGATAGCATGTCTCCATACCTGGAGATGGGATCACAAGTCTGCATCAGAATATGCCCTTGCTCTGGCATTCTCTGGCATTCTCTGGCTGTCAGGGCAACAAGCCTAAAACTCGATGATTTACTGGTGCCTAGAGCATTTGCCACCAAAGCCTACTGACCACCAAAGTCAATTCCTTCTGCTTCACAGTAACACACTGCATGAAATCATTGAAATGCGCGCAGCATGATTTCATTTTGAAGGTTTGCTGGTAGCTCGTCACTATAATCAAGGACTGTGTTTGGTTGCGACCTATCACCGCAACAGCTATCAACACCCTCCTCAGCTTCAGCTAAGTAATCGCAACATTTGCATTGCGAAGGGCCGAGGCAAATCCATGATGGAAATCGGGTACAACCATCACATCGTCAATAAAATTAATTCCAATCAAACTCACCTGCCTTACTTACTTCCTCACACGCCCTGTTGATATCTATATATATATATATATTCATATATATTCTGTGCATCTATACTAGACCATACGTTTACTGGGTTTTATTAATTTGTGTATACCTGCTCTTGAACGTGACTTCTTGATCTCCTCTGATGCCCTCTTTCTGTTTCATGTCTTCGCAACAAAACAAGACCTGCAATGGCGCACTTTTTCATCAAGGCCACTTTGAAGCCGCTTACCATTGTCCAAACCTACGAGCAAGGCACGTCCGCACCAGCATTTATCGACGAATTGTCGGCCATGGCGTCTTCTTTATCACCTGTCGGGATATCCCACCAAGGGTGCTGAGGAGCCAACTTCAGGGTCTATGTCCTGACTTCATTGATCGTTTCAAACACTGCAGTTCCACAAAATAACCAAAACATGCCAAAACCTTCGAAAGCCCCTGCGCACCCGAAACTCTTGAAACTCAAGCCACTAGAAAACCGTGAAAACTACTTTCCACCGCCATCTGGCACCAATTCGCGTCCTTCTTGTCGCTGATTCCGCGAGCGTGCGTGGAATCTTCCATATAAACCAGAACACTTGCTGTTGTTTCAGTCTGGCCAGCTGTTTTGCAGACAGTACTTGAAGAGGTGTGAAGGAATACTTCTATTTGTCTAGCTTTCTTTGAAGACTCTGGAACGAGCAATGCCTCAAATACTCTCAACTCCATCTAAATATATAGAATCATGGGGACGGCTTTGAAAGCCTGCTGACAATCCAACATTCTGCACTGTGCTTCAGAGTCACGTCCGTTAGATTTTGCAAGTTCTAATTGGCCCGAGGTGAAAGCTTTGTTTTGTAGCTACTTCGCGTCTTGGTGTTGGCGATTGTTCCCAGAAGCCCAATGTTGGCCTCTCCTCCAGTGTGACATAGCCCTTGCTGCTCTTGTCAAGCTCCGCCCAAAGCCTGCGAAGGGCTACGATTTGACTCCGGTCCTCCAGGTCCCTAGGGCCCTAGGGACTGCATCAGCTGCTCTCGCAACACAGCCTCTTCATGTTGCCATGAAAGCCCATTTTTCGTGCTGCCTTAAAGAACCTGAAAGTAGAGAAATTAAGCATTGCAGGGACCTGCAGGAAAGCTAAATTTACTTGAGTTTATATCATTTCCACTTCGACCAGCTGACCAGCTGCAACTCTGAGGTCAGAAAACGGATGGAAAGATAGGCGTCCAGTCTTGCCCTCGTCAAGCACTCTCCAGCCAGCCTGAATCTTGCGCAGGTGGAACATCCCAGAGTCGAGTTTCACAACTAGCTCTGCGAGCGGTGCATCATATCTGGGGACAGAGTTCAGAATCAGAATCAGAGAGCCTGAATCAATAAGTATCAATAAGTATCAATAAGTATCAATCAGTTATAAGCTGCATTGCCCAAACGATGCACATTCTTGGGACCAAACAAGAACCGAGCCAAATCGATTTCGCAAATGCGACACGAAGCCTGAGACGCCCTCAGTGCTACCATCAGAATCACGCTCCAATATGCACCAATCAGTACCAATCACCATGTGTTTGGATGTTTTTTCGGCATAGTTTAGCCCATTTGATGCCCATTTGCAATGGATGATATGGATGTGTTCTGGATGCTAGCCGAAAAAAAGTTGCAGCACCAATCACAGTCTGATTGCAGACGCTAGGCCGCTAGGTCCGACACTTGGGCACCGTAGAAGCTGAAGTCTTCAAACAATCGGGTATCCCTCATGAGCGCCTCATGTCGGGAAGCAACATCCAGGCTGTGGTATGCTTCGGTCACTTTTGCCACAGCTCAAAATCTCTGGATGCTGGTGGCTTGGGGATGCACCTTGCGCTTCTGAGCCAGACTCCGCCCTCAACTGAGAGGCTTTACATGGCTTGGTACAACTTCACATGACAGTGGGAATTCAAGATACTGGGAGTCTGGGAGTGTCTGAACATGCCTGAACTATCTTAGCTTGGGCTCAGGCGAGCAGTGACAGTGGGATGACCCAATTGTCTGGGCAAAAAGGAACCTTTCAAGGCAGCTGGTAGCTCTTCCGGCAGTGACCTGCGACAAGACTAAGCAAATCTGACCAAATTTCAATCTATCCATGATTTTGAAAGAACATACGAGACCTATTTTGGACTCTGAGCGGGCACCATGGCTTAACGTGGCTTAACATGGCGCAACGTAGCTCGACATAGCGTCCTGGAGAAGTTGGACTTCTGGAAGGAAGGCTCACTGGCCGAGCGGCCGAGGTCTGACACGGAGCAAAGGCAGCGACGCCAAGAAATTTCACAAAGAGTCTAAAGAGATCTAAAGAGATCTAAAGAGTCAACTCAGGAAGATTAATTTATATTAATTTATATGTTTCATTTGCTTTCTGATGCAAACTCTGGAAAGAAAGTTGAACATGGCTGAAAGTTTCAAAATGTTTCAAAGTAGTCTCTCGAAATTTTGGGACAGCAGTGCGAAAAGAAGGCTCGGACTGAACTCATTGCGAGCAGTTGAGGGACTCACTGGAGGCCTCGGTCGCTGTTCCCGAATTTATCAGTCCAACTGCACGTGTCTGGGACTATCCTTCACAAGGCCATAGGCTGATTTTTTTGTTTGTAGAAACATGTGTGTTCTATATTTTGTTTCTGCACTTTGTAAAACTGTTCAATGGTACGTACTGATATGTCAAACGTACTAGGTTTGCGGCAATCGACTACTTTGGCCTCCAGGACTGCCCTCAAGTTTTGCCGAGACATGCTTGGTACTCTTGCTGCAAAGGTCAATCAGTGGGACAGCTTCACCGTCATTCTAGCACAGTTGGCTTGCACTTGATCCCAAATGTGTCGCTCTGCCGTCCTGTGCACTCTGAGGACAGTACATCTAGTCTCTGAGAGACAAGGCCCGACATGTAGAAGGACGGGAATCATCAAATTGAATCCGACATGTTTACCATTCCTGAGATGATGAAGAACTGGACCATCGTTTGTTTTGTATCTCTGTGTTTGTATTTGTGGAGCTGACCACCAAACAGCTGCATACAGCTGCTCAAAGATTTACAAGATTTTACAAGTATGTGCGTCTATGACCTGCATTGACCTGCTACATGTGTGCGTTGAAGGGTGAGACCGAACGCACTCTAAAGGCAGAGCAAGCAAGCAAAGTGGAATGTGTCTCCCAAAGTGCTGGGCAACTCAGGTGTCTTTGACAGTACTACGAGTCCAGGAATAGGCAAGGGACACAGCAGATTCAACAGGACATTACTTGCACGAAAGTATTCACACCTCTCGCACCTGCAATATTTTTCCTTCAGCAGATGAAGCTCTGGTGAGCTGTTGAAACAAACGCGAGCAACGCGAATCCACGAATCTTGATCTTCCTGACGACTCTTGGCTCTCCGTCAAACGATGCCAGAGAAGTAGAGTTCAGCACCCTGCGAATTGCTCAGATGCAAGCGCAGCCCAAGAAAGAAAGCATGTCGTGATTGATGGTTGACATTTGGTTGACTACTCTTTCGATATCTTTCATCTTTCGTTTCATCCGTTGAATCAACGATAATCGAAAAATTGTCAAACATAACATAACTGACATAACTGTATTAAAGGAGCAGGCCAGGCATCTCCAGCCTCCACGGCCAGACATCCCAGTAGCAAGGTCAAGAGAACCAAGCTTCCCAAGGCCATCAAGACAGGATATTCGAGATGGCTCTGAAACCTGGAACGTCCGAACATTCCCCATGTATAGCATAGCAGTGCTTGCAGAAGTGCTGGACTCAGCTGACAGGGTCACCTTCGGTCACTTCAGGTTCAGGCCAGGCGTGGTCCACCAAGCCGGGGGAGGGTATTGACAGCCAAACGTCCTCCAGGCTTCCAATTGATCGGCTCAAGACTTGCAAAGGATCCAGAAAAGCAAAGGCAACGCAGGTTTGATAAACCTACCAAGATTATCAAAGATTGGCAAAGTCATCAAAACATGCTTCTGTGCGGAAGCGGCAAGCAACTCGCATCAATCGCACTTGTCCTCGCCCCGCTCATCCCTAGAGCTGTAGTAGCACGTTGCCTTTCAGCGTATTCCAGGGAAAGCCAACAAAATCAACAAATGAATTGAAATGGTAAAAATGCATACTGCACAAATCTGCACAATAGAATTTGCACGCAATCTGTAGAGTGCCTGCTCGGCATTTTGCAAGTGATCCTGGATGCGAGCGAGGACCTTGCAAACAAGCATGCTCCTGAATCGCTGCCTGCACTCATTGAACCTGTTTCTTTCTATTCGAATCATTTCGAATCTACACTGCCCAGTGGTACAAAGCAAAGCCACACCTCTGTGCCCCTGGCATCTGCTGTTGTACATGGCACGGGGCCGCCAGGTGGCTGATTCGATCTTTGGCTTCTGAGGTCCAGGGCAAATTGGTCAAGAAACCTGATGTGACAGACGGCAAACCAGAACGAAGAGCAAAACACGATTTGCATCGATTTGCCGACTTCTCACATTCGCTCAAACTAAACAATTTCAAAATCTCGGCATGATAAACAATCAGTCCTTGATTCGACTTCGTCTATATGACTATATATAAACTCTTCCAGTTGTGCAAGAAGAATGTTTCTGGGCTGCTGGCCCTAGTTGCGGCAGGCAGGGGTCCTGTAGAATGAAGCTTGGAATCCAGAAAGCAGCTAACGCCAGAGGAAGCAATAATAACAGGAGACCTGACAAGTGGAACAACATGGAACAACTGTCCAAATGGCACAGAGTGCCTCTGACATCCGATTCTTGCAGTACCTGCCACAGAAAGCATGTCGGTTTGATGCGTAGTTGTTTCAACTGCCCCAACGCATAGTACGTCGTCATTCGTGCAGAGTTCGATCTTCTGATGTCTACTCAACTCCACTAGGACTCATCCCACATTTTGCCGAACAAAATCCTTCGTCCGGAATTGCACGAATTAATTGTCAGCCTCTGACAAACCCGATGTAGCTGGTCTAGCGGCACGCAGCTACGACAGCATCAGGCTTGACATGGCTTGACTGTAGCCAAATCTCGCGCATCTGGCGCCCCCAGCTTGACCATTGTGGTCAACCGGTGGAATGTAGAGCACAGCCACTGAATGGCTTTGGCTCAGGGTGAGATTCTTCTGTACAAGGGAACTTGGGAGCTCTCACTCTCTTGTTTGCAGAGCTTCAATCACCTGAAGAGCACAGCTACAGCCTTGAGAAACGGTCTCTATGAAACACATAGTAAATGTGCAACAAAATGATACTCTCTTCTCAAATGATGTTCTGTACTCTGCCTCCGAGTGCGAATCTCGTCTATTCAACCATTTTGCAAGCCCCAAAGGGCTCTGCCTCAATTCATAAATCAAAGCGCCGCTCGATGCTTCGTGTAAACCTTTACGTATAAACTACTATGAACATCTATGAACTAGGCTTATCATGGCTTATCTTCATTGCTTTCCTCCATGGCCTGTTCTGTGTGTGTTTCTCCCAGATTTCAGAGTTGTGATTTCGCCATATTTCGCCATGGCACCCAAAAGTATTTGACTTTGCAGGGTCGGCTCCCATCCACAAGAGCAACCTGGCAAGGGATGCAATGGGAGATCAATGGAGATCAGAACAGGACAGCATAAGAGTCATAAGAGTCATAAGCCATAAGAGGAAACAAGATGAAACAAGATGAAACAAGGGGAAACAGAGGAATTCCCGGAATTCCCAACTTTATAATCTAAAGAGAGCTGAGCTTTGCTGGCCTCACCATGCTTGGATCATTACACTGCACAGCTCGGTGCAAGGGATAGGTGGCCACCTGATTCAAGTGCCAAGACTGCTTCAGACTCACTGTGCACGCACAATTCTGTTTCCAAGGATTTCAGGTTTCAGATTCACTGTCTTGAGAGCGCTCAGATTGCCACAGGACACCATTTGTGTGCTGCACGCACATGTCGGTAGCCTCCAAAGCTGTGCAGTATCCAAATTGTGACGTGTGGGCTGCATGCTGCTGTCTCCTATCTGATCTTCATCCCATCTCTGTAGGCACCTTCAGCTGCCAAAAATGCTTTGGCCTTCTCTCGGCTTTCACGCTCTTTTTTTGCCTGGAACCACTTTGGAACTTCCATGATTTTGATCATCTTGATCTGGTGAAGCATGGCCAGATATGGCCAGCGTGGCACATTCAAAGATAAACAGTCGAGCCTCCGCAGCAGATTCGCGGGCCTGCTGCTCCATTTCCTCCGAAGCCAATTTGAGTAAGTGAAGATTGGCGAAGAATAGCGAAAATCGAAGAAAGATTGAAAAAAGAAGGTGTTAATATCAAACAGTCGAAATGTATTGATGCAGTCAGTGAAATCATGAGGACAGGAATGTGCGGTAAATTCTTAATGCTTATTCTGTGTGAACCACGAGTCCAGTAGATCCAGTAGACATGTTCTTCTGCGCCAATCTGGCCTGGAGCTGCTTCCGCTTCTCAGCCTGTCGTCGCTGCTCCTGGCACTTTTGATACAATGATTGTTGTGTGCACATGGTGAGAGCATTGCTTCAATGCTTCAAGGATTACTTGAACTATGCAAAGGTACGCAAATTTGTTTTACTTGACTACTTTGTTCATTTTGTTCATTTTGTTCTTACTTGACAACACATGTGTTGAGGCTTTGAGGATGGAGGGATGGAGATGACCAGGTCCGCGGTCCTCAGATCTTTGAGCAGCCAGCCTAGCCTCCTCTTCAGCGCGCCTGCTGTATATCACCAAAACAGACAGTGTCGGAAGGATTCGAAAGATATCGAAGCATGTCAACGAAGTGGGGCACTCAAGCGCTTCAAGAGCAGGCTGAGAACATGAAAGACATTGAAAAACTATGTAGTTGCCCAGACAGCCTGTGCACAAATGCATCACGTCCAAATCACTCGAAAGCTCAGCCACTAAGTGTTCAAATGTGTTCAACATCTTGACTTGTGAATGTGTTGTGACATATTGCTCCACATATTGTGACAGTGGCCCAGTGATGCCCAGTGATGCCCAGTGATGCCCAGTGATGCCCAGTGATGCCCGGAGTTCAAGGAATGCAGCGCCATGCAGCGCCTTCGCGCAGCTTCCAATTCCTCCTCCAAACGTTTCTCCTCTTCACGTCTCGCCGCCATCTCAGCTTCCTGGCAAGGCACACGCCGAAAGGCACACTCCGAAACAACAAGTTGGTTGCACTTGATGTTTGCATATCATGCGTATATATATATATATACACATACATATACATATACATATATATATACATATACATATATACATTACATTACATTACATTTACATTTATATTTACATTTACATTTACGATTTCATTTACATTTACATTTATATTTACATTTACATTTACGTTTTCATTTACATTTACATTTACGTTTTCATTTACATTTACATTTACATTTACATTTACATTTACATTTACGTTACATTACAGTTACATTGCATTGCTTTACATTACATTACATTACATACGTTAATATATATATATATTATATTGTATCGTATTGTATTGTACTGTAGTATTGGATTGTATTGTAAGTGTGTATGTGTAATATATCATGTATATATAATATAATATAATATAATATAATATAATATAATATAATATATTATATATATTATTTATAGTATGTGCATTTTATATTATGTGTATGTGCATGTGTATATATATATATGTATATTGATCATTTTATATCATTTCTCCAATGCGGATCATGTTCCAGTGGCTACACTTTCTAGCTGTAAGGCCGTAAGCGGCTTCTGATGGACATGAAACTGGCGGTACCTCAATCTTCCGACGACGCTCATCTTCAATCCGTTGCTTTTCAGCTTCAATCTCTTGCTCCAACTTTCGGCGCCCCTGAACCAGCACCGCAAGGGGATGGATATCCGCCGACCCCGGCCGATGCAAGGGGGAGCGCGTAAGGGAAGAAGATGGAAGAAAAGGGCTCCCCTTCCCACCGGTCACGTAACAACAACAACAACAACAACAAGAACGACAACGACAACGACAACAACAACAACAACAACACAACAACACAACAACACAACAACAACAACAACAAGAACAACAACAACAACGACAACAACAACAACAAGAAGAAGAACAATAACAAGAACAACACGCAGCAGCAGCACCGTTTGGCCGTCTGAGCGCCGATTTTCTGTTTTGTTTCTAGGGTTTCAGAAGCAACGTTAGACACTTTTTTGGTGGGCTTCTCGGACTAGTTCGTCCTTCAGGGCCATGGTGTTTCGGTGTGGCGAAGGGTACGTTTTGGAGGCCTGCAGCACCAGTTGCAGCAGCAGGACTAGCAGCACCAGCAGCAGCACCGTTTGGCCGTGTCTGAGTGCCGATTTTCTGTTCTGTTTCTAGGGTTTCAGAAGCAACGTTAGACACTTTTTTGGGTGCGCTTCTCGGACTAGTTCGTCCTTCAGGGCCATGGTGTTTCGGTGTGGCAAAGGGTCCGTTTGGCCGTGTCTGAGCACCGATTTTCTGTTCTGTTTCTAGGGTTTCAGAAGCAACGTTAGACATTTTTTGGGTGCGCTTCTCGGACTAGTTCGTCCTTCAGCGCCATGCATGGTGTTTCGGTGTGGCGAAGGGTATGTCACGTAACAACAACAACAACAACAACAACAACAACAACAACAACAACAACAACAACGACGAACGACGACAACGACAACAACAACAACAACAACAACAACAACAACAACAAGAACAACAACAACAACAACGACAACAACAACAACAACAAGAAGAAGAACAATAACAAGAACAACACGAACAACAACAAGAACAAGAACAACAACAACCACAAAGACAAACATAAACCCAAACAAAAACCAACAACAGTAACAATCAACACCAAACAACAACAAACAACAAGAAACAACAACAACAACAACAACAACAAACAATGACCCTTTGCCGGGGGACCCTGCTGGGTCCCCCTCCCACCGGTCACGTACGTCGATTCCTTGACTCCGGGGTTTTTGTTTCACCGGTGGGGGGTCCTTCCCGGAGTCTCCTCGAGGTACGTGGGGCTCCTTGGGTTGCCCTTCCCGCCCTGATCTGTTCTGGGATTATATGGATTCTTTAGGATTTCAGAAGGGACGTTAGGCAGTTTGTTGCTGCGATTTGGCGTTATTTTCGGCACGAATTTAGGTGGTGTTTTGCTGTTTCGGATGACTTTTATACTAGTTCGTCCTTTAGGGCCTTGGTATTTCCCCGCAGCAGGACTAGCAGGAGCAGCAGCAGCAGCAGTAGCAGCAGCAGCAATAGCAGCAGCAGCACCGTTTGGCCGTCTGAACACCGATTTTCTGTTCTGTTTCTAGTGTTTCAGACGCAACGTTAGACACTTTTTGGGTGCGCTTCTCGGACTAGTTCGTCCTTCAGGGCCATGGTGTTTCGGTGTGGCGAAGGGTACGTTTTGGCGGCTTGCAGCACCAGTTGCAGCAGCAGGACTAGCAGCACTAGCAGCAGCAGCAGCAGCACCATTTGGCCGTGTCTGAGCGCCGACTTTCTGTTCTGTTTCTACGGTTCCAGAAGCAACGTTAGACACTTTTTTGGTGGAATTCGCGGACTAGTTCGTCCTTCAGCGCCATGCATGGTGTTTCGGTGTGGCGAAGGGTATGTCACGTAACAACAACAACAACAACAACAACAACAACAACAACAACAACAACAACAACAACAACAACAACAACGACGACAACGACAACAACAACAACCACGACGACAACGACAACAACAACAACAAGAACAACAACAACAACGACAACAACAACAAGAAGAAGAACAATAACAAGAACAACACGCAGCAGCAGCACCGTTTGGCCGTCTGAGCGCCGATTTTCTGTTTTGTTTCTAGGGTTTCAGAAGCAACGTTAGACACTTTTTTGGTGGGCTTCTCGGACTAGTTCGTCCTTCAGGGCCATGGTGTTTCGGTGTGGCGATGGGTACGTTTTGGAGGCCTGCAGCACCAGTTGCAGCAGCAGGACTAGCAGCACCAGCAGCAGCACCGTTTGGCCGTGTCTGAGCGCCGATTTTCTATTTTCTTTCTAGGGTTTCAGAAGCAACGTTAGACATTTTTTGGGTGCGCTTCTCGGACTAGTTCGTCCTTCAGGGCCATGGTGTTTCGGTGTGGCAAAGGGTCCGTTTGGCCGTGTCTGAGCACCGATTTTCTGTTCTGTTTCTAGGGTTTCAGAAGCAACGTTAGACATTTTTTGGGTGCGCTTCTCGGACTAGTTCGTCCTTCAGCGCCATGCATGGTGTTTCGGTGTGGCGAAGGGTATGTCACGTAACAACAACAACAACAACAACAACAACAACAACAACAACAACAACAACAACAACAACAACGACGACAACGACAACAACAACAACAACAACAACAACAAGAACAACAACAACAACAACAACAACAACAACAAAGAACAACAATAACAAGAACAACAACAACCACAAAGACAAACATATAAACCCAAACAAAAACCAACAACAGTAACAATCAACACCAAACAACAACAAACAACAAGAAACAACAACAACAACAAACAATGACCCTTTGCCGGGGGACCCTGCTGGGTCCCCCTCCCACCGGTCACGTACGTCGATTCCTTGACTCCGGGGTTTTTGTTTCACCGGTGGGGGGTCCTTCCCGGAGTCTCCTCGAGGTACGTGGGGCTCCTTGGGTTGCCCTTCCCGCCCTGATCTGTTCTGGGATTATATGGATTCTTTAGGATTTCAGAAGGGACGTTAGGCAGTTTGTTGCTGCGATTTGGCGTTATTTTCGGCACGAAATTAGGTGGTGTTTTGCTGTTTCGGATGACTTTTATACTAGTTCGTCCTTTAGGGCCTTGGTATTTCCCCGCAGCAGGACTAGCAGGAGCAGCAGCAGCAGCAGTAGCAGCAGCAGCAATAGCAGCAGCAGCACCGTTTGGCCGTCTGAGCGCCGATTTTCTGTTTTGTTTCTAGGGTTTCAGAAGCAACGTTAGACACTTTTTTGGTGGGCTTCTCGGACTAGTTCGTCCTTCAGGGCCATGGTGTTTCGGTGTGGCGAAGGGTACGTTTTGGAGGCCTGCAGCACCAGTTGCAGCAGCAGGACTAGCAGCACCAGCAGCAGCACAACAACAACAAGAACAAGAACAACAACAACAACGACAACAACAAGAAGAAGAACAATAACAAGAACAACACGAACAACAACAAGAACAAGAACAACAACAACCACAAAGACAAACATAAACCCAAACAAAAACCAACAACAGTAACAATCAACACCAAACAACAACAAACAACAAGAAACAACAACAACAACAACAACAAACAATGACCCTTTGCCGGGGGACCCTGCTGGGTCCCCCTCCCACCGGTCACGTACGTCGATTCCTTGACTCCGGGGTTTTTGTTTCACCGGTGGGGGGTCCTTCCCGGAGTCTCCTCGAGGTACGTGGGGCTCCTTGGGTTGCCCTTCCCGCCCTGATCTGTTCTGGGATTATATGGATTCTTTAGGATTTCAGAAGGGACGTTAGGCAGTTTGTTGCTGCGATTTGGCGTTATTTTCGGCACGAAATTAGGTGGTGTTTTGCTGTTTCGGATGACTTTTATACTAGTTCGTCCTTTAGGGCCTTGGTATTTCCCCGCAGCAGGACTAGCAGGAGCAGCAGCAGCAGCAGTAGCAGCAGCAGCAATAGCAGCAGCAGCACCGTTTGGCCGTCTGAGCGCCGATTTTCTGTTTTGTTTCTAGGGTTTCAGAAGCAACGTTAGACACTTTTTTGGTGGGCTTCTCGGACTAGTTCGTCCTTCAGGGCCATGGTGTTTCGGTGTGGCGAAGGGTACGTTTTGGAGGCCTGCAGCACCAGTTGCAGCAGCAGGACTAGCAGCACCAGCAGCAGCACAACAACAACAAGAACAACAACAACAAGAACAAGACGACAACAACAACAACAAGAAGAAGAACAATAACAAGAACAACACGAACAACAACAAGAACAAGAACAACAACAACCACAAAGACAAACATAAACCCAAACAAAAACCAACAACAGTAACAATCAACACCAAACAACAACAAACAACAAGAAACAACAACAACAACAACAAACAATGACCCTTTGCCGGGGGACCCTGCTGGGTCCCCCTCCCACCGGTCACGTACGTCGATTCCTTGACTCCGGGGTTTTTGTTTCACCGGTGGGGGGTCCTTCCCGGAGTCTCCTCGAGGTACGTGGGGCTCCTTGGGTTGCCCTTCCCGCCCTGATCTGTTCTGGGATTATATGGATTCTTTAGGATTTCAGAAGGGACGTTAAGCAGTTTGTTGCTGCGATTTGGCGTTATTTTCGGCACGAAATTAGGTGGTCTTTTGCTGTTTCGGATGACTTTTATACTAGTTCGTCCTTTAGGGCCTTGGTATTTCCCCGCAGCAGGACTAGCAGAGCAGCAGCAGCAGTAGCAGCAGCAGCAATAGCAGCAGCAGCACCGTTTGGCCGTCTGAGCGCCGATTTTCTGTTTTGTTTCTAGGGTTTCAGAAGCAACGTGAGACACTTTTTGGGTGCGCTTCTCGGACTAGTTCGTCCTTCAGGGCCATGGTGTTTCGGTGTGGCGAAGGGTACGTTTTGGAGGCCTGCAGCACCAGTTGCAGCAGCAGGACTAGCAGGACCAGCAGGAGCAGCAGCAGCAGCAGTAGCAGCAGCAGCAATAGCAGCAGCAGCACCGTTTGGCCGTCTGAGCGCCGATTTTCTGTTTTGTTTCTAGGGTTTCAGAAGCAACGTTAGACACTTTTTTGGTGGGCTTCTCGGACTAGTTCGTCCTTCAGGGCTATGGTGTTTCGGTGTGGCGAAGGGTACGTTTTGGAGGCCTGCAGCACCAGTTGCAGCAGCAGGACTAGCAGCACCAGCAGCATCGCGCAGCAGTAGCAGAAAACAGCAGCATCAAGCACCGTTTGGCCGTGTCTAGCGCCGATTTTTCTTTTGTTTCTAGGGTTTCAGACAACGTTAGCATTTTTTTGGGTGCGCTCTCCGACTAGTTTCGTCCTTCAGGGCTATGGTGTTTCGGTGGGCGAAGAGGCTCGTTTGGCCGTATCTGAGCGCCGATTTTCTGTTTTGTTTCTAGGGTTTCAGAAGCAACGTTAGACACTTTTTTGGTCAGCTTCTCGGACTAGTTCGTCCTTCAGGACCATGGTGTTTCGGTGTGGCGAAGGGTACGTTTTGGAGGCCTGCAGCACCAGTTGCAGCAGCAGGACTAGCAGCACCAGCAGCAGCAGCAGCAGCAGCATCGTTTGGCCGTGTCTGATCACCGATTTTCTGTTCTGTTTTTCTAGATTTTCAGACGCAACTTAGACACTTTTTGGGGTTCGCTTCTCGAGACTAGTTCGTCCTTCAGGCATGGTGTTTGGGCGGGTGGGCTAAGGGTAACGTTTTGGAGGGTCTGCAAGCACGCAGTTTGCAGCCAGCAGGACTAGCAGCACCAGCAAGGCAGCAGCACAAGTAGCAGCAGGCAGCCGCCAGCAATACAGCGCAGCAGCACCGTTTGGCCTATCTGGTGGCCGATTTTCTGTTCTTTGTTTCTAGGGTTTCAGAAAGCCCGTTTGACACTTTTGGTGCGCTTCTCGGACTGGTTCGTCCTTCAGGGCCATGGTGTTTTTGGGTGTGGCGAAGGGTACAATTTTGGAGGCCTGCAGCACCAGTTGCAGCAGCAGGACTAGCAGCACCAGCAGCAGCAGCAGTAGCAGCAGCAGCAGCACCGTTTGGCCGTGTCTGAGTGCCGATTTTCTGTTCTGTTTCTAGGGTTTCAGAAGCAACGTTATGAGCCAAACTGTTTTTTGGGTGCGCTTCTCGGACTAGTTCGTCCTTCAGGGCCATGGTATTTCGGTGTGGCGAAGGGTACGTTTTGGAGGCTTGCAGTGCCAGTTGCAGCAGCAGGACTAGCAGCACCAGCAACAGCAGCAGCAGCATCGTTTGGCCGTGTCTGAACACCGATTTTCTGTTCTGTTTCTAGAGTTTCAGACGCAACGTTAGACACTTTTTGGGTGCGCTTCTCGGACTAGTTCGTCCTTCAGGGCCATGGTGTTTCGGTGTGGCGAAGAGCTCGTTTGGCCGTGTCTGAGCACCGATTTTCTGTTCTGTTTCTAGGGTTTCAGAAGCAACGTTGGACATTTTTTGGGTGCGTTTCTCGGACTAGTTCGTCCTTCAGCGCCATGGTGTTTCGATGTGGCGATGGGTACGTTTTGGAGGCCTGCAGTACCAGTTGCAGCAGCAGGACTAGCAGCACCAGCAACAGCAGCAGCAGCATCGTTTAGCCGTGTCTGAGCACCGATTTTCTGTTCTGTTTCTAGAGTTTCAGAAGTAACGTTAGACACTTTTTGGGTGCGCTTCTCGGACTAGTTCGTCCTTCAGGGCCATGGTGTTTCGGTGTGGCGAAGGGTACGTTTTGGAGGCTTGCAGTACCAGTTGCAGCAACAGGACTAGCAGCACCAGCAACAACAGCAGCAGCACCGTTTGGCCGTGTCTGAGTGCCGATTTTCTGTTCTGTTTCTAGGGTTTCAGAAGCAACGTTAGACACTTTTTGGGTGCGCTTCTCGGACTAGTTCGTCCTTCAGGGCCATGGTGTTTCGGTGTGGCGAAGGGTACGTTTTGGAGGCCTGCAGCACCAGTTGCAGCAGCAGGACTAGCAGCACCAGCAGCAGCAGCAGCAGTAGCAGCAGCAGCAGCAGCAATAGCAGCAGCAGCAGCACCGTTTGGCCGTATCTGAGTGCCGATTTTCTGTTCTGTTTCTAGGGTTTCAGAAGCAACGTTAGACACTTTTTGGGTGCGCTTCTCGGACTAGTTCGTCCTTCAGGGCCATGGTGTTTTGGTGTGGCGAAGGGTACGTTTTGGAGGCCTGCAGCACCAGTTGCAGCAGCAGGACTAGCAGCACCAGCAGCAGCAGCAATAGCAGCAGCAGCAGCAGTACCGTTTGGCCGTGTCTGAGTGCCGATTTTCTGTTCTGTTTCTAGGGTTTCAGAAGCAACGTTAGACACTTTTTTGGGTGCGCTTCTCGGACTAGTTCGTCCTTCAGGGCCATGGTGTTTCGGTGTGGCGAAGGGTACGTTTTGGAGGCTTGCAGTACCAGTTGCAGCAGCAGGACTAGCACCACCAGCAACAGCAGCAGCAGCAGCATCGTTTGGCCGTGTCTGAACACCGATTTTCTGTTCTGTTTCTAGTGTTTCAGACGCAACGTTAGACACTTTTTGGGTGCGCTTCTCGGACTAGTTCGTCCTTCAGGGCCATGGTGTTTCGGTGTGGCGAAGGGTACGTTTTGGCGGCTTGCAGCACCAGTTGCAGCAGCAGGACTAGCAGCACTAGCAGCAGCAGCAGCAGCAGCACCATTTGGCCGTGTCTGAGCGCCCACTTTCTGTTCTGTTTCTACGGTTCCAGAAGCAACGTTAGACACTTTTTTGGTGGACTTCGCGGACTAGTTCGTCCTTCCGGGCCATGGTGTTTCGGTGTGGCGAAGGGTGCGTTTTGGAGGCCTGCAGCAGTTGCAGCAACAGGACTAGCAGCACCAGCAGCAGCAGCAGCAGCAGCAGCAGCACCGTTTAGCCGTGTCTGAGCGCCGATTTTCTGTTCTGTTTCTACGGTTTCAGAAGCAACGTTAGACACTTTTTTGGTAAGCTTCTCGGATTAGTTCGTGCTTCAGGGCCCTAGCACCAGTTGCAGCAGCAGGACTAGCAGCACTAGCAGCAGCAGCAGCAGCAGTAGCAGCAGCAGCAACAGCAGCAGCAGCAGCACCGTTTGGCCGTGTCTGAGTGCCGATTTTCTGTTCTGTTTCTAGGGTTTCAGAAGCAACGTTAGACACTTTTTGGGTGCGCTTCTTGGACTAGTTCGTCCTTCAGGGCCATGGTGTTTCGGTGTGGCGAAGGGTACGTTTTGGAGGCCTGCAGCACCAGTTGCAGCAGCAGGAAATAGGATGATGTGATACAGTACCTTAAATTCTTTTTGCCTGTAGCTACCACCAGGACGATCACAAGATCAAAACCCCCCATGTTTTCACCAAATTCATCTACTAAATACTGATAATAATTTAATTGTAACAGTGATAACAATATATATATATATATATTCTGATGCTGAAGCTAATGATGCTGCTGATGCTACTGGCTTGGGCCCATGTTTTTTTCTTTCCATTTCACAAACCCAATTATTACGATGTGCCTTTTTCCTTGCGAAGCCTACGACTCACGCAAGGGTGGTCAGACACACCATCCTAAAAAGAAATGGAAAGAAAAAACCATGAGCACAAACCAACAATTCCGGTCAAAAACAAAAAGATAATGGAAAAACACAAAAACAATCAAACAATGAAGAAGTGAAAGAACCGTTAAGTCATCAAAAAATAATAGACAATCTTAATGATACATTCCCTTCTTTTCAAATCTTAGTTGAATAAATGAAAACTTTAAAACCCTAACAACCTCAACAAATCCTGACCCAATCAATGATACTCCCCTAAAATAATCAACGAGGTTAGGATGGAACGTTTTTACCCAAAATGTCTTACAACATACATCACAAAAAACATCAACACCAAGGAACGCACGTTCCCCTTTAACATAAAAACCATAACAGGCAACAATGCGTGTCAAACTGTCCCAGAAACATCCTTTCCCCATTTTTTTTTTGGGGGGGGGTGCAGGCCTGTACCATATATACGTTCTGACGGCTTGCCAATTCTTCCGGGGTCGGCGGCAGGGGCGGCAGCCCTTAAATAGATTTTGAAAAGAAAACCGTGAACAGGATGTTTTACTGTATTTATTAAGTATTTATTGTATTTTGGGATTCACTTCTGTCAGGTTGGGAAGTGTACAATGGCAAATCATTCCCACTGCTTGTAAAAAAAACTTATCTTCTGGAGGCCTGCGCTTCAGTTTCCGCACGCTGGCGTTCTGCTTGCAAGGCATCTTCTAGCCGCCGTCTGGCCTGTCAGCTTCACAAAAAAAACATTCTGAAAATATGTGAAACATTGTGAAACTAAGAAACGTCAGTCCATACAGATCTTAAAGAGCTGATACCGCACGCCGTACCAGTTTGATGTGTATCACCTAAGATTCACCACATGGGATTCAAGCGTGCAAATGAATACATGACTACTGTAACTTGCAGGGCCTCTACCTCTTGCGAGATCAAATCCCGATGAGCCCGAAGCTCGGCCTCAATAGACCTGAATCGCAAGAGGCATCAGGAGTACCGCTGCCAAACTCTTGCAAGGTGTGAAGACAAAGGAACAAAGGAACAAAGGAACAAAGGAACCCACCAGCACAGTGTACAGCACAGTGTTCAGGATCCAACCGCAAATGCGAATTTGCTATGGCCAATGCTCCAGACTCCTTCAGAGATGCAATGCAACGCAAAATGAAGCAAATGCCGAAGAGCTAGACTCTTATCTGATCTACTGACATGAAATCATGGAAGGAGAGGTCATTGACCATGCTCCAAATTTTTGAAACCAAATTCCCAAGAAATTGGAAGAAATTGATCTCTGGCCAAGTATTCCTTTGCCCAGCCCCATCATCAAGTAAGTGAACTTGAGTGAACTCAGTGTGTGCTTGCTGGGAACAATGGGAGCTTTCTTCGGACCACCAAATGAAAGCGGAACAGAATGTGTACTACAACATCACTTCTACCATATTCTACCTGCTTTTGGGATACTGGACGCTGGCTGAGATATTTTTTAATGCAGCATCTACAATCTTCATCCATCAACAGACCGTGGATGTATAGAGCGAGACCAGGCCTCGTCATCCAGATCTGGTTCATCCGGCTCTTCGATCGCCATTGCATCATCCACAACAATGTCACCTGCATGCTCCTGGCAAGGGTAATCAATTTCTCATGCCTGTTATGTTGAGTCAATCGAGGAGCTGGGAAGCTGATGGAAGCTGAATGTTGCCCCAGCGCCAAAGTCTTGGTGCCATGCTTTGTGAAGAGGTGCAACAGTTTTCAATAGTTTTCATATGTTGTCATGCTCTGTCCAGGGGACGGTCAGAACGTTTGCTTTGACAGGCTCCTTTGGGCCCTCCAAAGTGCCAAAGCCAACGACTTTGTCAAACTCCTCGTGGAGTTCAAAATCACTGCATTGGTCCATGCCATCACTTAAAAATTGCCCGGGCACTACCGGGACCGACAATCTCTAACTTGGGGGCAACATGTGATTTTTTGCTTTCCATGGTCTGTAGGATAAGCAGTGGACGCTTAGGACATGCACAGCACAAGCCATAAGGCAGCTCCTGCACCCTTCCCAAGTCTACAGGCATTGATCGGGAACGAGGATCAAATACACGAGGAGCAGATTGCTCCTCAGTTTCACATGATGCACTTTCGCAAAGTAGAAAATTCTGGCAACTTTCAAACAAGTGACAACCACATCACTCTCTTTCACGAGCACGGCTTCGTCAACCTCCTGCAGGTGCATGACAGAGAAGTAGAGCGGCACGTGAGGAAATATGAAGGGCGCACTGTGAGAAACTGTTTCTTCGTCAAACCCACTTGCGCGTTTCCTCAGCTTCCTCAGCTTGGTCTTCACCCTCCATGTCAACAGCCTCTACCTCCAGTAAGCCCTCTGACTGCACCTAAGCCATGACAAGCCCTGAGCCATGACATGCCATGACTGCTGAAAATCCATGGTAGGCTTTGCCTTGTACACCACACCTGCTACTCACTTCTGAGCTTGTGCCCTGGGCCCCTGAAGCTGCCTTGCTCAATCCTTCATGCTTCGCTGGATGCCTGAAAGCCTGCCTGGAACATGAATCGTCTCTCAAACTTCAGCGTCGCTCTGATTGTTTTGAGATTCCAGCAGCTAAGGGAACATCACCAACAGGTCTGTAGGAGACGGGGGAGATAGAGGAGGACACAGGCGAAGGGCCATAGCCCAAACCACGACCTCAAAAAGCCAGCGGCAGAGCCAAAGTGAAACAGCAAAGCCAAGAAAAGCGACTGCCTTCAGCAGCCTACAGCAGCTTCTAAGTCAAAGACCACAAGTACGTTTGAGGTCCTGCGATGACTGGTTCAAAAGGACAAGACGATTTGATACTGTGAGTTTAACATTAGTCCAAGGACCTTCACAGCTGTTGAATCATCCGACTGTTTCCACTTGAAATGCTTATGTTGCAGCTGGGCCCCAAGTCCTCAGCAGACTTGCGAGTAGCATCAAGGAAGTGCGTCAAAGAGGCACTCGGACTTTGCTTTTCATCGTCGTCGAGGAAAAGTTCCTCCGTTTTTGTTCACCCTACAGGTTGAACTTTCCAAACAAGAGCTGCACCACATTCCCAGCAAAATCAGCAAAGGCAGACGTCAAAAAGTGTCAAAGGGGAAGAATTGGTGAACGAAACGCTTGGCCAACTGTCGGCTCTTGCTTCAGATGCTTCAAATACTTCAGGTCCTCCTGCTCCGGCTCTAGGGCGGAGTCCATTTGGCACATGCCCTGGAGTGAAAGATGCTGCAAGATGCTGAAAGCAGTGGTTGGAGCCAAGAGCTAGGGAAGAAAGCAGAAGAATATTGTCTGACAACAATTGGAGGATTTCCCCAGTTTTGATCTCAGATACAGACCGAGTGAGATCGTTGCACAGACACTTGCGTGCATGTAGTGCTTTCACCTGCATGATGCTCACGTTTTTTCGAAATCTGTTGCTGCGCGTTGTTGCAAGATGTTTGCATGATGCATGATGATCTTGTTTGACATTGGCCTCTTTCCGCTTCAGGAGAAGTGGGTTCAGCGCAGGTTAAAGGTCTGAAGTGAACCTCCTTCCAAGAAGAGAAGGATGTGGGAAATGCTTGGAACGCTGCTTGTGACACATGTTACTATGTTACTATTGCTTCGAAAAGTTCACAACCTGCACGGCAAAACCATGCAAAACCCACAAAGCAGGCTTTGGAAATCGGAAACGGATTCTGTTTGGAGCATGGCAAAAGGAGCATGGCAAATTTGGCAAAAGTGTCCTAGCCTCAACTGCCATGGCAGCTGCGGAGACAGAGGGAAGGCAGCTGAAAGTCTGGGAGTCTTTGGTCAGAGTTGGGGCAGCCAAAGCTGCAGCGCCCTTGACGAAATCCTTCACATTTCAAGGTCGAAACTCTTTCAAAATTCCATGCTCCAGATAAGTTTCTGATCGCTTTTGCTTTCTGGATAAAGCATCTCAGATTCTCAGATGTCTAGTGTTTGGAATCCAGTGACGTAAAAGCATTCGGATGACTCGGTCTTGCATGTCCTTTGGATCCAGTCTGATTGTGTCCCCGGTCGGACATGGCTCTGCCTCCAGTCAAGCAAAAGTGATCGACAGGCATCGACAGGCCCGTCAAACTCACTGACACGCACACACACACAGAGATTACACAGCCAAGAGACTGCTGGTCCACAATAGGGAAATCCAGTCCAGCCAAGCAAATTAGAGGCCTCAGGACAAAACTAGCGTCCGGACGGCTCAAAGCTATCTCAAGCCGCAGAGCGAGTAGGCAACTTCAGATTTTCAGGTTGGCGCCATATGGCATCCGCAAACGGCGAGGCCAGCCTCAGGACCGAAAGAAGCCCACTGCAGTCGAAAAGACGAAAAGAGTCGGAAAAAACATGAAAAGACTGCATGTCTTTAATTTCTTTAAAAGAGTGCGGAAAGAGAGTGCATAGAATGTTCACAGAATGTGCAGTGACGTGTGATCGATTTGGAGCTGTGCAGGATTTGAAATTTCAATAAATTTGATTTTGAATAAATTATTTAAATTTAAGATAAACTTTAAACATCTTTAAACACAGATAACGGCCCCGCTTTTGCTGTGTGTTCCCTCACACTTCAACTGCTGGATGTTCCAATTTCCGGCCACCTCCGAAGTGCCACGGGCCAATGCTTGGCTTTCCAAGCTCCTACTCTTGCCAAAGCTTGAGCCAAAAGTGCACGTAAATTTAAGACCTCTGAAACTGCATACAATTGCATACTGCACATACACATCAAGCTCGCAATTTAGGGCATATCATGGCATGTGCATCACTGTGTATCACTGTGTATCCCTGTGTATCACTGTGCAGTATCACTCAGGCATAAAGTTCGCATCTGCATTGCTGTGTAGCTTCTGCAAGGTCGCACCATACGGAACCTGTGATGTTCTCGTCCAGATGACGATGTTTGAAGTTCACAGAGAGCCGCGCAGTGGTGATCGGATGTATCTGCAAATCAGAGAATGAATTGAGTTTGTGAAAACAAATCATGAGATGAAGAATGGTTTGCAATAGCTGGCGACACAGAACTAAGAATCTTGTACCGTCACATTCGTGTCAATTTCAGATTCCAAGCTCTACATACCTTCTACATATAAATTCTCGATGATTTGAAACAAAACGAAGAGTTCCATGCTGCACCTGGCAAGTCGAAGGTGTAGAGCTATCGCAGAGGGTGCAAGTTCCCACATCGGACAGCTGCGCATGGGATGGCAAGGAGAAAGATAGGATAAAAAAAAAGGAGTGAAGAAAGTTGCGCTCGAAGGCACTTGGCGTAAATATAATATATATATATATTCTGTCCTTGTCCTTTTATCCTCTTTCCCCGACCACCTGCATTACTCTGAAGATGCATGTCTTCTTCAGAACCAACTCTTGTCACTCACCATGCGATGAAGAAACACAACTGTGGGAGCTCTTGATCCACGTTGACACTTTAAGACACGCAAACCCAACACCTGCCAACTCATCTTGTTCGACAGTGCTTCGACCGACGATGTTTCGGCCGGGCATCACGCCTCTGATCTAGTGATGGTGCATGGACTGCTCAGAACGTGGGTTGACAGCCGCATAGCCTCAAACATTCCAATACCTCGGGGGGGTTCAACCCATCGATTCAGCGGCATGCTCGTCAGGGTTCATTCTGCAGGTTCTGTCTTGCAGAGTTGACATGATGTTACAACCTTATAAGATCAGCACAGAGAATCGAGACGAAAATCAGAAGTGCCATCGGGCACCAAACGTGCAGTTTTTGCCTGACGCCAAGAAACGCCAAAGCAAATAGGGGTTGGAAATCCAACAAGAATCTTCTTGAGAATCTCAAACAAAGCCAAGGCTTACCCAGCGAGGCAATCAAAACATCCCATTGGGCCTCAGAACGGTCGGCTCTGCCGATTTACGTCTCTGCATTGAAAGTCAGCCCGTGCCTCCCTTATGTCATTCTCTGTGCTTAGCATGTTTTCCACTCAATTCATATCCATGAATGTGCTCCTATTCCATATTCGACACCTTGTGGTCAGAGTTATGGGAGCTTAGATCCAATATAAATAGATAAAGAACATTTCATATAAAGAACATTTAAGGTGTTTGCCACTGAAGCGGAACGCGACTCACAATACTCATACATACTGGGCAGCAGAGGAAGAACTCCGTGATGGCATTGCCTGTTAGCCGTCTGAACTCCCTTCCTCCCTGTTTGAGATACACAAATCCCAACGTGACATGGTTTGCACATCCGTATATTGCTTTAATAGCTGCCACTGCAGTGAATGACGTACACACAGTGTGCCATTTCCAAGTCTCAGACAACTATATCGAACTGCTCGATTGGCTCGTTGAAGATCATCTGGTGACCTGCTTTCCATGCTCTGAGTAAAATCACAAGCGGTTGCCCATGGCCAGCTACATCAGCCCACCTGCCGCCATTGCTAAAGTGATATCGGATTGCACGTGGGAGGTGCATATCCGATGCAATCGTCCGTCTCGGAACTCTGAGCTACGCGACCTGTCCGGTGTTTTGTTTCAGTGTCAGCAACACACCAAGATTTTGCAAATGTCATAAAGTCATAAATGATGCAAAAATGATGCAAAACAATGTTTCTTGAATTTATATACCGTACAATACCGTATACAGATTATTAACGTGTTCAATAGTGTCAGCCGCTTTTTTGCACGGAAGTTGGCTGCGGGCAAGATCCACTTTTTTCCGCTTTCGCCAGAGAACTGGTGAAAATAAACAATTGTAGCTGCTACAGCTATCAAGCAGCTGAATATTCTGAATAGCTCTGCCCTGCTCTGAATCTGCATTGGAAGTTGGAAGCGCATGAAATATGATGAAAATTGATGAAATATGAATTGACTATTCTACCAGTTCTATCATAGTTCTATCCAGTTCTACCAACACAAACGTCTCTGGTGCAAGAAGTCTTTGCGTGGAGCATATTGCCATATTGCAGAATATTGCAGATCTGCTGGGCAAGGACATATACAAAGTGGTCCTACGAGCCCAACGATGTGCCATCAAGAGCCTCCCAGAGATCAAGGGCAGTCTGTAGAACAACGAGAGGAAAAGGACGAGGCAAGAAATACAACAAAGACCAACAAAGATCAACAAAGCATCTGAGCGAATACCAACCAAGATGTCCATACTCAATCTGATGGAACCCATCCTTTTAATTTTTAATCCTTTTGAGCAAAAGACCACGGCAGCGAAGACAGGTCTGTTGGGAATAGACAGAGTGCACCGGTGCAGTGCGAGAGCTGGGAAGGGGTTGAATCAAGCGCAGCAAGTATGTGACGGAAAGCAATGGAAATATATGGAAAGCACGATCATAGTTATATTATGTCATATTACTGTAACAATTAACATTCAACCTGCTATTCAATCTGCTTTCAGTGAGCTCTCAAGGATGGTGAGCAAAGTAGTTATCTTGGAAAATGCTCGGCAGGTATCAAAAAAAACAAACAAGACTGTCGAACAGGCAGTCTCAAACCGAAAAGAACAAGGGATGCCCAGGGCACGCCGCTGCTTCTGAGAAACTCAGACATCAATGTTCACAAGGTAGCAGTCTTCATGCCCATGCAGTGACACTTGCTGATCGGTAGCTTGTCATGGAGTGCATCTTTAAGAGGATGTGTCTTATTGTTTTGAAGACAATTTCTTGCTTTTTATCCGTGGGTTGGTTTCCTGGTTATTTGCAGTGCAGTATTTGGGAGTTGAAGTCTCTTGTTTGCACCGTGTTTACAGCATTCGCTTTGGAGCCAAGTAAAATCTGTCAACTGCCGTGTATTTGCAAGGCTACGCACTGTATTTGCTGCCTTTGTGCCTTGAATCTTTCGTTTGCATTATATTTGTTGCAGTACGGAGGTAAAATCGGCAATTTGCATTGTTCTTGCAGGATGTTGAAACTAAAATCGTTGATTTGCACATTTCTTCTAGCATTTTCGTGCCTGAAAGTTGTATTCTTGCCTGATTGTGGCAGCATTTTGTAGTTGGAACTTTCAGTGCTGATTTCGTGGCACCGGAAGGGAGCTCGGGGGAGGGCGCGGCCATTTCTCCCCAAATGGAAAACGAATGGAAGTGAAGTATTCTGTTGTTGGCACTGCTGTTGTCCCTGCTGTCATATTCTGCCATTCGGGATCTTCTCATTCTCATAGTCATAATGGTTCTTGGTGTTCTTGTTCTTGTTCCGGTTGTTATTCGTTGTTGTTCATCTTCGTGTGATGCGTCTTGTCTTTTCTGTCCATGTCATCCCTCTTGATCCCCTTGTCCTTCCAATTGACATTTGCAGCATTTTGGACTTTGAATCTCGCACAGAAGCCACAAAAACCAGAGAAGCTAAGAAGCAAAAGCCAAGAATCCACAAAATGACGAAAACAACTCGAAAAAAACAAAACAAAAAAAATTACCCTCCATTGTCATGGCAATGTGGCCTCCTTGACTTTTGATCTACAGTCTTTCGCTTGTAACCACACGAGCCTCGCGAACTGCAGAATCTCCTCTGAAGCGAGACAGATACGGCCTGCAGTCGAACCAATTAAAATATTTAAAATGACACTCGCAACTGATCAACCGAGTGCTGCACCACCGTGTCTTTCGCAGAACAGCGCGATTGAGAAGTCGGAAGTAGCTGAGCAGTGGATGATACCAAACCTCGGCTGTCGTTTCAGGTCTTTCAGGTCCCAACCCGAGAGTATCCGACAATATCTATAGAATTTCATATAATTTCTATATATATTTATATTACCCGCAGATACCCACAGTTGATACCTCAAAATCCTCAAATACTGCGGTTTGTACAATTTTGTCCATTGTGATCCTCTCTGTGCGACAATTCTTTCACACATCTTCTGCACGTGGGTATATGAATATGATGTATATGGCTGGTAGATCTATCGGTGTTGCCACCGTGGATTCGTGAACAAGAAAGCGCACAGTGCGCGCTTGGTGGGGCCATGGCTTGTTCACAAACTGTACCGTTGCATAAGATCACTGCACCAAGAAAGAATCGCTAGAAGTCTAAGACACTGGAACATAACATGGATAACGCAGCAAAGTACAGCATATTGATTCATTTTGTGTATTGTTTCAAGGTATTTCTGGGGATCGCATAGAGCAACACTTTTCTCATTTGTGCACTCGTCGCGTTTCATCCTCATAGCTTTTGTATGCTTTTGTGGCCTGTGCTTGTCCCCAAGTAGGTTGGCAATTCGTCACTACTTGAACCCGCTACATGCTTGCCCCAACATCTAACTTATGCCGCCTATGCCGCCTATGCCGCCTATGCCGCCTATGCCGCCTATGCCTATGTTACAAATCCTGACCTGCACCAACAAGAGCATCCGTATCACAGGGGTTGTCTGCTGGTTTCTGGTGGCTCACAAGGTTTGAAGCATTGTAAAATAGGAACTTCCACCTTCATCTTGTTTAGTCGCACCTTTGAAAACTCCAGACGGTTCGGTTTCAGACCGATTTCAAATATGGACTCTGCTACATTGCTGAGTTTGGCCTAAAAGGCAACTAAAGGTGCTACAGTACGAGTAGGGTCCTTAATGCTGTAGCATGTTCTGCGTCCAAGTCTGTCTCTTGCGTTTTCAGCTGCATGTTGGTGTTGCATGCTTGTTTAAATCTTGTTTCACCTCAACAAAAAGCGTGAGTGCTTTGAGTGCTTTGTCCCAAGCTTTCTAAACATCATTGCAAATTGCCTGCCATCATGACGTGTCTCTATACTGTCATGCTGTGCTGCTAGCGAAAAGCACAGGGATGCAGCCCCTGCTGGTCCAGGCAATAGGTGTAGGAATTGACAACATGTAAATACAACATAATACATCTGCGATCATCTGCGTGTGCGCGTGTAGCACAATACTCCGGATGTCTGAATTGTCTCTGCAGCAGTGAACAGTACTTCAAGTTGACACAGTGCAGCTTGGAAGCGCTATCTCTTGCAGGCAGAATATGTCGCATCGCCCATGACATCACATACGTCAATTCCTCGACGCAACAACTCTTCAGGAGCAGAATGCAGAATGAATATATCAACGGAATCCCCCCAGAGGACTGTGTTCTGATTTAAAGGTTGACTCCATTCGTGCATTGGAGCGACGCCAGCATCATCCACCCACACTTCTCTGCCGATTTGCCTTTCAAAACGAAGCTTGATTCTGAAGGCAAAATGATACGAATACAGTGAATACAGTGAATACACATTTTGACTGCCTGTACGCAATGCTTGGCGGCAGAGTGGGCACAACATCTCGGGAACCCACAATGCGGAAGGTCTGGACAGCACAGCGAGCGGTACTGGGAGAGAATGTTGCAGTCTGCTCACTGCAAATGCATAGAGCAACAAAGACAGGTCAAATTCAGACTTCATTCGCTTCATTCTCAAAAATAGTTTCAGCTCTTTTGCAGCCCTAGCCAACCAAAAAGGACTCGAAACTCAATCCACCCAGTGCAGAAAATAATCTCAAATCTCCAGGCACAAGATAAAAGCAGGTTTGGTTGGTTCCCATCGTTGTTGTCTGACAGACAAATGTCGCGCCTGGGGGACCAGAGCATTGTAAACACTGCGAAAAGCTGCATTTCCTGACACCCAATCTCTCATTGAAATTTCAGTTGAAGGCAACTGCCAACTTACTTGTTTCAAGAATATTTTGTAACACTCTTGCCACGATGTTCTTTGGATCTTTGTCGTTGCCGCCTGCTCTTGGAGCACCATATGTGTAGCACACAACTGGTCGTTCAAAGGGAAGCGACCTCTTGCAAGCACAAACGCGCGTTAATGCAAAATGCTCTGCATGGTGAAGTCATTACTTGAGGCCTGGGGGGGTGGACGAAAGCTATGCAATGGGGTATTTTTTCATGGGGTTGAAGAAGCGGGATGATTGTGGAAAATCATGAGAAAGAATGTATGATATGATGAGAGATGCTAAAATATGATATGATGCGATGGGATGGAATGCGATTGAAGGGATGTGATAAAACGAAGATACGATGAAACATGATGAAACATGCAGAGACATTATAAGACATGGTGAGACCTGATTAGACATGTTGAGACATGATGCAACGTGTTGAGACCTGATGAGGCATTATGAGACATGATGAGACATGGTGACATGGTGAGACCTGATGAGACATGATGAGACATGATGAGACATGATGAGACATGATGAAACATGGCGAGACATGTTGAGACAGGATGAGATATGATGTGGCATGATGAGAAATGATGGGATGAGATGACTCGAGATGGGATAAGTCGAGATGAAATGAGATGAGATGAGATCTGATGAGACACGATGGGAAGAGACATGATGAGATGAGATGAGATGAGATGAGATGAGATGAGTTGAGACGCGACTAGATGCGATGGGAAATAAATAGGATGTAAGCTCTGTTGAGATGATAGGAGACAAGATGATATGACAGACATACTGTCATCAAAGGAAGTTTCTTAGTTAGAAAACTTCAGAGTTAGGGACAATTGTCATGGTCAGCATTTCCACCGTCATGACAACCATATCATACCATATCATCATGTCAACCACTTGGGACGTGTAACAGTTCGGAAGCGGGGGTGTGAAACTTCACGCAAATGGATGCTAACCCGCAGACTCCCAAAGCTACTTTACTAAAGCAAAACCCAACTCCAGCTGCCGCTAGCTTTCTTGACATGGCAATACACTGCAGTGCCTCTTGGGATCGTCTGGGGCAGCACTAAGATCTAGCCTGGTTTCAGGATGTTTCAGGGCTTCTTTCAAAGTGTTGGCCTATGCCTATGCCAAAATTCACGAATTCACATGAAATCATATGAATTGATCGCTGGGTGGAAGACGCAAAAAGGTTTGCTATAGCGCCACCCATAGAATGGCCGGTGGCCTGGGCTGCACTGTCAGAAAGGTCTGATCAGTGGTCATGTTAAGTGGTCACTTTAAGTGGTCCCTTTGCTTCAGATACGCTTGTTGCCATCGAGAATCGTAGACTCTGGCGGTGACTCCCTGTTTCTGCCAATGCTCCAGCCGCGCCTGGAGAGGATTGGGCTGTGGAATGACAGCAGCTAGTTGCGCTAGTTACATCATTGTACCATATTTTACCGCTAGTTCGTTGACAAAATGTTCTTCCGACATCTTCCGAGTCTCTGCGGCTCACACCTTCAGGATGGCCAGGACATCTGAGCGAATGGCACCATATGCCTGGACAGAAAAACCAGTGAGTGACCGTGCCTTTTCGCAGGCCGGAGTGTTTGACTTGGCATTTCTGTTGCTTTTGGTACAGAAGAATCCTGTTCGATTATCCAAAACATTACTTGCAATGAAATCAAACGCAATGCCACGCCCAACTGGCCTCTGCAAAGCCCCTGTGCACCCGGAGATTGCCTAGTACCTCTCTTCAGTATTTTCCAGTGTCGAAATTCAAAACGGTTCAAAACGTAGACTACAAACAACATCAAACAAGTGCTACATGTCTCAAAACTCAAGTAACTGACTGCTCACACACACACACACCTAATGATAGCCAGACAAATGTCCTAGATCCATCTAGATAGCAAAGTACCTCCATACTGAGCTCTTCATCATCGTCTTCAAAGTCAGAAGGTAGGAACGGGAACAACAGCTTGTTGCAGCACCTTTGCAAAACTGTAGTTGCAAAAACGGCCTGCGAAGAACTTCGACTTAATTCAATTCTATATATATATATATGTATAATATATTATATTATATATATATAGTATACATATAATAATATATAATTTATAATTATATTATATAATTATTCAATGACTGTTTATCCTTCCTCCCAGGATCTCCAAGGCATCCTTGAATCCATGCTTTGTGTTCTTGCTTTTAGAATCGAGTCCCAAACTGTGCTAGGAGACGACAGCACCCTGGCAAGCCAGCATCTTCCTCTCCTCCGTTCTTGACTGACGCCAAATGAGGTTTCAAGCCATGCTGGGTGACATGTCTCAAACATAGAATGCACACTTTGCACAAACAGTTCTGGTTGAGTCATCTCTGGTTGAGTCCTGTAATCTCTCTCGAGCCATTTCCTCTTTGCAAAGGCACCTTGGGCAAATCATGCACTGGCTCACTTAGCATGTGTAGCTGCTATAGCTGCGCGATGAGGTGAAAGAACCAGTTGCAGCCATTGGGCGGCAGCTCCAGCAGTGGGAGAGAAAGGATTGGTTCGTACTTGTCGTACTTCGGTTCGTGATTCGGTGGGAGCACTACACAATGCCAGTACCTCTTGCAGCAAGTTGGCTGAACGTGACAAAAGACAAAATAAAACAAAATCGAGGCGGCAACACTCTCCCTCATGACTCATGTGGCAACGAGCAATGAAATAGGAAACAAAGCGGCATAACACTACGCAGCTAACCAGGCCTTCGGTTCGAGGTCAAAGCATGCCACTGGACCTTCGCAAATGCCGAAGGGGCCTGTCTTGGACTCCTCTGCCAAAGGCTGTAGCGATATGCGCACATCCGTCACCATATTTTTGACCTCAGTCCGGCTTGGGGGAAGGAGAGAACGGCAATGTCACAGTGATCAAAACGTGTGTCAGAATCTGATAAAAACTAAACATACTAAACTGACTAAACTGTATATGTTTCTATTGTCTATGTTCACACAAGACTCAAGTGTCAACTGAGTAAGGTCACACTGGCTGTCCCTCGAAATGCCACAACGATGGAAACTTCTTTGGTTGATTTGGAGGAAGATGAAGTACCTGTAAAGATCTGTAAAGTGGCTGAGTAAAATGAGTAAAATGAGTAAACTGGAGAAATGGTTAAAGCTCCTGAGACATGAGGGAGCACTTGCTGGACTCTGTGCTGCGCTGGACCCATCTCCATCCTCACGAAACATCGTCGTGGCATCTTGACACAATACGAATTGTCAAAACAACATCACAATATTTCAAACTAAGCTCTCATCCTGGCTTGTGAGCCTTCCCATCTGCTCTGCCAGCCTTGCTCAAGTCTCTGACTATTCTCTGACTTCTCGCTGGCCCAATGCCACCGCACTTTAGATTGTCACAACGTGTCATAACACATTTTAAACTCAAAATGTTCGAGAACCGCAAACCAATGGGCCGAGCAGCAACCAGTGCACATCAAGCTGTGGACATCCACCTTTAACAGAATGATGCCGCTTTGCTTCCCGATCCGAACTAGAGATTTTCCTGACAAATGTATGAGAATTCAATGAGAATGGCATGAATGATCATGAATGAGTATCAGAAAACAGATGCCAATCTCCTGCTGTGTTGACTCTGGTGAGTGAATTCTGTGACCAACGCGTGCTGACTTTTTGCTGCCAAGATGCATTTCGGAGTTGGACACCGACGTTTCTTCGCCGTCCTGTGCTTGCCGAAGCGAAAGAGTTGCTGAAAGGAAGTTTCTCGACTTGCTCCGCGTCCGCAGTGCTTGACCGCTAGTCACCATCAAATTGGATTGCTCTTCTTCAGTGGATGCAGTTCAAATAAACCTCTCAGGATCTCTCAGGCTCTTTGAGTCCTCCACATGGACTTCCATCCATGCGCCTTCCACCTTGCAAATCAATGCACAAATCCCATACAAAAAAGATGCTCTCCAGGTGCAGTTGCTGCTCTGTGTCCTGCACGTTTCAATAACGTGCCTCGTTCGGTGCCTCTGCACTCTCACTTTCTTCAGCATAGATCTGCCTCAGACTTGCAAAAAAAAAAATACTTGATAAGCTTAGTATGTCACTCACATGGCAATTACAGAATATATCTCTGAGAGAGATGCCTTTTTGGTGAAGTCGAGTCTCCCGCGGTCCCGACGATAACCACCTTGTCAAACAAGAGTTCTCATCCCGTCATCTGGAACAACTCCTGCTCGCTTCACCGCCATCGCCTCCCAAACGCCCTCGGTCTTCTGAAGAATGGCCTTGCAAGGCTGAGAGACTTTCAACATCTTTCAACATCTTTCAACATTGTTGAGCTGGCCTTGCTATCTGGATTTTCCACGATGTTCTATGATTTTCTATGATTTTCTGGCCTGCTGTTCCATATGTGCTGGAAGATTTCGCTTGTAGACTGGCAAACCGCACTTGTCACGACCATCCTGGCAAGCTTTGAGCCCTGTGGCATGGACCCTGTACACTGTAGCATTTTCAGCATAGCCAGTGCTCAGCATATCCCATTGAAATATGTGAAATCGATTGAAATCAACTGAATCTCCTGGACGTACTCGCCGTTCAAGAGGCTGTGGCCACAATTCGACACCACGACAACTGCAGGTGAGGGTGGCCCCTGATAGGTCTCCTCAGGAGCCCAACATAGCACCCCTTCAGAATGGCAAGCAATGACAAGCGATGACACACAGATCATCACAGATCATCACAGATCAATCAAAAAACACCTTTGATGCCATGCTCAGAATGCAACCTGAATAGTCGAGCCAAGAATCCCAGGAAAAATCGCACAAGTGTAGTGCCAGAAGAACGTCAAACCTCAAAATGCTCTCTCATTGATGCATTTTGATGCATTTTGATGCATTTTGAATCATTTTGAAGGAGCCAAGGAACTGCTCTCTCGTCTCTCTTTCCATGTGATGCTCTTCCACCTTGGTTTCTTGAATTGTCACTGCCTTCGATTGATGAAGTTCAAGTTTCTTGAACACTCCTTGGTGCTGAACTGGTGAAGGAGCCGGGCGTAGAGAAATTGCTATCAAAAGGATGAGACCACATCGTGAAGTAAACGCCCATGTGGCTAAGAATGCCATAGGGTAGCCTTCGCAGGCAGTGGACAAGTTCACAAGCTTGAAAATGACAAGACGGTCAACATAGAATGTGGCAGATACTCAGAATCCTCATTCCTGCCTAAGGGCAAGTTCATGATGAGCAGGAACGGTGGGCGAGTCAAGATGTAGAACAGAAGATATCGGAGTCGTTCGCGACCTTGCCAAATGTGACAAGATGTCACAAGACACAAGACACAAGACACAAGATCCGTGTCGCAACTTGGCCCATCGGCCTGGCGAACAAGGAAGATTCTCCAGAGTTCTCCATTCATCTCGGCAGCACGCGCAAAAGCAGCAGCATTGGCAATGCCGAGAGCATTTCCTCACAGAAATGAGATGAAATGAGTCCGATATATATATATATATAATCGTCTTGGGTTAGAAATGGTCAGAAGATGTCAGAAGCGGTTCTGAGCAACATAAACTCTTGGGTGTGCTAGTCATCAATGAGCTTTGGGCTCAGATTCAGAAGGGATCATATTCAGAAATGAACTAGGGTAGTCCAAACTGCAAAAAAAACAATGGAATTGTGAAGTAAAACTTAAGAAAATGAAAGAAAATCTGCCTCGGCGCCCCCAAAATATGTTATTTGCTTATTTTTGTTTATTCTGTTTATTTGTTTTTTTAATTGTTTCTATGTTTTTATGTTTTTCTATGTTTTCCTTTTTTTATTTTTCAAAGTTTTTCTCAGTTTTGGACGGTAATTGCAGGAACATCCAGCTGGCTATCCACAAGATGCTTTTCCATTATTTTTAAATATGTTTTGTTATGTTTAACTATGTTGGTTTATTTTGTGATAGCTTCCATTATTTTTCCTCGATCGTAAGTATTTTTGCTTATTTGTTACAATTTGGTATGATTTATTCTTATCTTAATTTATTATTTGTTATCATTATTTACTATTGTTTATTTTTTCCAGGTTCCACTATGATCCCTCCTGATTAGACTCCCTGTTCTCATAGAAGAGCTAGGTGAACTGAATGGGCGTTGGCAATCATACAGATCATCACTCCTGAAGACTCTTGTGACACAGTAGACGAAGAGTACCACCCGTGCCAGGTAGCCTCTCTCGCAGGACACCGAGCTGTCATTTAAGGCTGTTCAAGTCTATAGTCTACATGTCTTGGCGTAAAGCCGGGAACAAAAGTCATTCCACAGGCTAGTGACTAAAGTTGTTGAAGTCAAGTCCAAATATATCCGGGAAGAACTGAAACAGATTCATGAAGAACGTATAGGGTCGCATGCGGAGGTGAAGAGTGGCTAAAAATAGTGCTGTAGAAGGAATGTAGATGGCACATGTCGATGTCACAAGCTTCACAAACTCGCAATCCGACCTGCCTAGAGACACGATTACGTGATCTGATGCTTGCGGCTCCCTCGGAAGGCTGCAAATAATGCTGGAACACACCAACTTTTTTTGACTCAGTCCCCCCTTTGACTCATGACTTTTGAAATGTAGCCGATCTATCTTTGTTGGATTTTTCTTTGGAGCGGCGGTAGGAGTGTGTAGAAGAATTCCTCAGCAAGCCCATTTGTTACTTGGCCAGCTCATCGAGCCAACACACCCTGATACAAGTGCGGAAGGCGTCGAACTGGAAATCGCTGGCATGCCAAACATCACCACAGCTCGTTTCAATTCATTTCTCACCTGCTGAGCGCCTAGCCGTTCACCTGTAGCACCCCACCATGTGAAGCTCCAAAGGACAGCAAGCAGAAAGTAACTCCAGCCTCGGTTCTGCTTCAGCGAAACTCTCTCTCTCTCTCTCTCAGCGTTCTCCAGTCAACCAAGACGACGTAACACAAAGATGCACAAAGCCACAAAGCATCAAAGAAATCCTGAAAAAGACTGTTTAAAAGTTTAGAGCTTTTTAAAATTGGATCGGACTGAGATTTTGGCGACGCCAGCGAGCCACCTCTTGGCCTGGTTCGCACTCCAGGCCTTGCGGAGCGCAACAGTCAGCATCAGTCAGCATCAGTCAGCAGTTCTCAATCAATACATGTCAAGACAGCCTGGAATCTCAAGTCAAACAACCCGACCCCAACGCACCAAGAAAAGTTTAATTGTCAACATTTGTCTAAGGTCAAGGAGAAGCAAAAGTCTGCAGCCTGCAGCTGCCCACAGCCAAGCAATTTGTAGGAAGAATTCCCCTGTTGCCGCAGCTCGAAATGCAAAGGACCCGTAAATGATGGAGATCCTTGAGCAGCCATTGTGGGCTTCCAGACGTTTCAAGACGTTTCAAGACGTTTCAAGACGTTTCAAGACGTTTCAAGGTCCATATCAGCCATATCATCTGCCGAGCACAATCAATACCAATTCCAGGTGAAGTCAAGCCACTCTGAAACTAGACCAAAGCAGAAATACTATGAAATACTAAAATATACTGAATTAAAAACTACTGCTTATCCTGCCTTTCTACAACTAAAGCACTTTTCTCAAGTGATCTTTCTACAACTAAAGCACTTTTCTCGAGTGATCAACACACCTTCCCTTGAGGGCAGTTGAATAATACTGTCATCATATTACTGCAGAATTGCTGAAGACACAGATCAAAGATACAAAGTCCTCCGTATACTAGTTGTTTATGCCCCCCGACGTCACAAACCTCTAGGAAAAAATGCACAAAAGCATGCTTAATTCGGGATGCTTTTAGGCTCCGTTTCCAAAGCTTTGGCGCACTGTTGACCAAACCATTTTGCAAAGGGTGGGGTACTGTCCAGAAGCATATTCAGTTAAATGCTGTCATGCACTGTTGCAGAAAAGACATATTCAGTGCATGACATTGCATCACATTATAAAATTATACTGTAATCATTACACGGAATATACGGAATTCACATCCCCTCTGTGAAGTCGCGGTCTGCACGACAGCACACGACCCCAAAGATGTCCAAAGCTCCCCTTTCTTCTGTCTGGAAGGCTATGCATGCTTCTCGCATAGCAAAGCGCAATAATGGCACAAGCTGCAACTGCACAAACAGCAAGCCATCCCTGCCACGAAGTCACTCTCTGGGTTGCTCCAAATGTTCGAAATGTCCCAAAAGTTTGCAAAATAGAAATTGAAAATAGATCAAAAGAATTCAAAAGGGTGGTACAAAAATAACTGCTGTGCTCAACCAGAACTGCCTCAGGCGACCTTCGAGGACCGCTTCGACAGCATGAACTTGGCCGCTCAATCAGCAGGGCCACCTGAGGTCAGAGATTTGATGCATTGCAGCTGCACATTGCAGATTGCCCTGTAAAGACTCTAAATGACCCGAAAGACTCTACCGACTCTACCGGTCTCCAAAGTCCAAATCTAAATGCTGCCCAAACGCAGGGACATACAAGGCACATGAAAGCGCAACGAGATAATGCCAAGCACTTACAACCTCACGCTGTAGAACGGCAGCTTGCACCATCTGATGTGTCACAGTGAGGGTCGGAGGACACTAAACAAGCCAATTCCGGATTTGCTGCGAGTTTGTGCTCTAGCCGTCTAGCCGGAAGAAATTGGGCTTTACCATATCTCCCTTGCCAGTGCACGCATGTATCTCTCTGAGAGGAAAGCCTTTTCCAGGTCTCCGGTGAACGATGGCAAAAAAGCCTGAAGGTCCAAAGCAAGAGACATTTGAAAAATATTTCAATTCAGCAATCAAACAAGGAAAGTAATTAATCAGAGCAAGTGAGGAAGCGTAAAAAAAAAAAACATGCCCTGCAGGTACCAATCTATGTACCTATCCTGTATCCTGACACATCCTGACTATCCATGGAAATGGTTTCTCCCAACTTTGATAAGGGTGCCCCGCTCTCAAGATTCTCAAGAGGGTATCCATGTTTCATCATTATTCCTTTGCTCAACATCCCACCTCGAACGCATACACTACCATGAAGAAGGTCAGCGATGAGATAAGGATTGTCCATGGAACTGCCATGAGGATGGCCTTGGTGCGAAATGAAGACCACATCAGGACTACACCGACCACACCTGTTCCTGGATCTTACCAGATCTTACCAGATCTTACCAGATCTTACCAGATCTTCCAGGATCTTTCTGGATCTTACAATTCTTACAGGTTTTCAACTGCTGAAAGATCTGAAAGAGAGACGAAGCCCCAGCGAGAAAACTGCCATACATGACATGACATAGCACGGTACCCCTCACCTGCGCATCTCGCTTGGAAAAAGCCTGTCAGTTCAAAGCACACTAGATTCATGTGACGTGTGCTGCTACATTGCCTGCCATGGGCTTCTGCCCCCTCTCTCAAGTTCGTCTCTCTTCCAGCATTTACTCTGGAGCTGCAAGGGCCACACCTCAAGCCAGGCACCACTCTCTGCATGCATCTGTGGTGCTCGGTAAAGCGTTGACCATGCATCCTGGTTCAGAGCACCAATTTCACAACAATTCAATCTGGAATCATCTGGAAGTCTGGAATTTGGCTTTTCTGCTGAAACTAGCGAATGTGCTTGATTCAGTCGCACCTTCATTGGATTCGGAGCGCTGTCAATCCCAACCGACGGTGCTGAACGCATGGCTCAAGCCTTTATTGAAGATCATGCAAATACTTGCTGCTGAACATTTTTTGTGGCACGGTTGCTTCGAAAGAGTCAAATCGCAACTTACTTCTGTTTGATCAAAGCATGTAGGGCCTATGGAGGGCGTCGCAGGGTCGCACTTGGTATTTCAGAATCATCTCATATCATCTCAGAACATCTCGGCCAGCCTCTTTGGGCCGGGAAAGAAATGTCCTGTTGTCACTTTACAAATGGTGACTTTGGTCCTCAATACTGCAGCTGGGGGGGTGTGCGAGGCAATGTGAACTCGTTTCAGCTTGCCTCAGAGAAGAAGAGACAGTTGAAAGCGGATGAAAGTGGATGAATCTGATTACACTGATTACACTCAAAAACACTGTCCACGCAGCAAACTAAGCCTGTGATGCAGGGCGAAAGCTCCGCAGTGTCACCAGCGGTGAACTGGGTACATTACCTCACGGGATTCACTCGATGATAAACCCACAAATTCATACAAGTTCACACAAATTCACTCATGTCTCCCAACATTCTGCATCCGCACCTGATTAGGAATATTGGTAGTGCCCTCCGAGGTGAAAAAGGGCAAAAGGTTGCGTGAGAGCTGAGCCAAAAATGGCATTGATCACAAGAAGTTATGTTATTAGTTATTAGTTATTAGTTAAGTTATATCAAAATGATTCAAAATGTCTTTAATCATGTCATATTTGTTTTCCATGAAATTCATGCAAGTCTCCATTTCGTGTTTCTGGGTTGACCCGTGCGACAACGTCAGTTCCACTCACAGTGACATGAAGTCCTTTGCGAGTCGAACGTTGTAGAAATTCTTGAGATTTTGCGAGTATACTGTGCGGAATCGTGGCGACTGTAGAGCAGAACTGGTGAAATTGCTAGACACTCAATTAAGTTCTGTTTAATTGGTGGACTGTTTCCGTTCAAGTTAAGCTAGTGGCATTTTTCTGAGGCACCCCAGAGCGGCGGCACATCCAACACACCTATGACAGCTAAGCATCAAATTTAGCAGTCGCAGGCTCTTCCTATATGACTTCAGATTCAGGCATAAAGCCAGCGCAGAATATGATGGCAAACTGCTGTAGCTGGATGGCAAGTTCAAGTACAAGTGTAGAAGTGGTCAGCCAGCTGCTAGCACCAATCTGCAAGACATGCCTACTGATTCACTTGTCTTTTGTTTTCCGTCTTTCTTCACTGCCGGCTGATTGCTGCGTTTTTTTGCCGCCATTGTTCGCAAGGGGTCTTTGAAAGCGACAGAGCCGATTCTGGACGTGTTTCCAGATAGAAAATCCAGGTAGGAAAATCTGGAAACTTTGCCGGCACTATACTAAGAGACTGGATTCGAATGCTGTGAAAGCAAACTGCTGGCAATTTCGGCAGCTGGTGTATTCGACTTATCATCCTTGCGATGCGGAACAGCAGAAACTACAAACGATTCGGTACCTTCGGCACCGTGCTGGTTCATCGGCAGCAGTAAATCACATATTCGGTCTGCCTTGTGTCGCACTGTGCCTGAACTGGCCTGCACAGCAACAAAATAACATGACAAAACGAGAAGCGTGCAAAGAAGCCATTCAGGTCATTCAGGATTAACTTTGCGTGAGTCGTGCCTTTAGTCGTGCCTTTGTGCCCTAAAGTATGCGCGCCTGGTGAGTTGGCTCCTCGACAAAGAGTCACCCTGACGGCCAAAAAGGCTGGATCACTGCGACACTCTTCCCCTCACGATGTCTATGCCAAGTCTATGCACTCTTCAGAGCCTGGTTGGTTCCTGCGCCACAAAGAGTCTTCCTTGGTCACCTCAGAATACATCGGCGGTGAAGCGTATGTCGTTCACAAGGCTCTGAGCTGCGCACGATCAGGAATCCCAGGAAAGTAGCCCTGTTGCCTTGTTGCGAAGTGTAAAATGGATTCGTTCCGCAGATCCAAGCACATCCAAGCACTAGGATTGTGAATGATCATGGGAACATATTGAACATATGGGAACTTACAACTCGCACAGTAGAGTCAGCTAATGTGCTTTTATTATCTTTTATTCCAACTCGCTACGGATGCTGATCTTGGTGGATCGGACAAGGAATGGAAGCCAAGAAAACTGTACGAGTACGACAGTGTCATTTGTTGCCAAACTGGTCCTTTGTATCTACAAACAAAAGATAGACAGGCTGGCTATAGATTCAGTTTTGATCAATTTTGATTCATCTTGTGTTTGTTGAGGGATTCCATGTGTCTCAGCTGCCCCTAACGGAGATGGATAAGCCTGCCGGTTTCCTCCGATGCGTTCATAACTTCAAACCCATCTAGGCTCATCTCCAGTGCATACGCCACCGTTTCACAAACTGGAATGCCATTAGATCATATTAGATCCAGGGTACGGGTCGAAATCTGGAGACCTAGGAACATCTAAGAACTGCATGATCTGCATGGGTTATGAAACAATCAATCATGGAATGAATTGTAGTTCACTATGGCTCCAAAATTTGACCCATGCCCATAGAGCCAAGCTCGAACAACTGCTTCCACAACGAATCATTGATCCCACGATAGGCAAAAAAATGCAACTGTAGTGTCCAGCTGCTTTGCATCTACACAACTTGGACTCAAGCACGCTCTGCACCGGTCGTGTACTGGGAGTAGCTGCAGACCTCAATGCACCACAAAATAGCACTGGCAGAAACAATGTAGACCTCAATGACTCAATGTCAATTTCTGTCCATGTCAATCTGTTCGATTGTTTCGAGATTCTCTGTTGTGTCCGATCATCCAAAGGCACTTCAAGATTGTCTCCGAAATTCGAAACATTGAAGTCATGAACATGTCTTTGAGATAGACAAGAACCGCTTCTTACAGGACATCCCCTGTGAACAACTTAACTCTCTGTCAGAATCTGAACAATGAGACCCCAGTTAGGAGTAGTTGCAGACTGCCGCATTTCATAGCCATTTCAAACAGACTTGTGCATTGATGCAGCCAGATTTGAACCTCTTTAATTTGTGTGGGTCATTCATGTTACATCAGGTTGCAAAATGTTACAATATGTTACAATGTTGGTCCACGTGAATCCAGTAGGCAAAAAGGCAGGACAGTAAGCCATGTCTCAGAAGATTCGACAGGAGTCGAGCAGTCGTGAGCAGACCCAGAAGTCGTTGCGGTATGTTGCTCTGAGGTCCAAGCTGTGCAAGTCTCAATGCAGGAGATGCAAAGGCAGCCGGCCTCAAACATAGTTTGAAAATGTTGGAGCATCTCAGAGACTGCAGCATCCTGTGTTTAAACTCTGAGCACTGCTAACTACACTTTGAATCACTCCTGGAGTGGACAGCATTGCCAAGTCTCAAGCTGGAAGGTTTGCGGTTGTTGTGATTGTGGTACTGAAGCCTCTCCAAGCACGGCCGCATGCCCGTGACAAATGGCACCTGGAACAAGATGCTGTCTCAATTATCTTTATCCTATTAATTATTATGTATTCTTAACTATTGAATATTATTGATATGATCTATCATGATATCGTAGCGTATCCATGCGTATTGTATCATATCCATTGTCGGATTGTCCCTTCCATCTTCAGCCTGGCGTTGCACTGTTACTGGCGGAGACCGCATCTCCTGCACAAAGCAGCTTTCTCGTTGACGGCTTCGACGGCTTCTTGATTCGATTCATTTGATTCATTGATTCTCCTTTCTTGTCTTTCCCTTCTGACTTGTTCTTTCTTTGTAGGTTTCGTGGTTGATCAGAATCTAATAAAATAGGAATCAAATGAATGGCAGATAGTGCTCGGTAGCTGTTGCTTGCCTATTTTTCCACATGCCACCTTCACGGGGGGAAATCTGTGTGACATCTGAAAAGATAGTAGATTATCCATGTGTATATGTATATAATATTATATATATATATTATATTATATTATATATATACATATCCAGTATACGTATACATTACACACATGCATAAGTAGCCTACTGCCAAAATCATATTTTGAGGAATGTAATCTTTGTGTCAGGTCCCGACATTTTGAGTCCCTGCAGGGTACATTGTTCACAAAATGCAAACTCTATGCTGTGGATCGGCTTTTTCCTGACTTCCTGGAGTTGAATAGTAGAATTGCTGGAAGACGTTGTCCCAGAAGTCAGAACAGTTGTGCTGAGAGTTTCAGTGCTGCTCTTGGAGCTCAGGACTTGCCGTTGAAGATAATGAACTCTCGGTGATTCATGTAATCTGCCTGCCAATGCAAGGAACGAGAAGTGGAAAAGGTGTTCTGAACATCGCCTGAAAATTAAGGAATGCAGAGGATTCGTAGTCCCCGAAAACGAAGTGTGGATTTCACGCAGTTTCAATCCAGCCAACCTGTCACTGGTCTGGCTTAAGCGATGCAAGGTTACAGCGAAGCTTGTACGTCGTCACTGGCCAAAATTCAACAGGTACTGGGCCTCGTAAAGGGTTTGTCCAAATGCACCCCATTTGGCTTCTTCCAACCATTCGTCCTGTTGCACTTGCAAAGCAACTACAGCTCTGCTCTCACACAAAACATGCATGACATCCAAGCTCTCTGAAGAAGACACGTGAATCCTAGCATACCCTGAAGTGCTATTGACCGAATTCAGTCCTGCAACTCACCACACACCAGTGGTTCAGCCCCATCTATTAGGTCGGCGAGCTTCTGGTCCTCCGACCAAACAGTCTGTGGGCTGTGAAATGCTGTGAACATGATGTCTTTAATGTCTTTCCTTGTCTTTCCTTGTCTTCCTGTCTTCCTCTCGAACGGTCCTCAGTCACCATCCGCTGCTGCCCATCGTAAATAACCAACTTTCCTGCCGCGCACTCGGTGATGAAAAAGCTTGTCTCCGCATTTGCAATCGCTGCGACCTACGAATATACACGGTGGGGTTTTTCAATTTCTAGAACCTCTCTCCTTTCCTTTCGTCACGAAATCCAATCCGGTTGTACAGGAATAGGGGAAGAACAAGCTTCGTTTAATTATATAGTTCCAGAGACTAGGAGACTTCAATAACATCAAATTTGAAAGAAACATGTGCAAATTCTTATGAGTCATGAATCATCATTGTAATCATCATGAACCTATCTTGGCATCAATTCTCTACTGCGGCTGGCTCTCATTATTTCTCACATCAATTGCCGGATCCCCCCCCGCCTTGTTCATAGGCTGGCATCCGAAACTCTTTGCATTTGTACAAGAGCACCTGCCTGTCGCCACGGCTGACTTCAGGTACTTCAGTCTTTGCGCAAAAAGCTAGTGTCCAACACACAAAGCATACAAACAGTTGGACCACACGCCGAACCGATCCTAGGCAACCCGTAGCAGCTTTGCCAAATTGACACAGATCTTTGTCCAAGTCGCTTTGGGATTTCAATGCCATGTTCAGTGCTCAGCTTCTTCATGAGATCTCCCAGCTTTGCATCATTGTCCAGAGACAGTGACGCAGTGTCCTTCTTTACAATCACCTCACAGTGCACTGTGAATGGCAGCTACAAGGTTCTAATATGTTCTAATCACATGGGGCAAATCCTCAACGAAAGTGGTCATACTATGACGAAGCCATCGCCTCAACGGTGGGCATTGCAACCAGGAATAGAACGGTCGTAGCAAAGCACTGCAATAAATCCTTTTGTTTTAGCACTGCTCTTGTTGTCCAGTCTTGCCTTGCCAATATCGTGAAATTGCCGGCTAGTTTTTTACAATTTGTTTGATTTCAGGTGTGCTTCTGGCACGCACTGCTGAATTAGAAACAACTCTCATGTGTTTACCCATTTCTTTGAGCCAAAAAGCAAAGAACCATGTCAGGAAGCTGACATTTGCTGTCCCTGGCGAGTTCTGCTGCAGTGCCTCTACATGCAAGAAATACAGGCTCCTGTGCTGCAAACGGTGCTGACCACTGTCCTGATGCACGGAATTTCCACATCCCCCGATCAGCAACGAGGATTGTGGACCGGGCAGTGTCAGTTGCCATATGAAGGGGTGCGCAATGGACAGAGCTGAACTTGGACAAAGCAAGGCTTATATAGATAGATCACCGATATATGACTAGCACAACAGCAACAGCATGGGCTGCAGGGAGTCCTGCCCCATAACCGGGCTGGGGTGTCAAATGCCCCCTGACAGGGCATGACAGGGCAAGGATTGGAAGATCTGCCCGCTCCAACCTTTGGTCTGCAACATATTGCATCATCTTGAAAGGGGGCGTAGGTGCTTGTATGATCTTGTATGTACTGGTGCATGTGTGCTGTGCAGGCTTTGGCTGTGCCTGCAAGGAGCTGCAGGCGCTGTCGCCATGAGAGGGGTTGACTGGCTTGCGCGGAGCCGGGTCACCTGTGGAAATGCTTAAAGCAAGCCGCTACATACATGCCCAAGTCACAGTCCATGATTTTCTTGCGGACATTTGCAAACCCATTAGACCATGCTTACGCTCAGGTTGAAAACCTGAATCGCCTTCTCTCTTCAAACCTGTGCAACGCCTACTGAAATGCTGCTTTGATATGGTTGAATTCCCTGCACCCACTGCCTCTTCCCGCAAGGTTTGATTCTCCTTTTCGATCGCTGCGAGCTGACTGATGGTGTTGTCCGCCTCTCAAAACACATGACGAATTTATCTAGTTGTGTCAAACTCACATAGCTTGCAAATGGGAGCAACGAAGGTGAGATGTGAGCTGTGCTTGGGTTGCTGTGGATAGGGTGAAAGCCCACCTTCTCGTTGGCCTTGGCCAGCGACACCTGGAAAAAGAGTGTCCAGGCGTGAAGCCAAGCGGCATGATACACGCTATGCTCCACACACACGTTGAACATATTGATTTCTCATGGCATTTTGGGTCGTTGCGCTTCTACATTTAGAATTTAGAATCATTCATTCCTGCCCTCCGCGCTGTCAGCCGCTCGAATACGCCGTGAAGAAAAACTGAATATGACGGTACCTTGGCTTCTGGTTCTTCTAGATTTCTGTGCTATTTGAGAGTCTCTCAGCATCTGCGCTGCAAAGTTTCGTGCTGTGGCCACTTTCTTTTGAGCACCCAGGAGTGTCAAATATGTGTGTCCGATCAAAGCATCATTTGTAACGATTTTGGATTCGGTCGCCTCTTGCGATTTTCGATCAGAAATCTCGAACTGGAAATGGGGTCAAAAATGAATGATGAGCTACAGTTTTCAGGATGAGTTGAATGTCCTGCAAACACTTCCTGGCAGTTTAGCATGCAGTTTTCCGTGGGAAAACAGTGAAGCGGGCACCCGTGTGAAAGTTATATCAATTTGCTATGTTGGTTCAAAAAGGTTCAAACGAATCGATGCTGTTTGAAAGTAGCAAACAAACTGCAGCTGCCTCTGCAGGTGCCGCTAGTTTCCACCGTTGCTTGTGGGAAATTTGGAACGTATTGGAATTCGGTACAGAGATCAAGAGCTGAATAATGAGATGTCAAACCATTGCAAGTCCCTCTTCAATAAAAGTAGGAATACATGTACTGTACCTTTACACAATTTCCTCTACATGCTGGCTGATTTCCAAAGCACCGGGGAAAGGCCTGCTAGGACGACCTAAACTGAAATCCGGCCAGGAGCAGACTGGATCCGAGGTTTGATCACCGTTCGTTCCAGTCGTGCGGCTCTCTTGTATCATCGGGGTTGCATTTCTTTGCTCATGGGTTTGGTGTGGAGCGGTTGCACCTCTTTTTGGGCGTTCAACCATTTTGTGCTGGGATCGTAGGAAGAGTGAAGCCTAAGATTTTTAGAAGGTGCTTGCAGCCTGTCATGCAAGAGTGTCCAGGCAAATGCCATGATGATAAAACATTTGTCCCTCAAATCCAGGCCTTCAAGTTGCTAGCAGTGACCTTTGACGACGCCTCACAATGAGCATTTGCAAACATGGAATCTCGCGGGTACAATGAAGACATTTGAAGTTTGATAAAGTGTTGATACCCGTTGAATGTGAGACAGACGAGAATGGGATCGAACCTGCTCCTCTTCAGCTGTGGCCTGGACTTGCCTGTGCTGGACGGGCCGACAGAATTGATTGCCACGTCTGTTGCCATGTCTGCTGCCATGCCATGCTGCCATGCCATGCTGCCATGCCATGCCTCAAACGAAATTCAGTGTCTGTAGCAATGGCTGCCATGCGGTCAAGTTCTGCATTCTTTTCGGCCTGCACTGAACTGAGTTGGTGGTTCTAAAATGTTCTAAACACAGATTTGCGCCCTGAAGTGAGCGATAGTGACAGTGAGACAGTGAGCTCGTTAGTCTAACAGTTAGTACAGTTAGTTGATTCCACTCATCGGTTGGTCCTGAAGTTCGTTGAGCTTTGAGTTGCAGTTGCGCAGCTGTTCCTCCAGCTTTGCACTCCGGCCAGCCTTGCAAATGCATGGTCCATTGAGTCCATTTGCCATTTTGACTATCCCTGACTGAGCTGCATAAACTCTAAGAAACAGCAAACGACCACAAACCCAAAGCACCTCTTCCTTGGCCTTCTCTTCAAACAAACTGCCCAAAGCCTCCATTACGAAAGAACAAATGTCTGAAAATGTGGCCAACTCCAGGACTCAAAGTGAAGGTTGCCAAACATGTTTGCAATGATCTGCCAGTACTTGCACACATGCATGTGACATTTGGCGTGAGAATTCGCGGAAGTGCCTTGCTTTGCTCAGCAGCAGCCCGAACCTGTTCAAGAACGTTTCTAACATCTTGAAACAAACTTGGCAAATTGTTTCAAGATTGCTCGAATTGTTGCGATTGCCTTCTGGCGTTTCAAGATGTTTCAAGATGTTTCAAGATGTTTCAAGATGTTTCAAGACTTCGGCAGCAGACAGTTTCTGCATGTTTCTGCCTGACCTTGATCAACTCCTCTTGTAGCTGGCTCACTTTCTGGCCAAGGTCTGCATTCTCTACCTATCCGCGAATCCGCGTCAAATTTTCTCAAGGTTTTGAGAGTAACTACATCACACCAAGATTTGTTTGAACGAGAACACGAGTATCTTGTGGACATTCAGACAGTGCTGGGACCCCAGAGTGCATGATCAGTGAAAAAGATGTTGATCTGAGCTCTGTGTTCTTTTTCCGCGCCAGCACTATTCACCATTCTCTTCAATTCTCCTCTTGACGCTTCTTTCCTACCCGATCCAACTATTTTTCGCAACGAGTTTTGGCGGCTGTTGACTCATGCAGCAGCATCGCTAGCAGCTCCATAGCCAGGTGACCACTTCTCACGAGGTGTCATGTATGGCCTTGGATTCAGCGACCCAAAACAAGCGACTGCGGCATCTGCAGTTTCAAAACGGTTCAATCAAACTCCAGTCAGTTACTAGTTACTTATAAATTACCTATAATATTAGTTGATACTTTTTGTTTATAACTCCAAACTCCATGCTGAGGCAACGACTCCAGAATGATTTTGGTATAATTGGACCTCGGCGACTCGGCGATGTCGGCTGAACATCCTTGCAATCCCCGTCCAGCCCACACTTCTACATGTCTGCTCATTTTGCAGCTGGGAAACGACAGCGCTGTGATAAGTAGGACTTGCCCAACAACAGTGATGATGGTGCCAGCTATCAGAGTGCTAAACCCAGAGCTCAGTCTGGACCTGATGAAATTCAGCAACGGCTTGTTACGCTTGTTACGGAAGATGCAAAACGGTAGCGTCAGTCAATGAGTTTTCCAACCACAAGAAAGTAACCATGGATTCACCTGGTCAAGTCTTACAATGCGTTCTCAGACAATGTCTGAAATGAACTAATAGACAATAATAGACATTGACAATTCTCTGGGTATGATGGTATGACGAATAATTCCTTGTAGCGTGGTCCTTCTGCAAGATGTGGCCTTTGCATCTACAACACATGTAACAGATTGTAACAGTGTATCATCCATAGCAGTTGCAGGTCGTCAGGAGTTGGCCCTTCCAGCTGGAGCAAGCCTTAAAGTTCTACAGAAAAAGATCGGCTGGACATACCCACATCATCCCCTACTCCAGAAAACGGTGATGTACGCATATATATATAATATACACCCGTACACTTGCAGTGTGTATACACACCATATATCACCATATTATGATTCACATGTACATATACTGTGCGTATATCCATATATAAATGTAATATACAATTATACAATTATCCGCCGACCCCGGCCGACCGCAAGGGGGAGCGCGTCAGGGAAGAGAGGTTGTGGACAACAAGAAATACAACAACGGGTCGGGGACCAGCAGCAGCAGCAAAAGCCTCTGCAGCAGCAGGAGGAAAAGGTAGCCAAAATTCATAGCAGCAGCAAGAGGAAAAAGCAACCAAAATCATCATTTTCTATGCGTTTTCGTTAGGCATTTATGGGGTGCAATTTTGGGTTTTCTCCGTCCTTCACTGCCATGGTGTTTTCCCATCCAGCAGCAGCCAGCAGCAGGCAGGAGCAGGCAGCAGCAGGCAGCAGCAGGAGCGGCAAAGTTTCAATTTTATAGTAGGGTTTCAGAAGTGACGTTAGGCCCTTTTTTGGGGTTCCATTGCTACGTTTTTGCTCTTTCGGATGTGTTTCGAAAAGGGTGTCTGGCTGTTTGTTTCTTGCTTTGGAGGCTGTTTGATTGCAGCAGCACCACAGCAGCACCACAGCAGCAGCAGGAGCAGCCACCAGTAGCAGCACCAGCAGAAGGCAGCAACAGGCAGCAAGCAGCTTCTGCCAGCAGCATGCAGCAGCAGGCAGCAGCAGGCAGCAGCAGGCAGCAGCAGGCAGCAGCCAGCAGCAGGCAGGAGCAGGCAGGAGCAGGCAGCAGCAGGCAGCAGCAGGCAGCAGGCAGCAGCAGGCAGCGGCAGGCAGCGGCAAAGTTTCAATTTTATAGTAGGATTTCAGAAGTGACGTTAGGCCCTTTTTGGGGTTCTGCATTCAACGCTGCGGCACGCTTGCGGATGGCAGCTTGGACTGTGGCCACATGACATGCGTTGCAGACCCGTGTGCCATGTTGACCCCGGCCGACGCAAGGGGGAGCGCGCCAGGGAATAAGACATTTTCCGCCGACCATTTGGAAGCTTGCAACAGCAGCAGCAGCAGCAGCAGCAGCAGCAGCAGGCAGCAGCAGGCAGCAGTAGGCAGCAGCAGGCAGTCACAAAGCCATGCAGCTTGTACTTATAAGGGTAAGCAGCAGGCAGGCAGCAGCAGCAATATGATGTTTCGCAGTCCGGGGCCCGCGTTTTTGTAGTCTAGGATTCCCGAAGAGATTCCCTAGCATTTGGGATTCTCTAGGTCGAAGCCTGAGCCTAGGAATTCAGAAGCAGCGAGTTTGAGCAGCACCAGCAGGGCCAGCAGTCAAGAAGCAGGTAGCTGCAGGAGACAGCCTAGGTCAGAAGGGACGTTAGGCCTGAGCACGGTTTGCACAATTAAAAAAGAGATATTTTTTCTAGGAATTCAGAAGGGGCGTTCGGCAGTTTTTGTGGGTAAGTTTGAGCACGGTTTCGGCACGCAATTAGGTGCTGTTTTGCTGTGGCGAAGGGTCGTTTTGCTGTGGCGAAGGGTTCGTTCTGGAGGCCTGATGCTTGCATGCAACTTGCAGCCACCACACAACAGCTGCAGGAGACAGAAAAAGCCGACATTTTTTCTAGGAATTCAGAAGGGACGTTAGGCAGTTTTTGTGGATAAGTTTGAGCACGGTTTCGGCACGCAATTAGGTGCTGTTTTGCTGTGGCGAAGGGTCCGTTCTGGAGGGCTGATGCTTGCAACTTGCAGCCACCAAACAAGAGCTGCAGGAGACAGAAAAAGACAGACATTTTTTCTAGGAATTCAGAAGGGACGTTAGGCAGTTTTTGTGGATAAGTTTGAGCACGGTTTCGGCACGAAATTAGGTGCTGTTTTGCTGTGGCGAAGGGTCCATTCTGGAAGCCTGATGCTTGCAGTTTGGAGCCACCAGACAACAGCTGCAGGAAACAAATGAAATAAAAAAGAGATATTTGTTCAAGGAATTCAGAAGGGGCGTTAGGCGGTTTTTGTGGGTAAGTTTGAGCACGGTTTCGGCACGCAATTAGGTGCTGTTTTGCTGTGGCGAAGGGTTCCTTCTGGAAGCCTGATGCTTGCAGCTTGGAGCCACCACACAACAGCTGCAGGAGACAGAAAATTATTTTTTTTCTAGGAATTCACAAGGGACGTTAAGCAGTTTGTGTGGATAAGTTTGAGCACGGTTTCGGCACGCAATTAGGTGCTGTTTTGCTGTGGCGAAGGGTCCGTTCTGGAGGCCTGATGCTTGCAGCTTGGAGCCACCAAACAAGAGCTGCAGGGGACAGTAATTCACGAGCTCAAGACCCAGACTCTGGTTGAAGTCGTCGAGGAACTGCTCAGGGGGGTGAAGGGGTTTGGTGGGTGGGTGTTCTTACTATATCAAAATATCTTGTCAAATATATTGCATTCAAAAATATTAAATATACCTTATGAAATACTGAAGAATATTTAGGTCAATCTTGTGACCTTGGTAATCCACCGACTATGTCACTTTGTCCGAAGTCTCTGGCCTTCCCCAGCTTCTTCACATTCTTTTCCGGGGTCGGCGGCAGGGGCGGCAGCCCTTAATATGCAGTGTAATTATAGAGTTACTCGAATCACACCTGCTAGTATGATGTATGGAGATACTTGCATATACGCTGGTCATAGGATGTGACTTCACTGTGATGTGACATATGATGTTGCGACATATTAGTAGTTGTTTATCTTCCATGGATAGATATCTAGGATATCAGGAGTAAACATGCTCCAAAATACAAGCTGGCAAAAAACAAAAACGATTCCCATCAAATGTATTCACTTCTGGCCTGCAAATCTGGTCAAATTCCTCAATTGGCAGCTTGACGCCAGTGATTAGCTGAAGCGTTGTGGAGACGGGAGATCGCAAAGACTCTGTCATCGGGCATGCTGCCAGGACTTCAAGAACTAGGGATGATGTACTCGCCACGAGGCTTAGCATCACAATGTCCTTATTTTGCAAACAACTGGCGTTTTTGAAAAAATGCCTAAGATATCTTGAGATTGCCTGGGGCCCCAAGCCACTGATATGCCATTCACATTTCTCGCCGCGGTTCTGGCGACTTGGACTTTCCAACTTCCAAATGATCTTGACCTGCTTTTTCCCACCAATTGCGTATAGTGCCTTCCAAACACTTTTTCCCATGACTTGTTTCAGCCAAGCAACAACCAGCAAGATCAGCAAGCAGCAGCTCAATATGAGTCCAAGTGTGCAACGACCAAGCAGAAACTGAAAGCATGATGTGCAGCAGTAGTCCGTCTGTTGGAAAAGCACTTCTCGAGTCTTTCCGCTGGCCAGAAATGAAGCAAAGAGACCCAGCCCATTGAAGACCTCAATCTGCCAAGTTTTTGAAAAATAGCGGGGAATCAAAAAATATGTACTAAAAAGGATCTGTCTAAAAGGAGCAAAAAGACAAGAAGTCAAATGTTCTGACATCAGCTGCGGCACAAAAGCAAAAAAAAATGCAACTTCCAGATCTTGTAGAAACGCAGTCAAAGTGGTCACACCCATTGTCTCCAAAGGCTGGGTTGTGGCTGCTCTGCCACTGATAGTCAAAGAATACCCGGTGAGAAAAAGGATGAAAGACAAAATACTCATCACTGGAATACTGCGCCCAATGCCATAAAGGCAACTGCAGCAGAATCCCACTGCATTGCAGCAGCACTCGCACATGATTCTAGTGCGCGGCTGCCCTTCTCATGTGTACAGTGTTCGGTCTCGGATGGACTTCCGCCAAGCTCCGTCTGGAAAGTTTTGAGCCAAAGCCAAAAAGACCCAGACAGAAAATGAAGACTTTGAATATCTTTGAATGGTCTTGGTCCGAATCAAGTACTGAAACATTTTCTGGACAAATCAGATGCAGTGTATGAGTGTATCCTTGCCTTTGCTTGGTGAAGAAGAGCGGATTCTGCAGCACCTCAAAGCAGATGAGCGCTACTGCCAAATAAGAGCCATCACTTCTGCTCTCAGAAACTCCAATTGCAAACCTGGCCTTGCAGATTTCTGAGTCTCGCCAATTCATCTGAGGCCGTTTTGACGGAATCCTGCCATGCACATGTTCAGAGTAGTAAGGCTGCTGTGGCGCCTACAGAGTGCTTTTCAACGCTTTTTTTGTGGGACTGCCGGACTGCGACAAACTCCGATGTAGGTCCAATGCTTCCATGCCTGTTGGGTGACGGCTCAAGAAGGTGTCCAAACCCTCCAATGCTGAAAGCCCCACATTGGCAAATCTCGCAAGACACGATGCTAGACGCATGTCACCAGGACCACAGCGCAGTTTCTGCACACATTCACACCAGTCTGACCCATGGAGTGAACGAATCAAACCGGCAGAAACAATCATGCCTTGACCCATCTTGACCCCCGACTGGCCAAACGGCAAGAGGAAAGTCTGAGTTGGGCTTTCGTGTCCAATCCCAGCTTGGATCAAAGCGCTGCGTACATGCGGCCAAAAACCACCTGAAACTCGGTAGCCGTATGGCATTGATTGATTTGGGAGGACGCACCATGCCGCATGCCCCAACTTCTAGAGATGCAACTGGACAAAGGCCTGGAACGGCAGAGCACCAGTTCAGGAGCGGCAAAGGCTGCATCAGAGTTTTGCGCGAAATCCGCAGAGGAACCCGGCATTCTGATTCTTGACAAGAGTCAAATGGAATTTCGGATGGCTGCCCGAGAAAATGCTTGTCATTGGAGTTGAATGTAGACAGCACCTCGCGCAGATTATTCAAGAAAATGAAAGTGTCATCATCGGCCAAAATATACCAATCGGCCGATATGGCCTGTGTGAGGTACAATAGAGCGGGAACGAATCTTGCTTCTCCGGGATTGTTATGCAATGGATCGCCTGCAAGTTGCTGGTCCTCTGGGACATAAACTGTACCGACAGTTGCATCGGATTGATGCTGAAGAACAGAAACAACTCTTTTTCCAGTCATGTATTCTTGGCCTCAAGCAGCCTTGCATGGTTGCCGCTGTGGGATATGATGCCAATTGCCAGCACTGGATGGGCACTTGCAGGGTACTAGAAATCCTACGCTCAGACAAGTGGGCAGCATTGTCCCTGCCAGGCTTTAGGGAGCAACATTCCAACCTCCAACCTTTGCAGCCCAAGTGTCAGTCGGATCTTGGTGATGCTGCATTGACTCGCTGGATAAACGCTGCTACTGCTGGTGGTTCGCGCAATGTGGCTACAGCGGCTACATCTTCAGACCTGCTCTGTACCTGCTTGAATCATCTTGAATCTGCATTGACTCGCTATAGTAGGTATCCTTTCCGGCTGCCTTTGCTTCTGCTTGAGTCACAGTCTGGTTCGGCGATTTGCAGCTCAATGAAAGAAGGCTGGCTCCAAAATACCACTCCAGCTTGTTCACATAAAGAGTCTAAAGAACTTGAGAGTGACATCGACAATATCATTGGCGATTTGCTTCATTGTTGACAATGACAAATCAATCGCGCCTCTGAGGATTTCAGTTTGACCACGTACTCCTGTAACCGTTCCTCCTTTTCCTGACGATTGTCTGATTTGTCTGCTTTTAACTCAATACTGTAATTCTATCGATACTGTCGATACTGTCAATACTGGTGCCGGATTTACTTTGTAAATCTCTGAACCGTGGAGGACATGGAGGACATGGAGGACGTGGGAGAGGTCCTGGAGCTCTGTCTGCAGCTGTGACATCGCTTTGGCTTCCTCGATTGCTCCTGAATGAAATTGTGATCCGATGATTCCGATGAGATCGTGTTGAAACATGTTGAAACATGTTGAAATATGTTGAAAGCAGTGACCAAGCAGTGACGATGCGCTCAACGTCAGCTCAGTCTATACTGGCAATTCAAAACACGCAAAAAGAATGAAGACAAGAAAATTGCAGTCGTCCTTTCTTGGCAATTGCTAGTGCGGACTCCAGTTCGGAGTAGCGCTTTTCAGCCTGGTCCGGAAGCACAATTCGAAACACAAATTGGCATCGAAGAGGATTGAGGATTTCAATTGACTTGCCTTGACTCCAGACTTTGGAGTTATAAAGAGAAAGGTGCCTGCCTCCCTCCCTTCAAGATCTTTCGCAGCCAGCTTCGTCTTCATATCTTCAATGGTTTGATTCGCAGCCTTGACATGTCCAATGCTCACCCACCTTGAGCATCTCTCCCGTCCCACAACTGTCTGGTGCCTTCAAGCGCTTCTGAAGGTCTGCAACTGCAGAATTTGCCTCTGCCTTTTTCCTTCCGTCTTCTTGCACGGAAGAATCCTTCACACCATCACTGAGTCAGGAAAAAAAATGTGTCAACTGGGCAAGCACATTGAATTAATTAAATATGCTTGAAGCCAACACATGCCAACACTATCAATCGCTTCGCGACTGCTAGTAGTGACAGTGTGGCCATGGGTGTGAGCAATAAGTGGTCCTTGAGGAGTGGAAGTTTCCTTGATTCAAAGCGTGGAATTGCCCATGCAAGCCCACAGAATCAGTGGTTTATAAATTCAGCCATGATGGAAAATAATGAGCTTCCAGCAGCTCATTTGATGAAACGGCTGCCTGCAAAGGTGCCAACGTGGGCTGTGCAGGCACTCAAAACGTCTGCACTGCATGCACTGCATGTGCTCAAACCTGCAAGCCTCTCCATGTCTTTGTGAAAGTGGTGCTGACATTTGCATTACAACATAAACCCTCTTGCCTGAATGTGTTCTTCATGACGCTCGTGCGTCTCCTCCTGGCAAAGCCAGTGCAAGTTTTTACAGCTTATTGGACTTCTCAAAAATGCATGGTCGGCGACGTGAGGCAATAAGTTTTGGGGCCAGTTTGTGCTTGAGGCAACCTGCTTGTTGGCATTCTGAAGCTCTACCAAGCTTTCAAATCGCATCCGACACACCTTGACACACCCCCTTTCATCATACTTTCGTCATACTTCTTCATACTTTCATCCCTTTCCTTTTGAGACTCCACAACCGGGAGGATGTACCACTTCCACGCGGGCATAACCTCGACTGCACTAAACAAGTTTTTAGATTTCTTTCCTGGTACCATTTGCCTTGTATTTGCAACAGTTTGGAACTAGAACCTGTCATTGTGCATGGTATTTGCTACATTTTAGCGTGGTCACCTTCCATTGTGCATGGTATTTGCTACATTTTGGCATGGTCACCTTCCATTTTGCATGGTATTTGCTACATTTTGGCATGGTCACCTTCCATTTTGCACGGTATCTGCTACATTTTGGCATGTTTTTTTCAGTTTGCATGGTATTTGCTACCTGTTGGCATGGTCACCTTCCATTTTGCATGGTATTTGCCACATTTTGCCATGTTTGCCTTCCATTTCGCATGGTATTTGCCACATTTTGGCACTTCAACCTCTCATTTGCATGATATTTGCTACATGCTGGTACTTCAAACGTTCATGTCATGTGGGTTTCTTTAAGGCTTCTTTACGGTTTCATTTAGGGGTTCATTTAGGGTTTCTTTAGTGTTTCTTTAGGGTTTCATTTAGGGTTTCTTTGGGGGTTCATTTAGCTTTAGGGTTTCATGTGTGGTTTCTTTAGGATGTCATTTAGGGGTTCTTTAGGATGTCATTTGGGGTATCTTTAGGGTTTCATTTAGGGTTTCTTTAGGGTTTCATTTATGGTTTCTTCAGGATGTCATTTAGAGGTTCTTTAGGGTTTCTTTAGGGTTTCATGTAGAGTTTCATTTAGGGTATCTTTAGGGTTTCTTTAGGGTTTCATTTAGGGTTTCTTTAGGGTTTCATTTAGGGTTTTTTTAGGGTTTCATTTCGGGTTTCTTTAGGGTTTCATTTAGGGGGCTTCATTTAGGGTTTCTTTAGGCTTTCGTTTAGGGTTTCTGTGGGTTTCTTTAGGGTTTCTATTAGAGTTTCATTTAGGGTTTCTTTAGGGTTTCGTTTCGGGTTTCTTTAGGGTTTTGTTTAGGGTTTCTTTAGGGTTTCATTTATGGTTTCTTCAGGATGTCATTTAGAGTTTCATTTAGGGTTTCTTTAGGGTTTCATTTAGAGTTTCATTTAGGGTATCTTTAGGGTTTCTTTAGGGTTTCATTTAGGGTTTCTTTAGAGATTCATTTAAGGTTTTTTTAGGGTTTCATTTCGGGTTTCTTTAGGGTTTCATTTAGGGGGCTTCATTTAGGGTTTCTTTAGGTTTTCGTTTAGGGTTTCTGTGGGTTTCTTTAGGGTTTCTATTAGAGTTTCATTTAGGGTTTCTTTAGGGTTTCGTTTCGGGTTTCATTTAGGGTTTCTTTAGGGTTTCATTTATGGTTTCTTCAGGATGTCATTTAGAGGTTCTTTAGGGTTTCTTTAGGGTTTCATTTAGAGTTTCATTTAGGGTATCTTTAGGGTTTCTTTAGGGTTTCATTTAGGGTTTCTTTAGGGTTTCATTTAAGGTTTTTTTAGGGTTTCATTTCGGGTTTCTTTAGGGTTTCATTTAGGGGGTTTCATTTAGGGTTTCTTTAGGCTTTCGTTTAGGGTTTCTGTGGGTTTCTTTAGGGTTTCTACCAGTAGTACCGCACAAGGCGGCGGCGGAAGTTTCAGAATAGGAAACCTATAGGAGACGTTGGTTGTTGTGAATCACGGATGGCAGAGCGAATCCACTGATTGAACGAAAGGTGGTTGGAGTTGTGTTTGCTGGAGTGGTTGCAATGGTTGCAGTGGTCACCTCACCCACAACTGCTGGATGTAGTGCGATGTACTGCTAACTGTAGTTGTAGTTGTAGCGTAGTGGAGTTGTAGTTGTGGTGTAATGTAATTAGTGTAGTGTAGTTGCAGTCATATAGTTGTAGTTGTAGTTGTTGTTGCTGTAGTTGTTGTGTAGTTGTAGTTGTAGTTGTTGTAGTTGTTGTTGTTGTTGTTGTAGCTGTAGTTGTTGTGTAGTTGTAGTTGTTGTGTAGTGTAGTGTAGTGTAGTTGTAGTTGTTGTAGTTGTAGTTGTTGTAGTTGTTGTAGTTGTTGTAGTTGTTGTTGTTGTTGCTGTTGTTGTAGTTGCAGTTGTAGTTGTAGTAATTGCTGTTGTAGCTGTAGTTGTTATAGTTCTAGTTGTAGTTGCTGTGTAGTTGTAGTTGTAGTTGTAGTTGTTGTTGTTGCTGCTGTTGTTGTAGTTGTAGTTGTAGTTGTTGTAGTTGTAGCTGTAGTTGTTGTAGTTGTAGTTTTGGTTGTAGTTGTAGTTGTTGTGTAGTTGTAGTTGTAGTTGTAGTTGTAGTTGTAGTTGTTGTAGTTGTAGTAGTAGTAGTAGTAGTTGTTGTTGTTGTTGTTGTTGTTGTGTTGTTGTTGTTGTTGTTGTTGTTGTTGCTGTTGCTGTTGTCGTCGAAGTTAGGGTAGTTAAGTTAGTGAAGTTAGTTAAGTTAGTCAAGTTAGTTAAGTTAATCACAGGAAGGTTCGCGAACCGAACCGCGAACCGGGAACCGAACCGCGCGAACCGGAAACCGCCCAGAAACCGGCAGTTGGGAAACCGAACCGAACCGAACCGCTAATGTATAAAATAAGCTCCCGAACCGGACGAACCGGAGGGAGGAACCGGATGCGAACCGCCGGCATGTGCTCTGTTTGTTTCTCTCAAGCAAACGTTCCCTTCAATCTCTGCCCTCGTATTGGATTTGTTTTTTTTTGGAAGCCCCACAAAAACCAAAAATACAACCCTTGTGCCCTCCTATTGGATTTGTTTTTTCTGACAGCACCAAAAAAGCAAAAACGCAACCCTTGTGCCCTTCTAATTGTTTTTTTTTGAAAGCACCACAAAAACAAAAAACACAACCCTTGTGCCCTCCTATTGGCTTTGTTTTTTTGGAAGCCCCAAAAAAAAGCAAAAACACAACCCTTGTGCCCTCCTATTGGGTTTGTTTTTTTGCAGCCCCAAAAAAAGCAAAACCATAACCCTTGTGCCCTCCTATTGGACTTTTTTTTTGTGTGGAAGCACCACAAAAGCAAAAAGCACAACCCTTGTGCCCTCCTATTGGGTTTGTTTTTTTTGGAAGCCCACCCCAAAAAAAAACAAAAACACGACCCTTGTGCCCTCCTATTGGACTTGTTTTTTTGAAGCATCAAAAAAGGAAAAACACAACCCCTGTGCCCTCCTATAGTTTTTTCTGGAAGCACCAAAAACGAAAAAACACAACCCTTGTGCCCTCCTAGTGCATTTGTTTTTTTTGGGAGCCCCCCAAAAAACAAAAACACAACCCTTGTGCCCTTCTATTGTTTTTTTGGATGCACCACAAAAACAAAAAACACAACCCTTGTGCCATCCTATTGGATTTGTTTTTTTAGAAGCCCAAGAAAGAAGAAAACAAAAACAACACCCTTCTGCCCTCCTATTGGGATTGCTTTTTTTGCAGCCACAAAAAGGCAAAAACTCAACCCTTGTGCCCTCCTATTGGATTTGTTTTTTTTAGAAGCACCAAAAAAGCAAAAACACAACCCTTGTTCCCTCCTATTGGATTTGTTTTTTTGGAACCCCAAAAAAAGCAAAAACACGACCCTTGTGCCATCCTATTGGATTTGTTTTTTTCTGGATGCACCAAAAAAGCAAAAACACAACCCTTGTGTCCTCCTATTGGATTTGCTTTTTGGGCTCTCCTATTGGATTTGTTTTTTTGGAAGCCCCAAAAAAGCAAAAACACAACCCTTGTGCCCTCCTATTGGATTTGTTTTTTCTGAAAGCACCAAAAAAGCAAAAACACAACCCTTGTGCCCTCCTATTGGATTTGTTTTTTCTGAAAGCACCAAAAAAGCAAAAACACAACCCTTGTGTCCTCCTATTGGATTTGCTTTTTGGGCTCTCCTATTGGATTTGCTTTTTTGGAAGCCCCAAAAAAGCAAAAACACAACCCTTGTGCCCTCCTATTGGATTTGTTTTTTCTGAAAGCACCAAAAAAGCAAAAACAAAACCCTTGTGCCCTTCTATTGGATTTGCTTTTTTGGCAGCCCCCAAAAAGCAAAAACACAACCCTTATGCCCTCCTATTGGATTTGCTTTTTTGGCAGCCCCAAAAAAGCAAAAACAAAACCCTTGTGCCCTCTTATTGCATTTGTTTTTTTTGGAAGCCCCAAAAAAACAAAAAAAACTGGTGCCCTCGTATTGGATGTGCTTTTTCGAAAGCCACAAAAAAGAAAAAGCACAACCCTTATGCAAAGCACAAACACAACCCTTGTGCTCTCGTGTTGGATTTGCTTTTTTGGCAGCCTAGAAAAACGAAAACAGCCTCCACGACCAGGTCCACCTGACGCAACGTGTCCTTGACACGAATCATAACAACCAACTAACTGGGAACATGTTTTGCTTTTTTGAATGGCCGTAAAAAGCAAATACCAAGACCATGACTTACTCCGAACCGGTTAGGAACCAGAAACCAAACCGGTTAGGAACCGGAAACCGAACCGAACCGTTTTTTAAATTATATCCCGAGGAACCGAACCGAACCGAACCGGGAACCGGAAATTCACCAGTTCCTGGAAACCGAAACCGAACCGAACCGATCCCACCCTGTAATCAGTGTCTACTTTTTCGACATCGTAACGTCAAAAAAGGCTCAAAACCCTCAGTTTTTTACACTTTTGACTTCGAAATGTGCTTCGCGCCACAACGGCGTGCACTTTTTCAACATCTCAACTTCCAAAAGTGGTCCGAGAATGGTGTGTTTCGTACATTTTGACTTCGAAATGTGCTTCGCGCCACAACGGCGTGCACTTTTTCGACATCGCAACTTCCAAAAGTGGTCTGAGACCGTCAGTTTTTTACACTTTTGACTTCAAAATGTGCTTCGCGCCACAACGGCGTGCACTTTTTCGACATCTGAACTTCCAAAAGTGGTCCGAACGTGGTGTGTTTTGTACATTTTGACTTGGAAATGTGCTTCGCTCCACAACGGCGTGCACTTTTTCGACATCTCAACTTCCAAAAGTGGTCCGCTCCTCTAGTGTTTTGTCCATTTTGACTTGGAAATGTGCTTCGCGCCACAACGGCGTGCACTTTTTCATCTCTCATCTGGCCAGCTGGCTCCGCACCCGCCGCTTTAGCGAGCCTACTTTTCGACCCACCGGAGCCACAAATCATTGGAAAAACACAGTGTTTCGCGACTTTCCTACCTTTTCGCGCACCTGCATCTTCTTTCTTCTGATCTTTTCTCTTCTGACTCTTCTCACCTCTGCTTTTCAACTGTCCATATTGTCGGAAGTTTCACTTCTAAACTTCCTTCGATTAGAGTTTCATTTAGGGTTTCTTTAGGGTTTCGTTTCGGGTTTTTTTAGGGTTTCGTTTAGGGTTTCTTTAGGGTTTCATTTATGGTTTCTTCAGGATGTCATTTAGAGTTTCATTTAGGGTTTCTTTAGGGTTTCATTTAGAGTTTCATTTAGGGTATCTTTAGGGTTTCTTTAGGGTTTCATTTAGGGTTTCTTTAGGGTTTCATTTAGGGTTTCACTTCGCGTTTCTTTAGGGTTTCATTTAGGGGGATTCATTTAGGATTTCTTTAGGCTTTCGTTTAGGGTTTCATTTAGGGTTTCTTTAGGGTTTCATTTAGAGTTTCATTTAGAGTTTCATTTAGGGTTTCGTTTAGGGTTTCTTTAGGGTTTCATTTAGAGTTTCATTTAGGGTTTCATTTAGGGTTTCATTTAGGGTTTCTTTAGGGTTTCGTTTATGGTTTCTTTAGGGGCTTTCTTTGGGGTTTCATGTAGGGTGTCTTATCAGGATTTCTTATCAGGATTTCTTGGCGTCTTTGGGCTTCATCTAGGATCTCTCTAGGGTTTCATTTAGGATACAAACAGGAGAGAATAAAGCAAAAGAAAATGAAAAACAAAGAGACAGTAAAGAAAGAAAGCAGAGAAGCAGAGGAGCAGGAAGTAGAGCAGCAAAAACACATGACTGAAGTGACTGAAGAAAGAAAAAGTAGAAGTAGAAAGGCACAGAGGCAGAAAAGAAGAAAATCAGGAAAAGCAAAAGCAGAAAAAGCAGAGAAGCAGAAAAAAGAACGGCACAGAAACAGACAAGCAGAAAAGCAGAAAAGCAGGAAAAGCTAAAAGCGGAAACGCAGAGAAGCAGGAAGGGCAAAGAAGCAGGAAAAGCACAAAAGCAGGAAAAGCAGAGAAGCAGACCTGGCAAAAAAAAAAAACATCAAAAATCAAGCCGGCCCTCGCCTTCACACCATCACTGAGTCAGGAAAAAAATGTGTCAACTGGGCAAGCACATTGAATTAATTAAATATGCTTGAAGCCAACACATGCCAACACTATCAATCGCTTCGCGACTGCTAGTAGTGACAGTGTGGCCATGGGTGTGAGCAATAAGTGGTCCTTGAGGAGTGGAAGTTTCCTTGATTCAAAGCGTGGAATTGCCCATGCAAGCCCACAGAATCAGTGGTATATAAATTCAGCCATGATGGAAAATAATGAGCTTCCAGCAGCTCATTTGATGAAACGGCTGCCTGCAAAGGTGCCAACGTGGGCTGTGCAGGCACTCAAAACGTCTGCACTGCATGCACTGCATGTGCTCAAACCTGCAAGCCTCTCCATGTCTTTGTGAAAGTGGTGCTGACATTTGCATTACAACATAAACCCTCTTGCCTGAATGTGTTCTTCATGACGCTTGTGCGTCTCCTCCTGGCAAAGCCAGTGCAAGTTTTTACAGCTTATTGGACTTCTCAAAAATGCATAGTCGGCGACGTGAGGCAATAAGTTTGGGGGCCAGTTTGTGCTTGAGGCAACCTGCTTGTTGACATTCTGAAGCTCTACCAAGCTTTCAAATCGCATCCGACACACCTTGACACACCCCCTTTCATCATACTTTCGTCATACTTTCGTCATACTTTCATCCCTTTCCTTTTGAGACTCCACAACCGGGAGGATGTACCACTTCCACGCGGGCATAACCTCGACTGCACTCGACAAGTGAGAAGTGCCAAAAGACTGGCAGAGAAACAAATGGATGGCGAAAATGCGAAAAATGGGACGAAATAATTCTGAAATGATGGAACTGGGGCCGAGCTCTAGACCGCCCCTGCCAAACCAAGGGCCAACAGCAACGTAAGCACAGGGGGAGGCAGACCCAGCACATGGCCTTCTGCCAGACCTGCATTGTTTTAGCAGAAAGCACAGAGGTCTACCAGGTCTACCATGTTGAAACTGCGTTTCATCTCACGCAACTTGTGCCTCTGAATGCAAGCTACCTTCTGTTCTGCGCTTCATCTAGCTGCCGAATGTCCCCATTTGTAAACCACAAGTTTCCCACGTAGCTTCCCAGGCCGTGGTGATGAACCATGCAAGTTTCCGATGGTTCTACTTGCTGACTTGGATAGCTGTTTAGGGGCAGTGGCCCAAGGATACGAGCCATTGAGCCATTGAGCCTCCAAGGGGCAAGATATTGTCCTTCTGTTATGATCCAATCATCTAATCTATATGATGTTGCCTCATGATTGTAGTGCAGATTCTGGACTCTGACTATCCTGACTACTTCGGTTTGAGTTGATAAGTTTCTTGGCTTCTTTATATACAAAGAACCCTGCTAGCCCAAAGGCATCTTTTCTGAATTCCTCAACCGCTGCCTTCTTGCTGTGAGATAGATACAACATGATACAACATGATACAACTGCATACACATTGAAAATGAATGCCTTGGGTTCTTGGAAGGGGGGTGTCCGTTCATGTATAGTATTTGCCATATTTATAGGCGCACAGGCAAATTGAAACTGGTGGGGGCTCTTCAGTTGCAGTTCTGCAGGACAGCTGTCAGAATGAAGAGACGCAAAGAGCCTCATGGAAAGCTGAACTTGTTGAACCATTGATTCGTCACAGCTTCATGCCACGGGCACTAATGTGAGAACGTGTAAATACCCTGGACACCAACAAGGGACCCTGCCACGGAGAAAGCACTGCTCTGGCAGTTGCACTCCAAGTTATTTATATACTTTGATACAACATACATAGATATCACATTGACACTCTCAGAGAGGAAACTCCATTCAGAAAAATCTGTGTTTGGAAGCATTGTCACAGACATCAAACATCACCATCAATCATCAAACACCACCACACATCATTTTTATATATATATACATATATATATAATATATATATATTATATATATTTTAACATTATTTGTTTATTTACTTAAATTCGTGTCTGCATTTCCCATGATTTCCACACCTCCCACAGCTTCGTCAAAGCTTCGTTCCCAAGAAAAGCCAATCAAAATCCCCAACGACTGAATCAAGGCACGCCTCGGTGATCAAAGCGGCAAGCAATTCTTGTTTTACAATGGTTTTACAATGGTTTTACAGTTTACATGTAGAAAGTTGCCAGAGACTTGCCTAGGCCTGTGTCATCCTGTGTCTCCAAGTCTAACGTTCGGTCTCGCAATTTGGCATGTGCCCGTGGACAGTGGACCAATTTTCACGTGTTTTACCGGAAGGAAAGCATTCTGCTTAGTTTGATAGACTCTCGAACCCTAATCCAAAATGGTGACTCATCTTCAAGATTTGACTTGTTCCGTACTGAAAGCAGGACCGCAGCCTACAAACATGGAATGCCTGTCTATAATGAAATAGCTGTTGTAGCACGTTGCATTGCAACAAACCGAGCTCTTTAGCATTGGCATTGAACTGTCGAACCAACTTAATTCAGACTCCTTGAAGTGCAAAGCCAAGCTCCCCACAGAGAGGAGTCAACTTCATCATCAGTGAAATCCATGTCGGCCAGCTTGTCAAGGACCTGCAAAAGGACCACGTTTGACTGAAAATCAATAAACAGCGGCTCTTCGGCTCCTGTGATCGTATGTAGCTCAGATACGCTCAGATTAGCTCAGCATGCTTGTCAAACTGAGTGCCCAACAAAAATGACAATTATTGCCAAGAATGTGACTACCTCAACAGAGATGAATGTTGTGTGGCGCATGCCGACTGTCCATCGGCCAATTTTCCAAAGCCGAGGATGCAGCTAATGCGCATAAAACTGCCAGCAAAGCCCCGTCCTGCTTTCACAGGGCACGGTGGTCTTTCGCCAGCATTCAATTCAGATCACAATTCCTAGCTGCAGCGAGATAACGTCAATTCTGCCATGTTCTGCCTCAAGCTTGAACAGCACCCCAACCATACCCGCATATACCTGCATGAGTTTCCATGATAACCCATTTTCCAGACTTGTCCCAGTTGAGGTTCGCAGAGAGGCACCAGTCCACGGCGAAGTGCAAGCACCAGGCCTGCTTTAAAAAAGGTCCAATTCAAATGAGAACGCCCGAAGCATGACCACACCGACCACCAATCAGGGACCAGCCTCACTTGGGCCCATAGAAACGACTCACTTGCGCCCAGATAGACCTGAACATACCTTTATGTGGAAAAAACAACCGTTTAGGGTCTACTTTTAGGGGACATGCGGTCGACTTGGGGACCAGGGGGGGGGATTAGGGAGGGACATGGGGGCATGCAGCAACATGATGCACACAGGCAACATTCCTTCATGTAGAAAAACAACAATTTAGGGTCTAATTTTAGGGGACATAGGGGGGGGGGAATTGGGGACCAGCGGGGATGAGGGGCTTGGGGACCAGGCAGGTCTACTGTTGGGGGACAGTAGCTCGAGTGGAAAGGGGCTACCCGGGCACAAGCGAGACAAATGCACGGGCACAAGCGAGGCCGTTTCCCCAGAGAATGATCAGCTACTGCATTCAAAAGTTAAACGTGTGCCACTTGAATTTGCACGAAACATGCCGGCAGGACTGTACTCATTGCAAAAATGTCGCGGCCCCATGTTGACCAACGATGCTCCTGGGTTCAAAGCCATTCTGCACAACGCATTTCACAATACTTTAAAGTTCTTGAAAAAACATCTAAAACGTTCTGAAACACATGTGACCAGCAAGTGTCTTAGAGTGTCTCTGACCGCTCTGGCCTTGTCCAAAGGGTTGAAAGAGTGGCTTCTCCGTGAAGTCTGTGAAGCTGGAGTGGCTTCTACGTCTCCAGCAACTCGATCAGCTACATCTCCATCTTCTTGTCCATTGCTTCCAGACTCGAAGCACTTGCCTCGATATGGTAAGACTGTAAGGTTCTACATGGTTCTACATTGGACATGGTTCTACAGCACCAAGGGCGCTTGTTTGCAGCATCTGAAGACTTCCGTGTCTTGAGGTGATCAAAGGACCATACGCACGGAGATCTGCACGACGTCAAAACACCCGAAAGCCAAAGCTGCCAGAAAAAGCAGTTCCTTGGTGCCAAAGAAAACCACCTTAAAACTTTATAGACATAGTCGACCACAGAGGGACCACAAATGCAATCAAACAAGGCTTTGGCGCAAGAAAGATTGGATTGTTTGAGCCCAGGCGGATCGTTCCCCTGCAAGAGCTCTGACCATGAGAAAACGCTCCAAGAGCAAATTCCATTGTCAGCACAATTCTAACCCCAAGGAGTGCTCTGCACAAGCAACAAAAACAGCAAATGCAGCATCAGCATGTGCCGCATATAAGCATATGGCATATTCAATCATATTCCTTTTGTAACGGGTGCCTCAGTATCTGGAAGGTGGCCAGAAATCAGGAAACGCAAAGCCTCCACAGTGGCGAGCCGATAGATTTGTGAAATGTTTGAATCATTTTGAATCCTCGAGTTAAAAATTCTGAACGCACATCAGAGCGCCTGGACAAGCAGGAATGATACTGCAAGCGACATCACATCATCTTCTGTCTCTGCCACTTCCTCTGCCCAAAGCTTTTCAAACTCATCCTGGCAGCCACTGTCAAACTGCTTAAAGATTCTGAAGATTTTGAAGGTTCCAAGGCACAAATGGTCTCAAAAGTCCAGGGAATCAGTGAATTTCGTCCGAGTGCGCGTGTGTGTTTGAAATCTATTGCAATTGCTGTGCTTACAACATGATGCAACTCCACAAGTACGAATATGTTCTTTGTAGGGGTACCAAACACGCACTGTCAAACCACTCGCAGTTTTAAATGTTGTGGTGCAGTGCCTCCTCCCCATCCATGTCCGTCCATTTCTTGCGCAGCTTCTCAGTTGCTTGGTAAATACCTGCATCAAGTCTGTTGGAGTCTGTGGAAGCTTCAAGCTTCTTACTCTATTCATACTAGTACCACTCAAAAGCTCTTGTTGGTCAAACAGTCAAGTCACTGGCGTATTCGGAAACCTCGAACTGTGCCAAGCGAGCCAGGTACACAGAAAATACCAGCAAAGGCCAACGCAGGTACAAGGAAGCTGCACGGCAAAATTCGGGGAGCTGCCTTGCGCTTTCAAGCAAACCCAGGTTGAACACACTTGCACAGGAGGCCAATGATATGAAATTTCATAATCATGTTGGATATGTTCTGTATATGTAATCATGGGCATCACCAGAACAAGATGATATGCAAAGAGGACAACAGTACATGCATCTGTGACTCAAAGCTGGCGACTGCCTGCTGCAGTGTGCCCCAAGCATTGATGGCTGCAAAGCCAGTCACATGTCCCAGAAGGGTGGCCCAGCAGACGGTGTTGATCTTCACAGCCTGACCAATGATTTAAATGTTGATTTTGATCCGCTCGTTCCGCGAAAAAAATCCTTTACTTTAAGAAATTGGAAAGGAGTAACACGGAGAACGATTCTCTGTCCATGCCTCCATGTGCATATTCGCAGAGTCCACTCGTGCCATTCTCCGTATTGGGGTTGCAGCTGAAGCCCTGAACTGGAAAACCAAAAAACATTTTTAAAAAAACGACCAAAGTGTGACTTTGGGGTCTAGAGCCACCAAGTTTCAAATCTCATCACTAAGTTCAGCACGAATTCAAAGAATTTCGTGTACTGGAAACCTGCTCAAAGTTGATCTTCACCAGATCGCACTAAATTGCACGAGGCAAATGCCGTACTAGTGTGCCATAATGGTTACCTTTGCGTCTGGCCTCGATATGCTCACCCATGGCGCCAGACAGATATGCCAGCACCACTTGAAGAGCTACGAACCACAGAAGCATGTGCGCCTTAGCGTGAAAACATGTGAAATCATTGGAAGCGCATGTCGTCGCACATGTCTTAACACATGTTCACCCCATAGAGCATCCCCATGCGTTTGGTTGCGTTTGAAACAAGCGGGGGGGCGCCTGTTTTTGGGGCCCAACGAAGCATTTCGTTCCCGCTGTGTTCTGTGGATAAAGATTCGTAGAAGTTCAAGGGTAGAGACTCGGGCAGACTCTGTGGCAGCGCAAAGCTGTCCAGCTGAGCAACGGTGCATCATCATCACCATCATTTAGAATCCTGCGGGCTCTGGTTCAGATTGCTCCTCTGCTTCTTCAGATCGCTGCTTTCTGCTCTCCCTTTTTTGTCGCCGTCTCAAATCAGCTGGCCTTTCTTTCAGCTTTTCCAGGCTCAGCGCCATGGTCTCACAGAAGACTACGTCCGAGTGCTGCGCGTCGTAGAGCCCCTTGCTCTGGCAACCCTTCAGCACAGCATTGCCGCCACACCGCACATGCAGCACTTGCTGGGTGTAGGCCTCGATCAAGCTGAATGTCGAGGGGGAAGGTACAAGAAAGAAGCTTTTCAATTTTCAAGCCATCCAGAATTTTTCTCAGGGTCGATTCATCATAATCCTCCCTTTACTATGGGGTAGGCAGTATGGCCTACTTTGAGTATCCCAAAAACACACAATTTCGATGATTTGAAACACCCACGGCTGACTGCCCCATGTTGGCTGAAGCGCTTGCAGGGCTGACTTCACACACACACACACGCACATCGATCTCTTGGAGCAACATTTGCAGAATGCGCAGCCTGCGTGGCCTCTGCATGGCAAGCCTCACGCCATGCTTCACCAAGACCTTGTAATGCGCTCTCTGTCTTTGTTCCCCCCGGCGCCTCGAAATAGTCCTGGATCAGCAGCAACAGGCGTATGTGCTCATGCGGCCTCTTCGCCGCCAACGCACCACGCGGCGCTGCGAAAATAGATCCCGCAGAGAAGCAGAGAAGCATCCCGAGTTGCTCTCGAGCGCTGAAATGTCTGATTTTTGAAGTCAGTATTCTCGGCAGCGCGCTCATGCTTCCGCGACGCGCCCATGCTTCTGTCCTCCTAACACAAGACAAAGCGCTGTCTCTTGGCAGGCATCCGGTGAGCAACTTTGGCAACCTTCACGTCCGAGGCCTGTTTGATATGCCCTTGGCAAAACAAGCCCGCGCCGCTGCAACACAACGAAAGACAAAAACAGCTAGAACCTTGAAAACTCACGCACAAAGGATCTGAAAAGACCTCCAGTCCGATGCCCGAGGACGCTCACGCACAAGGGCAACTAACACGACCTCCAACCCAATGCCCAAGAACACACATTCACAAACGAAAATGTAACGACCTCCAAACCAATGCCGGAGCAAGCTCGTGCCCCCAGACAGGGAAACGACCTTCGAACCCGTGCCCCAGGACGCTCCTGCGCAAAGAAGACTGAAACCACCGTAAAAACAATATCGGAAGACGCTCATGCCCAAACGGAACGGAAACCCTACAGGGGAACCTTACAGGCAACACAAACGACTTCCAAACCAATGCCCAAGGACGCTCCTGCACAAAGAAGACCGAACGACCTCCAAACCAATGCCCGAGGACGCTCCTGCGCAAAGAACACTGAAACCACCTCTAACTTTGCAGAAACAAAAAAGGCTCTGTTCTCCAGCAACTGTCAAAATTGGAGAATCCGCCCACCCATGACATTTCAGCCAAAAACCCACGTTCAGCGGCCTTACCCTTGAAGTTCACATTGGGCTTTGCGCGGTGCAGCAGCCACCCTTGCCAGGCCCGATCCGAAGCTTACCAGTGAAGGAGAAGGTGGTTGGGCCAGCACCATGATGTCTGCCATCACCTCTTGGAACTTCTTTAGAATGCGGATATCTGCGCATCATATCCACCTCCTTTTGTCGGCTCAGTCCATTGTGCCTCGAAGTCTTCCAAGACTTGTGGCCCATGGGACTGGTAAGATCTTGGTGTTGCTGGATACAGAACATCATGGCCGCTTTGCGCTATCTCAGTGAATAAAGAACATTTTGTGATTGTGTGATTCTCAGCAATCAATAATGACTCACACAATAGGTACAATAGTGACCCCTACACAATGGCTATTGGATATCCCTACAAAAGTCGCAACCCTCTCACACGGGAGGCATTTGGATGTCGCTGGAACATCTGGTGATCTCACATCTGGCATCAACGCTCCTTGGGTCCCACCTGCTCATCTTGAGCCTGAAATCACAGCGGGAACGACATGCTTCCTTTGTCCCGTGCATCTTCAGCTTGAAATGTTGGAACCTCGTGAGTAGAAGTAAGCAGCTCCTTCGAATAGCAAAAAAATGAAGGCTTAGAACACGCATAAAGGATCGGAAAGGTTGAGGCACTCGGAGGTTGCTCTTATTTCCAACAAGAACCATTGCTAGGTTTCCTCAGGAAGAACCACAATCAGTCGCAGGAGAAACTGCTTTCCGATGTGTAGTCTGGGTAAAAACATGTTATTCCAGCCTGCTCAACATTCGATTGTTGTGAGGACAGGACATGCTGGTCAAACTTCATGAGCTGCAGATCTGAGAGAATTGTCTGGGGTCTGCACCATGTCGACAAGAAGCTGATACCAGATCCACATGCCCTCGAGGACGTAATACTCCAAGACTTTATTGCAAGCCTGCAACACTCGAACTGACGTTGCTCTCCTTGAAATAGGCAAGAGCGGCCCTACACAAGATGGAGCCTGGAAAAGAAGCACGGCTGAGAAAATTGAAACCGTCGAACTGATGACCTGACCACACATGGAGATACACGGAGCACCTCTGTTTCCGGAGTGCAAAGGCATGTTATTCTGTCATTGCAATCTATTGCAAAGATGATTGCAACATACTGCGACTATTGCGCTTCTCTACGAGATCTCAAAGAGCACCTCCCAAGAAATTCTTCGGATGTCCTCATCGTGATGGTTCACCAAGTAGAAGTTTGACATCATAAAGGTCATCTCGGAGCTCAACATGCTCAATGCCATGAACGCCAAAGCTTTGCGGCCAAGGAATTGGGCTAAAAACGTGTCTGGACTGGCCATGGATGAACCATGTTGGCATTTGTTGGCATCTTCAGGCATCCCGCATCCCAATGCTAAGATATACAAAGATATGCTAAGTGTGTCACGCATCCCAGCAACATCATGGAGATGCACATGTTCTCGGACCTCTGCACCTGCTCCTACAAGTTCACCATGGTACATTACCGTACACCATGCTCAAAACTCAAGAAGAAGTGCCCTACCCTTCATCTGACATTCTTGGCACAATGTTGCCCATGTTGCTAAAGAAACCATGGAAGCCAGGATGCATTCAACATTTCTCAATTCTAATGTGTCTATATTTTTTTTATATGTCTGCTAGGGGGCGTCTAGGTCTCAAGTCCTGAACCTCCACCTGCGAAATCTCAACAAACTCAGCAGCTTGGAGATCATCCTGAGGAAAAGATGCCCTCAAGGCTACCGTCAATTACTCTTCAACAAACTTTTGCTACACTGCTTACTCTGCTTGCAAAGCTTATGATTGTCTGTGTTCTATTTGGACATGTAAGGTCATGCAAGCAGCTGAATAATTCATGGGGCACGTTGCTCCCATGAAGAAAAGTTGAGTGGCCTCTGAGATGCTTAGAGGCTAAGAGGCTCACATGTTCAGTCAAAGAAGCTGCTATAGGGTGAAGAAGGACTAGCCTGAATTGAACAAACGCGAGCTTCTGCAAATATAGATTGCTGTTGGCAACTTAACGCTCACGCAAAATCCAGCTGAATTCGAGTGGCAGCGAAATCAAAAAGAAACTTCTCCGCAAGAAGACCAGCATGGCTGCAGGAAGAATCTTGAGGGTCAAGTGTCTGAACTCTGTGTCTATGTGTCAGTTCAAACAAGTTCTGCCTCTATCAATTTATTCAATTCTATCTTAACTGGATGATTAAATGACTGGTGAATAGATCCCAAAAATCAGAAGCATATTTTTTCGCATCACTCTGGCGCTGCAGGCTTGCTCTGAAACTGCAGATTTGTGTTCGCACCCGGCAAAGTAAACCTGCGATGAGTCCTTGCCCAAAAGGTCCTTAAAGCTTCGCTGTGAACCAAATCAGAGTAGCATTGTCACTGAATATCACTGAATTATTGTCATGAAAACTTTTGGGGCGGGGGAATTCCCTTATAGTGTGTGTGTGTGTGTGCATGAGCTCTTGATGTACTTTCTGCCGTCTTGACCTTGTGAGTGCTGGGAGGCATGTCGGGGCACGGTGAAAATGTATGGCTGGAAAGACTCCATGATCGTCTGCTCCGGTAGCTGCTTCACAAATTCTAACCCTGAAAGAGCAATGCGAGCGTGACCAAAACGGCTGATGGAATGATGGAATGATGGGAATGAGCAGGCCGCATGATGTTCACACCCATCATATGAGCTGCCCAACTGTCTTTGCTGCTTGGGATCTGCCAAAGCCGTCCAAAGCCATGAAACACTTGGCAACTTAGCAAACTTAGCATGATGCATCAGCTTGTGCACAGCTTTTGTCCGCTAATGGCCGAGCCCTCCAAGCAGAACATCAAGTCTCCTGCTTGGCACTTTACACAATATTCATGGCATTACATTCTATTGATTGCTATTGATCCATGATATGTAGCAGAAGCCTAACATTGGGTCTGCGGGGAATTCTACATGTTGTTTGCAAGTCCACCCCGCATGCGAGCATTTCACAAAGGTGGCTAAGTTCATAAAAGGGCAAAACACATGTCAGCCGACATGGTGATCACAAGCACTTGAGCGTTTGAGTCAAGTCTCTTGAACCTACCAGGATTAACAGAAACTATTATTATACTGAGCCAAGCCTTTCCGAGACTGTCCGCCTTGAAGTGCCTGGCAATCTGTAGAAGCTCAGAAGTTGACAGCAAACGTCCATGGATCTACAATCACCTGTGGAGCGTGTTGGGCAGATCGGACGGGCGGTTCCCTGGCCGAGGCTGAAATCCGACACGTTGGAAGTGACATTGAAAAGACATTTTGGATGTCCACATGCCACACTCCACAAACTTCCAGGGATTTCCATGGATTTCCATGGATTTCCACAGAAGTTGCTTCAGGCCTTCCAGTCGACATAGCCCAGGCTCTGCCAGCAGCGCTGCTTTTGCCCCTGGGGAATCGGGTCCGTGCTTTCCAGTCACCTCTAGAGGCAGTCCAGGCACCAAAAGCAGGGACTAGAAGCAGTCAATTTCAACACGGACGAAAAAACATGAAAATGATAAGGGCAAAGTAATGGATTCTTCAAACCAGCAAATTGAAAGTGAATAATGCGTCCCATCAAAAAAATTGCAAGATCTGCTGTGTTTTGGTGTAGCAGCGTGGCGTGTGCCTCGCACTTGGCTGCTTTGAAGGTCCTCCAACCTTGAGCACCAGCATAGGACCAGCATAGGACCAGCATGTTCAGACAGCCAACATGTTTGGAACTGGTGCAGGTTCAGACAACTTAGAGAGCAGCTGAACACTGGGGGCATGCAAGGCCTGCAGAGGTCAATTTCAAAACTATCACATGGACACAATGCCAGCAAAACAAAGCACAAAGCTCTCGTAGTTTTTTTCAATCTTTTTCAAGCCCTCATCAGACTGCTTTGATTTTGTTTCACCGCTTTGAAATGTCTTCGAAGCAGCCTGCGTGCCAGTGACCAAGAAGGTCGCAGTGCCTTGCAGATAATCACTTCAAAGTAGCTGGGTCGTTGACTGCAAAGTCACCATATCATATAATGTATAAACTGTATCTAATCTATTTCGTGTGAATTCGAAGTGCTTGCCTGGTTCGATGTCCGTCCTTAGTTTTCAACGTGGGAAAAAAACTGGGGAATGACTCGAATGATTTGAATGATCCATTGATGCAAGGCGTTGGTGCAACATCTGATTCAGGATGTGCTGTGACCGCTGCGCTCTGCGTGTCGTCTTTGGAGATTTTCGCCGTCTCCGCCGCCTGCCGCTCAACTAAATACGGTGCCAAACTGTGATATCGGTCATTTGGCTTCCTGAAGGGAAAGTTCATAAAAACCTGTGGGTCGGGTAGCGCAACAGTCTGCAGTTTGAGCCCACTTTCTATTCGCTAGTTACTTATGTTTGCTTGCATCTTTTGCATCTTTTGTACGCTAGAAATCGGGTCATTCTTGGCTTTGACATTTGAGGTAATGGTTGCTCGATACTTTTTGGCCTCTGAGGCGGACCTGTTGAGGACAGCACCTGCAGAAAGCAGCACAGCTTTGAGGGGAATAGGAAAATGACAAAAATAAACCGGGAAAGCAAGTCGAAGATGTCAAAGTCTGGAGGCATCATGAGGCATCAAATATCAAGAAGCTGCTTGCAACATCAAATATCGTCATCAGTCGAACATGGCGCAATCCTCCAACTCCACTCGACCAGGCCGCTCAGCAAGGCCACGTCTCTGCAAGCATTCCTCCCAGGCCTAAACCGACAGAGACAAAGTTCAGAGCATCTGTAGATGGGGCAAAAGGTGCAGTCACTGTATTAAATGCCACATGATCTCCCCCTCAAGCCTGACATAAAAGAAGGCTTAGATTTAGCAAAATTTAGCTAGGTGTGAGAACGTAAATGGACATTGACTATCCATGACGCCCACGAGAAGCGACCTACCATGACTCATGACCGATCTGCTCAAATGGCGCGGTTGGCACGTGTGATTATTGTGTTGGACAGAGATAGATGGCAGCTTCCTGGTCAGGATGCCTGCCTTCACAGCATCTAGTGAATCTAGTGGGTCAAATGGGCTTGAAAGCGTGGGGTCAATTTTGCATTGACTTGACTTTTGCCTATGAATGCAACATGGCGGGTGATGTGGGATGTCCGGCAGAGGCCTTGAACTTGCACAAACATGTCGGCATCAGCCTTTGACAATGTCTCTACAAATCAAGTCATATGGCAAGCATAGGGACGGTTGGTAGGACGGTGGTCCTTGCTCAGTAAAGATAACGCCAAAATGTGTTCTAATGCGAGTCTGATCCAAGCGGACACGAACTGGAGAACATCAAAATGAAAAAAATATAATCAAATAGTCGAAAGAGCTGCACCTTGTGAACTATAAGCTATAGTATCATCCACGCATTCCGTAAGGTGAATGTCAAGCTTTGGCAACTACAGAGCAGCTTTCTCGCTTTCTGGGTGTAATATTTATTTGCAACGGAGCGCAAATAGAGCGAGCTGGTCGCTCCGCTACGTTGGGTACAATGTTGTGCATGGTGAGTAAAATCAAGCCGGTTTTGGCTGTTTGGGTAGTTGCAAGCGTAGTGTAGTGCTCTTGGTTATCTTGTTTGCCTTGGCAGTTTGAGAGTTTCCAGGCCTCACAATTTCAAAAGCCATTCTCAGAAGAACTCCCAGTCTGCCTCAATGACTATGGCCCCTACCATGTCTCCATCCAAACGGAACAAATCTCCTGCCTGAGAGTGAGGCGATATATGTTTTTGGGGATCTGCCAAGGCTTAGCAATACAGTTGTGGAATCTGCTTGCCTCTTTCCAACACAGCTGCAACGTCGACCTCAGGCTGCCAAACGAGATGAGAACTGCCACCTACATTATGCTTACTGCTTACTGCTTACCCTGTGTGCAGAATTTGGATTCCTTGAATGTTGGACACGACATTGGCACTAAGCAGTAAACGGTGCTTTGACATGGAAGCGCGCAGCCACCTTTCAAAAAGGGACCGTAAAGTTTCAAAAGCTGAGCTCAAAAATATGATATGAAAAAGCACCATAAAGGAAAAGGTGAAAGTTCTCTATGCCAGGGTTTTATAAGCAGAAAGGGATCTGACATGATCTGATTGTTGCCATCCTTGACCACTATGCATCTGACAGCCCGTCAAGATTATTGCCCGCTGATTCCAAAACTCCATGGCCACCATTGGCCATGGCCTCTCCTTCGCATATTGCACAGACCGCTATTTGTGTTCCCTTGTGTCATCTTTCATACTTGGCAATAAGATGCAATAAGCAGGATTCAACATGATTCAACATGATCCAACTGTCTGATTAACTTGTGTCAATCTCTGTTGCCGACTTGTTGGAGAAGCGCATTGAAGCCTCAAAGTTCGGCAGAGAAAGCCTTTGGAAAAGTGTTGCACAAGCTGGGACAAAGTCATGCCGTTCAGACATGGAAAACCATGGAAAACCTAAAGGGCGTCCCAACCTCAGCATGCCTGGTTGCATTCTCTTCAAAGCTCAAACATGCCGACATGACTCACACGGAGCGGGAGCAAGCAAAAGCGCACAGCTTCGTCCCAAGCAACACGAACCTTGGTGGGCGGGGTTGACTGCTTTTCTAAAGTGTTATCATCAAACCCCGGAGCCAATTCTTCATGTTTCACCACTTCTTGGCTACCGACACTCAGCATGCGCCGAATAGATGCCAACCTTTCTTCTGCCGCACCAGTTTCCACGCCAAGCCTCAAAGAGAGTGATTACAAACCTTTTTCATCTTTTTCATTTAAAGCAGATACGGTGAAAATGTTAGGCCGCCTTGAAAAAAAAAAACACGTCAAAGACAATTGCACTGGCTTCTAGAGTGTAGAACTGAAAAAGTTCAGACGCGGGCGTGGTTGCCACTTCTATTGCATCTTCAGCTGATGCAAGGGATCCGTTGTCATCCTGAACCAGTCGTCAGCACAGCCAGTCACAGCCAGGCACAGCTTGTCAGACTTCCAAATCCGGGCCGAGGTGATGGCAGTGAAGGCAGTGAAGGCGTTCGGTGCCTCACTTTTTTGGCGCTCCTCACTGCAGTGGCAGAGGACTGTGATCCAAGACTAAGACGCTCCAAGCCCGTGTGGAAAGCCTGGGTCACGGCAAGATGCTGTGCCTCTGCATCTTCACCATTTAAAAAGAGCCTTGGTAGCTCTCTTTCATCATAACAGATTGCATTTGACAAGCAAACCAAAATTGCCTGACATTCGCAGACGACCATAGAAAGTAGACAAAACACCATGAGAAGAAATTGAGAAACAGCCCTACTTTGACACAATATGCTCGGCTTTGCATCCACGCTCTTCCAGGAATGCAGTAGCATCATGGCGTAAGGCACTCAGACGAACCTGAATAGAGCAAAGTCATGTCCAACCTCCAAAGCTTGTGCTTTGATGTGTCATTTCTGCTGTTGACCCTATTGGCTGCTCGTCTGAAACTTTTGATGTTCAATCGCATTTCCTGCCTGGATTTCCTGCGCCAAAGATTCCAACGCTGGTGCATCAACGCCGTCCACCCCTCTTCGGGATGTGCCTAATGTGTGCAGCATTGAGTCATTGAGTGACTGTCATGTCATTTTTTTCATTGCACAGGGAAAAACAACACAAAGAAAAGCAAGCAAATTGAACAATGAATTTACCATGCTGCTGCTACCTTGCTTACAAATATGTTGCAGAAGTGATACGGCGGAAGCAAAATCTCAGTCACAACAGGACAACTGCGTTTCAATCTCTCGTGCTGGATGGCAGAAAGCTGGACCATTCTTGCCTGCACTTTGGCTGAGGCTAGAATTTCCTTCCTCAGTCTGCTGCTGGAAATTGATACTGTACGATTTGGAAACTTGGTCAACAGAATTATTCGAGCTTCTCCGAGGCTGCGACAAATTGAGTCACATCTGGCGGATCAATTGTGGCTTTGTAGCCCTCCGGCACAGGATCCTTCAGGGTCACATTTCGAGACATTCTGTCTGCTCTTCCCTCCCAAGCCAGAATCATATTGAATTTCAGGAATCTCTTGTTTTAACACATCATGACAGCAGTGGCTCTTTGCATTCACCAACTTTGTTTCATGCACCCACTGCAAAGGCTGTACAATGATGCAAACTCGAGGCCAGGGTACAAGTAGGTGATGAAAGCTAGGAAGAGAGTTTGAATCAGGGCCAACGTTGATGGGTTGAGAGGAGACAGTAACAGTAGGATATTCTGTTTGCGCATCTGTTGTTTTTCGTCCAGTGAAGAAGTTTCCAGGTGAAGGGAAGGTTCGCCTGGAAAGTATGGTTGGACATGCAAGCAGGCGTTGTGCTGGGGGAAGGAGGCTTTGCCGAATTACCAAGTATTGATGTGCAGATGTAATGTGAGGCTAAAGGTCAATGACCAGGGGGAGACGAGACCATGACCATTCGATTACACGACCTTACCGGGGAGCTTTTGGAAAAGGTCAGTCTGTTTTTTCCACGATTGTGCTTGGCTCAAGTTTCTGCGTTCGTGGGCCGAAGCGTGCTCTTAGCCCAAGAGCTGCAGTTTGCACACTTTGAAGAGTTTACAGTCAATTTCAGCAGCATGCTTCGCCTCGTTGTCTGGATGCGGCAAACTCCTCCGTTCCATCCTTCCAAGACTCTGGAAAGATTGCTTTGCCTTTAACATCTACTCAAGTTTACATGTCAACCCGAAGGTGTGAAGCTGCTGTACGCATGTATCATGTATCATAGTACCCTGGGCATACCGAGTCCAAAAGGTTGGAAATCCCAGGACTGAGGGGATATCTGGAGCGCTTGCAAAGCGCATCGAAGTTCTTCGGGGTCATCCTGCATCGGTCCAACCATGTGTCGTGTGTGAGACAGGCAAGAGCAGCGATAACATCGAGGAACATGTGTGAAGTGACTGTGAAGTGCACCTCATCTGCACCCAAAGCAGCTCTAGCCAAACCAGCTGCATTGGAGGCCTGACAGGATTCCAGTGGCAGGACCACTTTGCATGATGCCGCTGCAACGCCCAACTTGGTGCTGAAAAGCAGAAGCAGGCTTACCCGCCAAGAAGTAACAAGGTCAGCATCGTGCCAACTATCGCTGTCGCCTTAGCTGCTTTCAGATTGAGCTTTATTCAAAGTGCATCGCTGCTGTTTGAACAAATCCACCGCTCTTGACACTCTTTGTGGCCACGCTTTCAAAGGTGTCACCACCGTCACAGTCGGGTGCCGAGGCATCCTGTCAAAGCTCGGCGCATGGGAGTCCAATTCGGTGTTTGTTTCGCAGCGTAAAAGGAGTGCCTTTGACAGACTTTGAATATCCTGGTCTGACTTATCGAGAAAAGAATAGAGAAGGCCTATTTCCTCATCCATCTAGCCCTTTTTTACAGCACCTCTGCATAGCATTCTTCTTCTGTCGGAACTTCATTGGCCTGCACAAAACCATCACATTTCAGATTCACCTTAAAACTTATATAAAACCTGATGCTGAAAGACCAAAACTACTCGCCGAGTTGTAGCGTCCTCGAATTTTTGCGAGAACGGTTGGTTTTGAAAAACCTCATTAACCTGACTTGAAAATGCTCGTGTTGCTTGGGTTGTTTGTGTTGTGTGTGTGTCTGTCTGTGTGTGTGTGTGGGATCAAGCACACGGCTTGATGACATTGCAAGCGCTGCCAGAGCATGTGTGGGGGAGCCCATTGGAGCAACTCGTGCCTGGAAAGAAGGTGCCACGAGTGCAGCAACCGGGCTGCTGATCGAGAGCACTTCTGCCTGCGACAATCCGGAAGAGATGCCGTACCTGTCCAAATCTGTGTAGTTGTACGAGTGTATACATATAGAATCAATGACAATCATATTGTCATAATGTCATGTACGTATCCACACAATAGTATGCAGATGTCTACAGTATACAATACTGTATGCGTGTTGGTACATGTTGCATCTTCAATGTTCCTTAGCAATCATCGGGAGGGGATCAGCTGAGATGCTTGCCATAGACATTCGTTTTCTGACATCCTGAGCAAGCCACAGGAAAAGGACAAGGATATATTATATTAAATTATATCTGATATGCTCTTGGCTACTGATTCTGGTAACAAGAGGCTGACAAAATCTGTTCAACGCTCCTTCTGCAACAAGCCATCCACAGCAGCTGAAATGTCATCTGCTGTTTCAGCCTCAAAACTACCGCAATAGGCCGTCCATATGTGGCATGTCACGGAATGTCCTCCAAAATTCACCCCGAAAACACAGAGTTCTGTCCAAGTTCAGGATGTGACTGGAAGGGCTGCTGGTGTCTCCTCAACGGTTCAACTTGAGACTGATGTCCAACAACAATTTTATTCAAATACCGTACTCCGAACATGTTGAAACCATTCCAATCTCTGGCTTTGTGCAAAATATAGTGTTTCCAGGTGTTTCCACTGACTTCAAGACCATCCTTGCACTCCGTTTGAGCCTGTTTGAGCTTGTATCAATTTGCATATGTCAGCCATGTCAACGCTGCCTTTTCCGGCTGGAAATGTCGGACTTTGGAGTTCTTCGCCACCAAACAGCTACTTTCAGCTACTTTCAGCTACTGACCTACTCATACCTACTCCACGCGCTCAGTTTGCTCCGTTTGCTCAGCTTTCTTCATGCGATCATTTTGTCATATTTTGTTGATCTTGTAGGTCGTCCAGGTTGACCAGAAGTGAGGGCATCGAGACCAAGCAGAAAAAATGCCGTCGACACAGAGGCAAATACAGATTCACATCTTTTTCGTTGGCAGAATCGAGTCGCCCCTGGAGGCATCCATGTTTAAGGAGTATCTGAGTTGGCTCACAATGGATCCACCTTAGCATGTACAACTGAACAGAAGGAAGGAGACACAATTGTGTCTCTCCGCTTTTGTGAACCCAAGCCACCTTTCAGCTGTATGCATCATCGAATCTGCCGCACATTATATAAGTAATTCATGGATGACAATCAAAAAAATCATTGTTTGTGTTGGACTTCCGAACTTCGATTATCAAAAGAGGAATGAATAACCAACACCTACAATTGTTCCTGGCAAGAGAGGTTCGTCCACTGGTTTCAAGCTACGTATAAAGACAAACTGGGCAGTGCTATCTGCCAATGGGCCAATGGTTCCCTATTGCCACGATCAGTGCAGCAGGATTTTTGTTAGTCCTGCATTGACTTTGTCAAGACATTCTGCCAATTAAAGAGCCACCTTCAGCCGAGAGGCTTATCCACCAAGCCGCGAAGGCCATTGTGAATGCCTTACGTCTTCCAAAAATGGAGACCAAGGCTACAACCTCGGCCGTTCTATGGCATCATGGCAACATCATTGCACAATTGAACTCAAGCGACAACGTGGCAAAGTGGCAAAGTTTCTCTTGTGAATTCGAGAAAATTCGAGAAAATCAATAAATTCTTCTCTACCTCTGCTACTCTTGCACTTGTTCAGCTTGGTTGCAAGGCTGGGGCCGAGCCCTTTCCCCAGATCGTCGCAAAGGGTGAAGGCTGAAAATACAGTCCCCCGCCGTTCTGATGGGTTCACATTCATCAGTATTGCTCGAATGTTCGGTCCTACCAAGAAATCAAACGATCCCACGCAATACTTTGAACATCTTTAAACATCTTTGAACCTCGCAAGTCTTTGCTTTTGCAGCTGGAAGTGTTCAACGCTATGCCTGCCAGGGCAGCGGAGCCACCACAGAGGGCCAAGAAGAAGGCGAACAAAGTCGGCCGGCCCGTAGATGTCGTGATTAATGCCTGCAAATTCTTCCAAGTCTCAACTTAGTTAAAAATGATTTACTCAATCTATTTCATGTCTATTTCATGGTAGCTCTTGTTTCTCTACTCTAAGTCAGCTCTGATTCCACAGCTACCTTTGTCTGTTGGGATTCCAAGCAGACATTTTTTGAAATTGACAAACAAACTTAAACAAACTAACAAACAGTCCTTCCTGCGAAACCATTTAGCAACCATCCTGAAAGGCATTTTCTATTCTGGGAAAGAATGCCCATGTTTTTCTATTGGTATACAAGAGCTTCGAATTCCCGTCCTGAGAAGAGTTTACCAAGAGCATGAACGGAAATGGTGCAACCTCGAATATATTGATGGTGCTGCAAGATTCCAGGCGAGCAAGCATCTGCAATGAGTTTCAATCTGTTCTGGCCAAGCTGAGCTTGAAACCAACATTCCGCTGGCTGTGAGCATACAGAAGTACTGCATGTTCTTCTGCCTAATGGGAAGACAGTAGAAGCAAAATGAAACAAACAAAATGAAATGGCTAAAGTGCTGACATCTCACTGGAATGTGTTCGAATGCATTCACAAGAATGCATCCCGAATCAAGGCACCTAAGGTTCCAAAGTCTTTGACCCAGAAATCCGCCAGCAACGCCAAAGCAGAGGCAGCTGATGCCAAAGACCGCCGTAATGGCCGTTGATGCCTTTGCCGACAAAATCCACTAAATGCCAAACGCAACATTTTACAACATCGAGCACAACATCCTATCTTACATCATCTTACTTTACATACAATCGTACTTTCATGTGCTGAAACATTTACCATGGGCAAAGTGTGCACAGCATACTAGAACTGCATGGTGGGGGCTATGCCGACGAAACACTGTATTGACTGCAACGTGCCTGAAATTCACCTTGTCTTCACCAACAGAGGAAGGCTTGAGGATTATATAGAGTACGTAGTGTTGGAGTAGTGTTGAAGTTGTGTTGGAGTAGTGTTGGCAAGGGCGGTCGGATTTGTATTCTACAGTTGGAGGTGTTGAAGTCTGGCCTCCACTGCCATGCCCTGGTCGGTTGACAGGTAGTCAGCCAAAAAGGTGACGATCACTGAGATAGGGATGCAACCTGGAAGGGCCTTGGCAGATAGCATTGAGAAATGGAGAGAATGACTGCGCCCAAAGGGATCTTTCTGCCATCAAAAAACTGTATTCGCGCCTGCACAAAGACCAGGACATTTGATCTCACAGCAAAGACTTTTTGAAATTTGCTCAAATCCTCAGCGCTGAACTTGCAAGCTGATTGTAATCTTTAACTTTACTCACTTTACTTACTATAAACGCTTTGTGCATGCTGTGTTTAACAGTTTTACTTTACTCTCACTGTGCGTTTTGCCTTCTGTACTCTCAGAGTCGAACTAAATCTTCCATGCTGAGACCTTCCCCTCTGATTTCAGTGCCACCCATCCAGGCAGAGAAAGCCTGGTCTCAAAATCAGACACAGCACAGAAAGCGGAACTTCTGACTCAGTTTGGAACAGTCTGCGAGAAAGTCAAATGGATGGAAATCGATGGAAATCGTCAAAACACAGGAAAAGATATTAAGCGGTTCCTCGTTCACAGGCTCTTCCCGCTTGGCTTTCGCCTGTCGAAAGCTGGGAGGTCTGTCCATAGCTCTTCAGCAATGTCAACATCAAATTTACAGTTTAATGACATCGACAAGTTTCAGTTTTTCTGACCCTGGCAAGTTGCTTCATTTTACTTTATCCGTGTCACTCACGTCTTCGTCTACGGGGTCTACGGCCTTCTGCTGTGTCCGTGGATCTGATAAGCAAAGCCGTACCAAGGCCGCGCAGACCAAGGTGGGTATGGCTATGATGGTGAAGGGAAGTCGCCAACCTGACAAAAATCATGACATATGACGCAAAAATACACAACATATTACACAAGACGTATGACAATACTACACAAAACCAACTCACCCGGATCCTGCAGCTGATGCAGCTGAGGCACCATAAGTTGGTCCCACGACACCAGACATAAGGCCGCCGAGAGCTGCTCCAATGTTGCCAGCTGCATTCAAGGCTCCGGAGATCAAGGTTCGTTGGGAGGCAGGAAACACATCTGCGGAGAATGCAAAGAGAACCTCAGTTATGACAACGGTTATGAGTCGTGAAGTCATGAATCAGAAGCCACAACTGGGTCAGATCATCTGGTTCATGTGTAAGAATGCTCATGTTATCAGTGCTATCCAAGATTCAGGAAAGGAACCTCCAATTGCAACCTCACAACAAAGTCAAAACGTGCAGGTGAATCACCTTGATGCCTTTCGGCGCGTTCAATGCGTTCAATGCCATCGGCAAACTTCCCAAGTTGCCCACTCCGGTACATATCCGGGCCATGAAGAAGTAGAAAAAACCCGCCTCGCCAGGCAAGGCATGCAGCTACGCTATGCTACGCTATGCTACGCTCATCTTGCCCAAGGACATCGAACGACCATGTGAGAAAACCAAGGAGAAACTGAAACTGTTGCAGGACATGGCAATTTAATGCAGTTTATGGTTGCCCAAACACAAGACAATCCTTGAGAAGACACTTAAACATTCTCCTCAGTGCGGTGCCACATGCCATCACAGGCAGCCAAGATGCTTTGGAAGATGGAACCATCAAACTCATCAGCAGCGAAGGCACCGAACCACAAAGGACAACACAGCAGAGTACAGTGATACGATCAAACTGATCTGCTGCTGGGCCCACCAATACAGATACTGCGCCTCAGAGGACATAAGCTGAGAAGTGCCTAAACCTCATCTCACACCACCTGGAAACCTGTACACACACATACATACATATATATATATATTTATTTATACATATTTATATATATGTGATTGTATATGTATATGTATATGTATGTGTATGTGTATATGTGTATGTATGTATGTATGTATGTATGTATGTATGTATGTATGTATGTATGCATGCATGCATGCATGCATGCATGTATGCATGTATGTGTGTATGTGTGTATGTGTGTATGTGTATGTGTATGTGTATGTGTATGTGTATGTATATGTCTATGTATGTGTATGTGTATGTGTATATATATATATATGTATAATATGTAAATATGTATATATGTAAATATGTAAATATGTATATATATGTATAATATGTATAATATGTATGTATGTATATATGTATATATGTATATATGTACGTATGTACATATGTATATATGTATATATGTATGTATATATATATGTATATATACGTATGTATATATGTATATGTATATGCATATCTAAATAGATAATATATACAATTGCAGAGTCTGCTTAAAGCCCAGGGCACCACCAACAAGGAAGAAGCCAAACTGAACCAGACCACCGAGACGTGAGTCCTCGCAATCAATCATGATTGATTTTGCGGATTTAAATCCAGGGTTTAAGCCGTCTTGGAGCCATTTCCCGTCCTTTTGCATTGGTGTCATTTGAAAATCGTTTGCAATGGCCGACAAGTTTGGAGCGGCAAGATTTTGATCAGCATGTAGAAACATTGCCGTCACAAATAGTAGCACAAATGTCACCTGGCAAGCAAACCAGCTTCTTCAACTGCTGCGCGCAAGTGTTGTTTAAAAATATGTTGCGTTGACCCCCGATTGCCTGCAAATGCCGAGGCAATTGCCACAGCGGGATGTTGTCATGATGCCGGTCAGCTTTGTTGTAGCTGTCTCCGTAGCCCTGACTGAAGCTCTCATTAGAGTTCCAGCTCTCGTGAGCACCGAAGTTTGAACCTCAAGTTGTCAAGATTCAGTCTCTTTTTCGACTTGTCAAACGGTAGAAGCGAGGTCAAAAAACAAGCATATGCAGCATTTGGTTTGTTGTCTGACATGCGAAGTCTAGTAACGTCTTGTCCGAAGATCAGATGCTGCATACGCGGCCATGCATGCTACGCAAGTGCTGTCCACCTCACCTCTGTACACAATCTCGTGACCTTTATGATTTTTGGTGATATTTGATGAGTTAAGCTGCGGACAATGCAAAGATTGGTCTTCTCGCAACACTTGTTTTTCGGTAAAAGGACATTTGCTCTTCACTTTCACATCTTTCTACATCTTTCCACATCTTTCTACATCTTTCCACATCTTTCCACATCTTTCCACATCTTCTTACTGCTTCATTACCATATCTCAAGCCTCTCCTCGCAGATTTTGCGAACAAGAGCTAGCTGATTGCTGGCCTCAAGGATCTTTAATCAAACGGACACACCGCAACATGCAGCTGACATGATATGCCAACTCAGGTCGTCCAGTACAATGTAGACAGTTCAGACACTCGGGCAAGAACCTCAAACGGCCGGCGTAATGCAACTATCTCGTACAGCACTGCACCTTGGCATCCAGGCAAGCCATGGCAAGCCTGCAAAAGGAGTGAAAGGTCCAAGACCCCAAATGATTTCGTCGACCTCGTTTCTCTTACTGTTGAGTCTTGCTGTCACAGTGTGCTCAGTATCTTCAGAGAAAAGCCCAGAGCCCAAAGCCCAACAGTCTGCAGGAGGACCATACCTCGAGATCAAACCACCTTGAAAAGCATCTTGAATCATGAGTCCATAGAATAGCTGAATAGCTTGAAGCAAGTCAGCTTTGCTAGGATTTTGACTCCTCACCAGAAACTAGTTCTGGGGAAAAGTAGTATGGCCTGAGACTGTCAGTACTTGAGTGGCAAGGACTTTGACACCTGTTGATGAACATTGCAGGGTCTCAATCGCTGAAATGTCACAAAAGATCCTACAAAACTACACCGGCAAGGGTAGGATCATGAGCACAATAGTATCTTCTTAGTCTAACAGAACCGTTTGTGATTGGGAACAGCCGGCATCACAAATGACCACAGGAATCCACAGACGACTTGGTTTGATTCCAACTGGGATCCAAACGTGCCAACAAGAGTGTGCGCTTTGAGTGTAGCGGCTTCGACAAGCTTAGCGATTCCGAAATCTGCCAATTTGATGCGGCATGATCTCCTTGCTGAATAAATGAATGACAAGTGAATGACAAGTACAAGTAATATCAAGTAATGCCTGCTTGCAAAGTCTTTCTTGCAAGTCAGAGTGCGCTTTTCTCTGTGTAGGTGTGTGGTTTTGCAAGCGTGCACAGGCGAGAAGAGTTGTCTAGAGTCGTTGTCTCTCTCCTTGACAGCAATACATTTGCAGGTTTTACCTCAGCAATGCAACTATGAAATTAACTGTATGGAAAAGTCTGAGATCGAAGATCGTGTAAACATGTCTAAACTTTAGTCTAACGTTTGTCTGAAAACACAGCCAATGGCATTGGTGCACGTCAGTCTTTTCTGGCACACGATGCGTTTCTGACTCCTACAAGTTGCGGACGTCTCTATGCAGAATCCCCATCTCGTGAATGTACCTAAGACTTTTCAGATCTGCAGATGCAGTGCCAGCACTTAAGACTGACTCTCTGCAGAAAACTGGGAGAAATCTTCTGGAGGAATCTGTGGAATCTTCACATGCCATGACTAGGCACTCGACTGGAGAGCGCCTCCAACTGCTGCCAGGACTCTGCGAGGGAAATGTCCGTCGAAAGGATCATTCTGCCGACACGCAAGGATTGGGCTTGGAGAAGAGTTTGGATGCTTCGACGCAAAGTTGATTCTCATCTCGTCATGACAGTTGCATTTTGTTTTATAGACCGTTTGGGGACTTCTGAAGTTGTCAGTGTCAGACGCCTCTCTGCGATGCTGTTCGATAAGACCATGAAGGTCTCCGCCGTCCATGTATTCTAACCTCAGCCAACCACTACTCTCATGAATTGGGTCGGAATCGGGTCAAATTCAGTGATGCCACTGGGCGAAGGCACTGTCAGTCCCTTTTCCTGGGGTTCAAACACCAGGCAAACTACGCTTCGTTCAATGTCAAAGAGAATTTCTTCGCAGCTGACCTTGCATCTGTCTGCTTGGAAGCTGGTTCATGACTCACACAATGACACGGATGGATCACACATGGACTGCCCACATTCAACGTTGTTGCTCAGATCACTGACAATATGTGGATATCGAAGTTCCTGGAAAAGAATAAGCCATGGAGTGTCGAACAAGGGCAGATGTCATTGATGTCATGAGTCATGAGTCAAACATCTCAAAAATGCCACATGGCTTTGGAATGGCGTTGGCTTTGGAATTGCAGGGAATGCCATCTTTGCGAAAGGCCAGCGGCCAGCTCTACACGGTGAGTTCAGGCCACTGGTCCTGCAACAAGCTTGCCTCAGCAAGAGCTGCCTCCAAACAGGTGTCCATTGCAAAATAGTGCAAAAATGGGAGGACCAATTGAATTCTGTGGAAATCCATTTTTGACACATCTATACAAATCCTTTCATTAAAATTAGCTCATCGACAATTGGATTGCCGTAGGTCAAGTCTTCCAAAACAAGCTGCAAGCCTGGAGGGTTGGATCTGCAACTTGAGCACGTTCTCTGAAATGGGAAGGCTTTGTCGGGATCTCCTCCGTTGTGAAGTGAAACATGAAATCAAAATAGATCATATGAATTTACGCCAACTGTCCCAGACAGCTCATCGCCTTGTTCGGCCCGAGGTCGCATGGAATCACCTCGTGAAAACAGACTGCGAGGATTTGAGAGGACTCAAGATGGAAGCAATGGAAAGGAAGCCTTCATGAAACCTCCACCAGCTTACGTCAGGATACTACGTTGCACTTCACTACGTTGCACTATGCCATTTACTTTCTCACAGAATCTCACGAATCACAGATCTAACGCTGCCTTCATGGCATAGTGCAGCTGGCCACGAACCAGGAAGACCTGCATGACAGTGTGGCACACATGCTGTGAACATCTTTGAACAGAACATGCATTGCAAATTCTGTGATTTTGCACTGCATGTCTGACTGGTTGGTGGTTTCAATCCACTGAAGAACATGAGTCAATTGGGATCATCATCCCAGAATTGAAAATAACAACATACAACATCATACAACTCATACAACAACTATATCTGAAACCGCCAAACAGCATCCACCAGATCTGGGTTCCTCTGAATTCTGAGTTCCTCCACCTCGCCATAAGCACCTCTACCCAGAAGGCGTTCGACCGTGAAGGCACCGAGTGTGTCACCAACCTGGCTACGTTTTCCGTGCCGTTTCTGTTGGGAGCCTACATACATGTCAAGCCACGTTGTGCTGCAAATCAGAAGGCTGGCAAGTCACAAGTCTGCCTTTTTTTAAGCCAGCACTCAAGACATGCACCCGCACTCGATAGGGCATGAGTAAGCTCTTCTTTGCCCATCACTTCGCATTGCTTAGGTGAACAAAGAAGTTCCGCCAGGGACAGATCCGAACGCAGTGATTTTTTGTCAAAATGTGGTCTGGCAAAGATGGAAGCCAGTTGACGGTGTGAGGAATGGTCAGGGTGAGCAGAAATCATGCAACTAAGGTAACTATGTAGCTTACTTTGCCTTTACGTCATAATCATGATTATTATTAGGGGGCCTTAGAGGCTGCAAGCGACTGTTCAACAATGGAGGTGGACTATGCAAACATGCACAAGCATTGGCATGGTCCAGACTACTGTCAGTTTATGTGCGAAACCACATGGTGTTGGCGACCACTCTTGCAAGTGGGAAATGTTCTGTAGCAACTTAATTCCGCAGAACCATAACCCTGTGCTTGATCCAATAAGTGCTTAAGAAGCAACACTTGCATAAATGATTTCCAGTTTCACGGCAAATTGATTTGCCTCGGACGCACCCATGAAAAAAAATTGCAATGTCTTTTTTCGGGCTGCCACTGCAATTCTAGAGGCAGCAACTTTACCTTCAGCTGTTCCAAAATGGCACAAAGAGCGTTTGGAAATCGGAAATTTCTCTTGGCAGTTTTCACAGAGGCCACAACTTCCGACCCATCCAGCCGCCCAGGCGGCTGCCCAGTCCACCTGAGTGGAAAGATCAACACCGAAATTTCACTCAAACAAGAACAACAAGTTGACAACAAGCCTGTCCAAGTGAGATCCAAACCCAATGCTCCAGCCACTGCAGCGACTGCTTGTCGGCCCTTGCCTAGAAGTTCTTGCTGAGTCTGAAAGGCCCATACTGCATCTTGTCTCCGTTCTTCGTGCGAAGTCCGATTCACCGCATCAGCACACGCCTTCTTGCTTCTTGGGGAGGATTGCTTCCAAATCGGGTGGCCTTATCAGCTATGCTACTGCAAGAAGATCTCACTTGGTGCTGCACTGTCTGCCAAATAAAACAGAGCTTGCGACTCAATGCACGGAAAGGCCAGATCGAAAAGGAGGGGCTGCAGGCAACAAGTCAGAATCATTCCACTTATTTGTAGTCACTCAAGCAACCAATGCAGCAACCAATCATTTCATTTGCACAGTAACTCTGCACCTTGCAAGGTATGTCACGGAATTTTGGCGGGAAGGTTGCAAGCAAGTCCTGTGGAGCGGCAAATTTAAGACCTGTTCAGTCCCTCGCTGTTGTGGTTCTGATCAAAAACCATTGACAGTCCTGCTTTGCTTTTGGTTGGGTGTCTTCTGCGGAAGGTTCCTGGTTAGCCATAACATGCCATAACATTCATGAACATTAACATTCCATGTCCATATCCAGTACGGACTCTTCGACAAAACAAGTGAGTCAGCGGCCTCGGTTTCATTCTTCTTGGACTTCTTGGACTGCAAACAAGTGCTTTGATGCCACTTGCGACAATAGCTTCATGACGTGATTATCATTCGCCTATTACGGATTGGTTTAATGATCTGGTTGGTCCAATTCAGGACAGTGAACCCTACCGCGTCTCCTGGACATTCCTAGATCTCAAAAGGTTTCACATTATGATGCACAAGCGCTGCCAGGGATACAGACTTGCCCAACATATCAGAGAATATGAACCTCCCAGTAGAGCTCTGCACTCACAGCCCGCAAGCAAGGAAGCTACATTTAGATTCAAGGCATGTACATAGTACTGTGTATGCGTATACACATACATAGTATATACAGGTATTCGTATACGAATACATATGCTGGCCAGTCCTCCAGCAACGACATAACCTCTCAAATGTATTCCGGCCTTTCCACCCACTACCAACCTAAATAGCAGCATCACTATTGCTACGACCCCTATTGCAGCCTGCTGGCCTGCCAGCCAGCGTGACGCATATATCACCTATGTATCACTACATGCATCACCCATCGCTATGTACTGCCCTGTTTACACCAACGTATGATATCGCAGACATCACTCCAGCTATTGTGCACCAAACAACTACGGCAACTACGTATACTAGGATTACTAGGTATGCGTGTAGTACATCAATCTTCTCACCCCTCTGTGCCCCAGCAGAGCACCAAGTGACACCCCGCCACGTCCACGCAGGGTCCGTGACCTTTTGGCTACGCACATACATGTATGCATCCATGTATATATCACGCGCTTGCATGATCGTGTATGACATATATATATATACATCTCAAAGTGTTATATGAAACTCGATACTACTCGCTCTTCCGCAGCTTTCCTTTTTCACAGCACTGCCAATGTCAATCACATTTCACCTGCAATCCTCAGGTTTGCTTTGGGTCGTCACGTTGTGACATGTACATAGCCTCAGACCAGTATCACCACTGGTCAGCTGCCTGGCAACCCAGGCTGGAACCTGCTCAGCAGGTATCACCCATCCCTTAAACCTAAGGGAGGGAAGGCTCTCTTGGTCGCCCCAAGAGAGGGTCCCCGAAAGAGGCTATGGACTCGCCTGCCGTGCAGGCTCCCCTAACCTAGGCGGACATCTCCACGGGAGGTCGGCTCTTAGGGTTGGGAGGGTGGGGAAAGAAAACCGCAATGAATGCTATTTTGGTTCAAGTTTACTTGAGCCAAAATGATAGCATTCATTGAACACTTGAAGATGATACATGCACACCCAAGCCTGCCAAACTCGATGCATGGGTACATCTCAAAGTGTTATATGAAACTCGATACTACTCGCTCTTCCGCAGCTTTCCTTTTTCACAGCACTGCCAATGTCAATCACATTTCACCTGCAATCCTCAGGTTTGCTTTGGGTCGTCACGTTGTGACATGTACATAGCCTCAGACCAGTATCACCACTGGTCAGCTGCCTGGCAACCCAGGCTGGAACCTGCTCAGCAGGTATCACCCAATGCACTCAAATCCCCAAAGCACTATAGGAATTCAAAGGTGAGAATGACCGCGACGAAAGGCAGCTGGAAAAAGATAGTGGGAAGGTACGACGAATAAAAGTCAAAACCATGGCATCGCCACCATGGGTCCTCAGCGCCGAGGCGGCTGATGTCATCAGCCCAGTTGCTCTTGCTCTGGACGTACTCCCAGTAACCCTGGGCTCGCAGTGCAAACAGAGCTAGATGGATCAAATGACCTAGCTTGGCTAAGTCGGCATTGCTAGAACGTCCTCTCACTAGCGTCATGACGGCTGCAACATTGTCCAGAAACCAAAGCCCGTGTCGATTTCGAAACAGGTCAGGTCGTTCCACTAAGGCGTACAGCACCATCGAGAGCTCCAACTGGGCGATGTGTGTGTCGGCAGGCTGCCATAATTTCTGAAGCTCTGCACAATTGTTGGCTACAAAACTGTGACGTATCTGGGATCCGTCATGCTGGAAAAAGATGAGGTGAAAACCTCCGGAACCTGGATTGTCAGCTTCCACCGCAGCATCCGAAGCAGCAAGGAAACGTAGGTTGTCCAGGTGAAGAACGGGAAACTCCCGTTTTGGCTGAAAGCGCATCACTGCTTCGATCACCTCGAAGCATGCTTCAATCTCAGGGGTTACCGCTGTAGTGGTTTCATCCTGTCTGGCTTTGATTGCCATCAGGCCACCATATCCTACACGGCCATAAATACCCTGCTCCAGGAAATTCGCTAGGCCATACAACTTCGCAGCTGTGCCACGGCTGAAGTGACCTGTATTCCTGGCCGTAGTGAGGAGGTCACGAACTTTATCATGAAGGCGTTCACGGGCCCAAAACCGGACATGCCCTGTCTGGTTGATGCAGTCGAGGTCATGAGTTAGGCCCAAAAAGGTGCCTGTGCTCTGCATTGACTGCTTCTTGTCCTCAGCAAAGGGGGAGCCGATCAGCTTGCAAAGCTGGTTCATGGCCCATTGTCCGGAGCCTTTGGAAGAACGTAGGTCGGTGATGGTCGCATCGTCGAAGTAAAGAGATGTCAAAACTTGGCAAAAACGCCTGGCTAGAGCTTCCAACAACCGGGAAAAGCGGTTGAATGAAGTGACCGCTAACGGAAGTCCAAAAAGGAGGCCTGCATAGACCTGATATGCTGGAGTTTGCCATTCATGGTGGTACCACACCACCACGCAGCCTAAGCTTTCCTGCATCGCCATGGGGCAATACCGGTAGGCTGATGGGAGATCCTCTTGGCCTGTCTCCCAGGCATCGTTGGCGAAGAAGTGGTCGATGTCCTCGGCTGTCCATTTGTGCATCACCAAACGAATGTGCTGGGCCGGGCGCAAAGGGCTGCACAAGGTGAGCTTGTTGGCATCAGAGGAGAGGGCTGATTGTCCTCCAGTGTCGCCATTGTCGATCACTCTCTGCTTGCCGGAGCTCTGCGTGATGACACAACGAGGGATCAGACGATGTGCTCGATTGCCAATAAGCCGCAAAAACTCGGCTCGTCGCAGAGGTGCGGTGCAAAAACCGTTGTTGGCATCCTCCATGGATTGTTGCAAGAGAAACTCGTCATCTTTGCCTGCTCGCAGCTGTTTCAGGATGTGCTGGTTGTGCTCCTGCCATCCATCCAAAACATCTGCCATGCTGATCACCTCAGCCGGCTGCTGGGGAAAAATTCCATAGGGTGGCGCGTAGCCCACTGCCGGCAAACCACAGATCAAGCCAAAGGGGAAGCTAGTGTCAGCCCAAGATGTCAACACCATCAGCAATGCTATGAGCCCCATATCTCGATGTTTTGTGACTTGCTGCACGGCGGTTTCTTGAAACGCTCTCAAGTGGAGGGTCACCCCCTCCCAGCGTCTCTTCAGCTCGCGCAGTGCCCCCACTGCCTGTTGCCTCCACGGCCTCAGCGATTTGGTCGGGGATGCATATGCCTCGGCCACGAACTCCAAGTCCATGTCGGAGACTGGAAGGTCTTCATATGGCAGAGGCCGCTGGGCCCGTTGGAGGGCTTGGTGGAAATGATCATCTGGCTCCAGGTTGAACGCCAGGAGTGGTGGTAGTGCTGCTCTATGCGTCATTGCACCGACTTGGCATCCATCTCCAATGCGGGCCATTTGCCTCACGGACCCCGCAGCAAGGTGGGGGACTAAAGGACCGTCCCAAGCCTCACCACGCTCTGCCAACCATTCTGCGTAGGAACAAAACGGCGGGCTGTTGATGAGGTCCTCCACCATCGCAAACTTATAGCTCCTGAACCAATGCTCGGGGAAAAGCTTGCGAAATGCCAGCACTACTGCCTCTTGGCTCATCATGGGTAGGGCTACTCCTTTGGGGATCGCTTGAATACCTTGCAACAATGTAACTGCCCGGCTCCATTTGCCATCTGTGCCTCTGCTGCCTGGGTCGCCCCCAGGAGCCATGGCATCGAAGTAGAGTCCAATGAGAAGATCGGCCTCGCAAAGTTGCTCCATGGGACAGTCGCAAGCTAAGGCCATGCCCTTGAGCTCATGCAGGGCGTCCCACAACGGCGATGTGCGGATATGGACAATGTACCGTGCATGCCATTCTCCAGCCTCGCAATTGTGGCCTGGTGTCCAAGGCGATTTCCACTTGGTCGTCGTCAGCCGATGGTGGAAGCTGCCTCGCCCGACATAGATTGTCTGGTGCGGCAACTTGTCCTTCTCGATCATGACGTCCTGTGCGAGCTTCCTGACTGGTAACCCCGGTCGTTCGGCTCGCAGGGATTCTGTCAGAGTGTCACCGCCAAAGGTGCCATGGCCCACTCTCGCATTGCGCGAGGGTCCATGTCCAGCCAATGCTCCCGTCGTCCCACAGCCAGAAATGTGGGCATGCGAGGAACTTGCAACTTGGCCATCCCTCGACGGGCTGCCCACCAACTCGCTGAGACTGCAATGGAGAAAGCAAGGATTGCCGTGTACTCTGCCTCTTCTTTGGAAGGGTAAACTCTGATGCCCTCAGATGTGTAGGGGGTCCATTCTTGTGGGTCATGCACGTGGTGGCAATTGGCTGGGGGCCATCGCTGGATCTCCTCCACATTGTGCCGCAACACCTGATGCTTGCAACGTGCGCCACCTAAGGTGCATGCTGCGTACGATGTGTCAACCCATTGTCCAGACTCCCACATGGTCACCTCTGCTGAAGTCCACCAGTGCAAAGAACGGGCAGGATTCTCTCGTACACTACCTCCACCTCTGTCTCTCAGCTTCTGGATCTCTCCCAAGACGTAGTTGCATGCCTTGTTGTCCATGTCAACCCTTTTGGCATCTCTGCCAGTCAAATGAGGCAGGCCATCTGGGTAGACTTCAGAACGGAGAGGGCCAGGTGCTGGCCTGCCATCTTCGAACTTCCGAGGAATCTCTCTGGCTCGGCTCTTGGTGGAGCAATCGATGGCCGCTGCAATGAAGATCACCTCTTCAAGTTGCTTGCTCAAAGATCGTTGCCTGCGCTCGTCCGAGAGGTCATGGCTCTCGTCCAGCAACCAGTCTACTGTCA